TAACCACAAACACAAAAGTAAAACCTTAAGAATTTTTTTACTTTTTATTACATTATAGATGCAAACTTTATATATCAGACTGACTTTATGTGATAGAATTAAACAATTAAGTGCTTAGTTGAGAAGAAGCAGAAAAAGAACACATAAACATCAGCATTACTTACACCTTTTAATCGATTGAGACAACAGTAGTTCTATTCAATCACCCCAATCAAGACCTTATAGAACAACATTTTCCTGCAATTACAGCTGCAGCCCCTGACAGGTTTTGGCTGTACCGGCTACATATCTAGAAACTAAAGTTATTTCCTTCTTTTTTATAAAACAGCTCAGGCTCAGTCAGACTGGATATGAAGCCTCTATGAAAACCAGCTTTTAAGTCAATAATGCTCATTTTAACAGTGGGTGCTGTTATTATCCTGCTAAAATGTGAACCGTTTTACTATCTTTATTTTTTTTTTCTATTTCAGGCTTCATCCAGCTTAGTTTTTTTTCATACATTTTAGTTTGTGGTTGTAAGTCATAAATACATTGTAACTGTGTATTGGCCTGTAAATATACAGTCATATGTTTATATAACTTTTTTATGTATTGTTTACTGTTTTCAAGGCTGCACTTTAAAAAAAAATGAAATTGTCTGGAGAGCTGTTCTTATCGAAATTTCTTTTTGTTTACATTCGTGTACACAAAAGGACAAAATAAATCTAAAGTCTAAAAAAACAAATATATTTAAATACTTCCAATTAATTTAAAGAACAGTGTGTGATAAAACATGGGAACCTTATGGAGGACAAAACAAAAAGAAAATAAATGCCCTGCAAAACAAGAAAGCATATTTTAAAGCACTTTTTAAAAAGGTGTGATGTTGTTTTCAAGGTGTGTTTAACCTTAACAAACACCTTAAACCTTGTGATACTCAGCTGACTGGGAGCAGCAAGCTACACCAACCTGCTGAGTGACATCTGTTAAATGTTAAATGTTTGACAGCCATCAGACTGACAATAAATGTTCATCTCTTTGAGTAAAAATGCTGGATTGCAACAGCAAATGTCAGCATTTATCATAAAAAAAAATTTGAAGTCATTCATCTATACTATTGTATATACAAATATGTGTATTTCCGTTAAAACAAATGCTGAAAACCATTCCAAAAATAAAAGGTAAAACAAAAAAACTTACTGTTGGCAGCTCGCGGTCTTCTCTTATTTAAGTTACTGCTTTATTTTACCCCTTATCAATTATTTAAGCGACCGAAAAACTCTCCTTTCCAAGTAAAAGGAACATTAGTTAACCTCCTCTAAACACGGAAGTAGTATTCACGTGACTCTACCGTCAGCTGACGCTACCCCGGAAGTCAGTAAAGGTATGGAGTGCATTTTGTGTCATTATTATTGTAGCAAGCAAAATCACTTTTTCTAAAAAAGTTACATTTGCAAAAAATGCGATACTACGGAAGAGGATTAGGGCCACTGGGGAAAAAAAACTGATTAACTGATTTTTACATTTTATTTCAGATTAATATGGGAAAACAGTCAGAGTTGTGTTGTGAGATTAAAGTCAGCATTCTGAGATTAAAGTCAGAATTCTGAGAGAAAAAAAAAATCTTAATTCAGATTTTTTTTTTCCATATTAAAGTGAAATAAAATTGAAAAATCTGTTAACTTTTTTTTTGCAGTGGTTAGTTAGTCAGTTCGTTTTTTAAATAACTTTTTTTCCCCCTAAAACTTTATTAACAGATTTAACATTTTCAAATCGTCCTTCTTCAAATTTCATTTTTAAAAAATACAGATTTAATATTTTTTTTTAAAACATTCAAATTTATTTTTCTTTAGTTTTACAAAATCCATTCTTTTCAAATTGTGTTTTACACATCATATTGTCTTCACCTCTGGGGGCAGGCTTTTCTGTTGGGTGAGGAGCAAAAATACATTTTCATCGGTTTGCATGGTCAGCGTTTGTATTTTGCTGGAAGTGAAGAGAATGTGATCTATGAAACAGAATTTGAATAGAATGGAATTTGTAAGCTTAATTTAAAAAATAATTTTCAAGGGGAAAAAAATCTAAAATTGGTAAAGAAAATAAACGTTTATAAAATTGAAAAGATCAAATATGTAAAAAATAATTTAAAAGAAAAAAACGTAAAAATTGAATCTGAGAAATCAGCAGAGTTACTCTCAAAACCTTGTTTTATTCAAACATCTTTCAAAGCCTCACTTGTGGATTGCATCAGTTCCATTTTTAATTTATTATTCTTTGGATTGAATGCTTTCAAAAATAGCAAACACTCACAGAGGAGAAAAGCATAAGGCTGTAGAAACAGCAGAAATAAAAAAAAAAATAAAGGCACCAAACAATAGAATTAGTCCAAATTAAGATCATCTTAAATTATTACAGTTTATTGAAGACATTATGTGATTAATTTAGTGGTTCTAAAAGAAGCGACTTCCATAAACAAAATATTTTAAGGGGGACAAATATGCTTTAAACAAGTAATAAATAGATGACTGTAGGACTTTTTTTTATTTACAGCTTGGCATTAATTTATAACATGAAAAAAGTATTATAAATAATTAATAAACCGAAATGAGGCTTTGCTCATTCACTACACTGAATGTGATCTTAAACCAAAAGAATTCCCAATATGGGAAACAGGCTAATGTCAGATTAGATTAGATTTTGATTAGATTTTCCAAATTATACAATACATAAAAAAATTCAAAAATTAAGATTATTATTTATTTTGAATGCATATCTAACCAGAATTTTTTTTGATAAAAGGTGTGTTTTAATGTTTTTTTTTTTTTTTCTGTAGCATTACAGAAGTTAGAAAAGTCCACTCCAAATTTGAATCTATTTTTTGTTTTAAACTTCTACTGGGTATATTTTATTCATTATTTTAAAATGGGCTTCCTTCACCTTTGTGGAAACCAGCTTATTTAAGAATTTAAATGATGATTATACTTTTTATGGATTTGTACTTCCAGATAACCTTTATGAAAAAAAAAAAAATGCTCATACAAATAAAAGTGTTAATAATGTTTTTTTTTTTTTTTTCATTTTCACTCATTTGGGCTTAGGTATTTAATTATCTATTTTTATAGGGCAGGTTGAACATTGTTATGCATTAATATATTCTGCATTGAGGATACATAAATAACTTTATAGGCATAAGTATATTCTGTAGATTATGTTTTATATATACATGTCAAGTCTCTGTAATACAAATAAAAGGCCTTTTGCTGCCATGAATTTAAAACATTGATGTATTGGTTTAGGTTTATTACCCTGCTGTTACCAAATGCTGAAGATAGGAAAAAGGTCTGTGTAGATAACATCTTCGATAATTTAAGGACCTACATGTAGAAGTTGGAAAACCTGGCAAAGTTTGTCCTGCACTGTTTGAAAAAAAAAGGAATAATTGAACACCTGGTTCTGGTACTAGTTCTGAATTCAGAGACCAATCAAACAGACATCTGTGTCACAAAACATAAGTATTGCCATCTTATTTACAAAAAGAATCCTAATGTCTCTTTAGTTGCTGTATGGGGCTTTCTGTTGCCATGTGTGTTGGTAATTATTATGCCCATCCAAAAGGATGCATACTTGTACAACAAACATCCCTCTACTTTGATAAATATCTAAACAATAAAGTGTTTTAGCTGAATGTGTGCTTCAATTAAAATGCAGGTTATGGAAACTTAGTGCCTCATAGTTGTGTTGCCTGTAATTTGGTGACAAGTTTAACCTCTATAAAACTGTGTGGCTATGTGTCTGTCCTGTACATTTGATAATGAAACTAATGTACATGTGTCCGGCCATGGGAAATTAATTTTCAAGCACAGCTTCAGCCCTCATAATGTCCCACTGTGGAACAACAGAGCCATTCTATGTGGTAGAAGATGTATATTTATAAAGGATTTGTGGAATAAACAAATCTGGTCAATTTCTCACTTAATGGATGGAAATGGTGATATTTTAAGTTTGGACGATTTTAACAGGATTCGTGGAACTGATTGTTCATCAACAAGGTACAATAAAGTTTTACGTAGTATACCTAATGTTCTTCTTATATCAGTTAAAAACAGTATATCTAATTTCTCTATTCCAAGACTCCATAAGCTTCAAATTGAGCATGTGGACATTAGAGATAATAAATGCACCAATAGGTTCTTGAATCAATATTCTATACATAATATGTACCCTGGTCGAACTAAACGTACATTTCTCTTACAACATTTTAACAAATCTACGATAACCAAAATTAGAACAAATTATTTGAAATTCCCAATTCCTCCTAAATATAAAGAATTACAATTTAAAATAATAAATGACATATATCCTTCAAATGAGTACTTAAGAGAGAGATTTAAATTCAATGTTGGTAATTGAGTTTTCAGTACAATTCAATTGGAAACTACTAATCATTTGTTTTATGAATGTAAAGAAGTAAGAAACCTATGGGATCAACTTCAGATTTTTCTATCTTCTAGATCTATAAATGTGAACTTTAATGCCTTACAAATAATTCAGTTTGGTTTATATATTAATGAAAAAAAGGTGGAATTCCTAGTTAATACTTTGATGATTATAACCAAATATTATATCCATAAATGTTGTTATGCAAAATGCTCCCTCTCATTCTCTGCTCTCAAAAACGAACTTTCCTCCTTTAACCGATGTTTGAAAAAGATGCAGAACCTTAAAGCAAATAAATTGTCTGAATTATTGGAAGAATTCCAGTTAGTCCCGTCTTCTTAATAATTTATTTAAGTTTTTTTTTCGTTCTCTTCCTTGTTCTAGCCTCTGAATTTTTTGAGTTAATAGGAGTTGTGATCTTATTTGTTTCTTGTAATGTTCATTATTGACGGATTGTTGAGTTTGTCATTGATATTCTGCATTTTTTTAACAAACAAAAAAAATGTGTCTGTCCATGCTTTCACACTGGTCAACACCCATAGTTTGGTATGTTCTTTCTGATTGGCTCCTTTCACAGTGACATCAGTCTGATGTCAAACCCGGAAAAGGAAGAGCTGGTAAGGTTAGTGAGGAGCACACTGCTGGGGGAGAAATGGCAGAAACAGGCCTAGGTAAGACAATAACATAATCCTGAGCTTCACACACAGCCTGAAAAGCAGTGAAAACTGAATATGAGATCTGTTTGGTGGAGTGGTCGCTGCAGAGCAGCAGCTGTATTAATATGATCCATTGAAATGTTTGTTGTCTTTGGTACAGGTGACAGACTTCCTGGTTTTAAGTTTCATTTTGGATCACTTCAGACATATTTCTCTTTCCTTTTACAGTGACATAGTTGGATTGAGTATTTAAAGCTTTTACTCAAGTAAGATTAGCATTACTTCAATATATTTATAATCACAATAAAAAGTTGCCATGAAACTACTTTAGTAAGATTAAAGAAACATTTGGTAAAGAAAGTTACCATTGAGTCACCTGATTTAATCTCTGCAGTTTATGCCATCAAACAGACAAAGCAATTAATATTCTGCACCAATTATGGTATTATAAAAAACATAACATAAATAAAAATTGCAAAACAAAATTACAGAAGAAACCCTTTTCCAATTTAAGTTTATAATAGATGTATATGTCGTTTCGTTCTAGTTTAGTTTTTCTCAGTTCTGACTTTGTTTTCCTTTAATTTATTTAGTTGTATTTAGGTGTTAGAGGGGGGTAGCAAGCTTGTATTAGTTATTACAGCTTTATTAATGCTTAGTTATAGTTTAGATTTCATGTAGTCTATTAATATTTTTAGTTAATTTTAGGCAAAGAATTCAAAAAAGTAAAAGTGTTGTATCTATGTATGTAATAAAGGCTCAACACAAAAACAAATTCAATTTTCAAAGCTTGATGTTCATTAAGGTACCTGACATACATCAGTGTGCAAGGCTTATAAATAAATTGATAGATTTCTGTATTCTTGTTTAGTTAGTGTTATAAATGCTCAATACAGTTTAACCTCTTTTAATTTCAGTTCTGTTTTATTTCACTTCACTAAAATGTTTTCTTAATTATACTTTTAATTTTTTCGTCAGTTTAAGTTTATTATAGCAACCCTGGTTAGACAGTTGGCAGAGCTGGTTTAGGCAGGTATAAAGGAAAATTAAAACATCACAGCTTGTATAGAAACAAGATAAGTAATTTTAGTATAAACTCTAGAGTCTGTGTGATTTATTTTCCTGCAAAAGAAGCTTCTTTTTTTCCTTTGGATTAAAGTACTTGCAATGGGTAGAAGAACCAAAAAGTCACTGAAGTTAGAGTAGCAATACTTTATAATAATGTTACTAAAGTAAAACATATCATGCAGTAAAGCTGGGCCTCTTCTGGGCTCAAGTTACATCAACAAGCATTATTTCCAACAGTTGCTACAATTTTTGCAATAATATTTCTGTATGTATTGATATTAATTGATTGATACTCCCACAGAACAAACAGTGGAGGAATATAGTGAAAATTACCATTCCAACAACACACTCAGCCTCTACCAATAAAAAGTAATGCTCATCCCTAAAATAAAACAGTATAAAAATGTCAGTTTTTCTTTACATTAGGTATTTGCTAACTTCATCAGTGCCTTATTGTTATTAGTAGTAAGACTAACTTGTAATTTACTAAGTAGTAATTTTCTAATTAAATCTCAGGTCATATCCAATCCAATGCCCTGAACTACTTTGACGTTTCAGATGAAAACAATTTAGACTAGTTTCTGATGTTATGTGTTTGTTTTATAACTTACTTACATTTCTTTATCAGTTCAAAAGGATTTTCCCAAAAGTCTTAGAAATTATTAAGATTTTTTAGGTAACCCTGGGACAGTTGTTTGTGTTCTGTAGAGCTGACTATGGCATTCTCCCTATTTCTTGCCCTATCAAGATGTTTTTCTGGGTTTTCCTGGGACCTCCTAGAGTGACAGTCAATGTGCTTTTGTAGTAATTTTAGTTGACTAATCGCTGGTCAGAACGCTCCAGCTGTTCCATGTTGTCTATGTTTGTAGATGGTGCTTTTCATTGACATTTGCTTAATTCCCAAAGCCTTGGAATAGCTCTGTAAATTTTTCCACTCTGTTAAGCGTGATATGCTCTCAAATATACTTTTTTTTTACAACACTGTATATCCACACATATCTGATTTAAATGGTGTGTTTAAATTATAAAGGAGACTGATAAAGCTTTTGTAAGTGTAAGTGTACTGTATAACAGCTTTGAAGATTGTTTAAATCTGGATGTAGTAATCACTTAGCAGTTTAAATAATAAAGAATAATTGGATTTTTGTCTTTAGGTGCCTTCTGTGTGGTGAAATCCCTCTTCAGAAGTTCAGCAGCTGGTTTTGTGTTCGGACAAGCTGCCTCATTCTCAGTCCATCCCTCTCTGACTGAAGACGTTACCCTACTGAACTCTGCCACTCGAGCCACTGGACGTGCTGGTTCAACCGGTGTAGCAGTGGTGACGGCATGCCTTGTGTTCACTTCAGCACTCCTGTCTCTTGGAGCCGGTTTTCTCCTCTGTGCCCTGGTACTGAAGCTGCTCACTAAGGCCGAAGTGAGCCTCCCATGGCTGGTGGGCCCCATATTGGGGGCCTCAGTTGCCGTGGGCACAGTCGCCACCGGAGTGATGGAGGGCATCCTTCCAACATGGACCTACATTGTGGCTCAGGGCATTCTGGTTCTTGTCGTGTACTCTTACTCCAACATCAGTGACATGACAACAGCTCTGTTAATTATCTTTACCACTCTGTACCTCAGTGTTATATTTGGAAAGTTAGGGGCCATATTCGGCTTCTTTTGTTTGGGAGTGACCATCCTTGTTCTCTTTGCTCTACGACGAACTCTTACAAGAGGGTCTGTGCAAGAACAGAACTCTAAAAGTGGGTGCAAGTTGTTGGAGAGAATCTTCTTCTATTCTGTTTTTGTGGGGATTTTGGGTTTTTTCGTTGGCTTAGGGGCAGGTGGGGCAGAAGAAGGCACTAAAGAACAGGTGGTATTAATGCTACAGTCAGTGGTTTGGGTCGTCTTTCTGTCAGCAGGGCTTCTAGGAGCTGGCCTAGGAACAGTGGCAATGGTTTCACTTGGATCAGAGTTTCCTGGGAAGCTTTCTGTCGGAGCTGCTGTAGTAACATCAATGGCCTTAAAAGGTGTTCTACTTTGGAGCGCCACTCTTGGGCCCAGAAGCTGTTTAGGAGCAACTTTAGGGGCAACCACAGCTGCAGGGGTGTCACTTGGTGCTGCAAGTGTGTCAGCAAAGCAAAGTTTTGGGTCCAGGAACTCGACCCTCGTACTTTTAGGTTCCGTTGTCATTGGTGTACTCATAGCCATCAAGGTTCCCGGACTGACACCAACACAGCTAACAACTTCCGAACTCATAACAGTGACAATCACTGCTGTTGGAGCATTCATCCTGGGTGCACCAAAGAGCCCATTCAACACTCAAGTGCATCTGCGGCAGGGCCTTCTCACGGGGGGAGATCTAATTAAAGGAATCGGCATGGAGACGGTCACCGCAGCAGCAGCCCCTATTGGAGCTGGAGCCCTGGGGGCCGCGGCATTAGGCACGGCAGCTCTGGGGATGCTGGGGACTGTAGGAGTTCTAGTGGCTATAGGGTTGGCCTTGGGAAGCGCTCTCAGTGGAATGTTAGGAAAATCACCATCGACAACCAACACACACAGAGACTGAATGACAACTGAGTCTAAGTCCTTTTCTACTACTGCAACCAAATTCTTGAGTTCTGTTAGTAATGGTTTGTACCAGCAAAGATCAACTCTGTTATGTTGAATCATGTTTTTTGTGCATACAAATGTGATATTTGTGTCATTAAAACCTGCTGTTTTGTCCACCGGTAACCAATGGTGTTTGTTTCCTTTTCAGAGAATTAATAAAACTAATTTTTTTTTTGCCATATGTCGTAAATTACCTCCACCCTTCTGTCTTTTTCTCAGTTCTGTGCACCAGCACATTTCCCATGACATAACTGTGAGACTTTAGTGTCATCTTAACAACAGTAACAGAGGATTTGCTGTTTACCATTGGGAGAGGTTGAGGTGGGAGGAAACAGAGGACTTATCCGAGCACAGACAAGCCTCTGAGAAGTGTTTGTGGTTTTACATACGAGTTTGTGATGCCGTTAAACCATTTTTAGACATGCAATACCCTCAAATGGATACCTGGACGTGGCTCCTTTCTACTTTAAAACTGAACAGGATTTGGATACTAAAGGATGTCATATTTTCTCTATGAAGTTTTAGGTTTGGAGGAAAAATTATTGTTCAAATGATCCTAAATGTCATAAAAGGTAAGCACCTTTTATGATGAATAGCTTTTTAATACCAATGGAACTAATATTTTTGAGATTCAGTGTTTTTTAAACACTAGATTGAAACTTTTGCCGCTTTTCTAATGAGTTTGACTGTCATTTGGAAATACCATCACATAAACCAAATGGATTACCTTTAAACAAACAGCATGTCACTGGACCAGGCCAACACAGCAAACACAGAGCAGTCCACTGAGTGCTCTGCAGAGTATTCAGGGCCAGCTCCCAGGGATCCTGGTCGTAGTCGGGATGTGGCCATCCTACAGTCTGGCTGCTGCCGCTGCCTGCCGCGGGCAGTACGCCTCACTTTTACCCCTGAGTCTCTGGAGAGGCTTTATCAGAATTACTTTTGTCGGCAGAGAGAGGAGAACCTGCTGGTCTTAGTGTTATTCGCAGCCCTCTTTAACAGCTTCATCATCATCATGTGTGCAGTGGTTTACACAGAGGACAAAATGGCAATGGTGGTGGTTGCAGCCGTGGGGTTGACAGCAGATGTAGTTCTCTACCTGCTGTGCTGGTTTCAAAAACTCCCTACATCACCTGTGGCACGAGGGGCAGTACCTTATGTGCTGTGGCTGATGGTCACCATCCATGTTTTATGTTACATGGGACTGAACTACGAGCAGTACTCTGATGCAAGTGACTCAGTGGGCTGGCTGGCTTTCTTCAGCTTCTCCAGCTTTCTGACCTTACCACTGAATCTGGTTCCCCTCGTCCTTCTCACAACCCTCTCCTGTGGGATACACACCCTGGTACTTGGGGTCACCGTGGCTCAGAGGTTTGGGGATAATCTTCAGGGGCCCATGCTGGTGAGACAGGTAAATAATTACATGTTTGGATCTTAAAATGTGAATGTGTGGGTCTTGACATGTGCACATACAGATCTTGACCTGTGCATGTGTGGATCTTGACCTGTGTATGTGTAGATATTGACCTGTGCATGTATGGATCTTAACCTGTGCATGTATGGATCTTGACCTGTGCACATATGGATCTTGACCTGTGCATGTATGGATCTTGACCTGTGCATGTGTGGATCTTGACCTGTGCATGTATGGATCTTGACCTGTGCATGTATGCATCCTGACCTGTGCATGTATGGATCTTAACCTGTGCATGTATGGATCTTGACCTGTGCACATATGGATCTTGACCTGTGCATGTATGGATCTTGACCTGTGCATGTATGCATCTTGACCTGTGCATGTATGGATCTTGACCTGTGCACATATGGATCTTGACCTGTGCATGTGTGGATCTTGACCCATGCATGTGTGGATCTTGACCTGTGCATGTATGGATCTTGACCTGTGCATGTATGGATCTTGACCTGTGCATGTATGCATCTTGACCTGTGCATGTATGGATCTTAACCTGTGCATGTATGGATCTTGACCTGTGCACATATGGATCTTGACCTGTGCATGTATGGATCTTGACCTGTGCACGTATGGATCTTGACCTCTGCATGTATGGATCTTGACCTGTGCATGTGTGGATCTTGACCCATGCATGTATGGATCTTGACCTGTGCATATATGCATCTTGACCTGTGCATGTATGGATCTTGACCTGTGCATGTATGGATCTTGACCTGTGCATGTATGCATCTTGACCTGTGCATGGATCTTGACCTGTGCATGCATGGATCTTGACCTGTGCATGTGTGGATCCTGTGTGTCTGTGTAGATCTTGTCATATGCATGTAGGGATTTTGCTGTGTATAACGTGTAAGACACATGTAAGTTTGTTAATACTGAGTGTCTTCCATATATGTTAAAGTTCATAACAATACAGCTATAAAAAGACAAAACAAATGTGCCTTTTTTTTCTCTTAAAGTAATATTGCAGCAAGGGTTGAGAGAGGAAGACAAACATATAGTAAATGTTCGATCTTTCCTTTTCCATGACTGTGGCTGTTGACGGTACAGTTTAGGGCCACTGCATTTTTCATTCTGTGACCATATTCAATTGATTAAAATTGTATTGTTTCCTTTTATACTCACTGCATGTATCATTTGTTAGTGATCTCATTTAAGATTCTCACATTTAGGAGCCTGTCGATATGTAGCTGAAAAAACAGACATCCTATTACAGACAGGTGAGAGAGCACCTCTCTACAGGAAGAAAAACATTTCTTCATCTTTTCAGCTGTTGGCCAATGTGATGCTGTACCTGTGCGCAGCCATGGTGGGTGTGATGTCATTCTACATGGCCGATAGGAAGTACAGGACAGCATTTTTGGAAGCTCGTCAGTCACTTCAGGTCAAACTGACTCTGGAGGAGCAGAGCACCCAGCAGGTAAGATAACTCTTAAAAACAAAAGGACTTTTGCTTATTACCTAGGAAATATAAAACAACCTCAGCTTCATCTTTATTCAACTTAAACTGCAGCCTAAAATTCTGACCACAAATCCTGAGTTTTCTGGCATAGAAACATAAAGGGATCAGGAAACAGAATGCCCTGTGTTCATTAATTACTCTGTGTTTTCCTATGCTGCTTGCTAATAGGTTGATTAGACAGACCATTGTTTTCATCATTAAATCAGACAACAGGGACTTGTATAACACATTGTCATCTGAGCTGTTGGACAGCAAATACAAATGTATACTGCATCCTCTAAGCAGCATCATTTAGAGAAGATATTCTGAAATATTTCATTAATTTAGCATATGCTTAAAATTGACAAATTTAGCTTGTTGTTGTCTTTTGTTCCTTTTATATCTTTTCCAGTGCCTTGCAAAACACCTTTATTTTCAAAGTAGAGCATAATTGTGAAGTGGAAGGAAAAGAAAACTTGTTTTTTCAAATTATATTACAATCAATAATCTCAAAAAGGTGGCGAGCATTAGCCCTTTCTGTCTGATCCCCCCAAATGAAATGTGGGGAAACACCCTAAAAATATCCTTAGTCAGATGTTACAATATTCTGCAAAAATATTGCTCCTTTAAGAAGGAGTGGCAAGATAAAAGGCATTGTTCAAAGAAAGCTACGAGAATGTCTTTCGGCAGATTGGGGTAAGACATAGCAACAGGAAAATGAAGTGGATGCAGCATCACAAGGTATGGAGGCTTTTCCATTAGCTAGGTTGGAGAAGCTGATCAAATTTTAAAGAGGGATGGAGCTGAGCAGAGGGTGGTTTTGGAGGAATAGCTTTTAGAGCCTGCAAAACAACATACGGCTGGAGAAAAGGTTAAAATCTAAGCAGGTCATTGGCTCAAGAACCAAAGCTACAATAAAATGGTTTAGAGAAAGCACATGCATACGAGAGAATGGCCCTGTCAAAGTCCAGACATTGAATGCAACCAAGAGTAAAAAGGTACAGTGAGAGTATGTATATGAATTGGCAGATTACTCCACAGTTTTGGGGCCACAACAGAGAAGACACTATCCACTTTTCTACTTTGACTTCAAAAAATCTTTAAAAATGCATTGTTTTCTTGTGGATGTCTAGCTTTATATCAGACCCTTTATGCACGCTGGGGTAAGTGTATTATCCCTTTTTAAAAAGGAGTGGCACAGTTTTAAAATCAACCTGGCGCGGGCAAGTGGGGCAGTGGTTAGTGCGCACAACCCAAGTACGGAAGCCTTAGTCCTCGACGCGGCCAACCCTGGTTAGAATCCGGCCTGTGGTCCTTTGCCGCATGTCTTTCCCCCTCTCTCATACCCCCTTTCCTGTCAGCCTACTGTCAGAAAAGCTCGCCACTAGTGTCGCAAAAATTTAATAAATAAATAAATCAGCAATGTAACAATCAAGAAGCCAGTGGAGTGAATTTATATGTTTCTGTTTTGTCGTTGCTGCTAAGAACCGAGCAGCAACAGTTTATACCAGCTGAAAGCAATGAAAAGATGCCTGATATAAGCCAACACATGCAAGGACTCAGAACTGAGGACCCAGAATTCAGAAAAGACATACAGTGGAATAACTCGAAAGTGTTTATTTCATAGAGTGGGTCTGTAGAAGCAGCTGCACAGGAACTTCTATAGAAGAGAAACACTGGTTAGTGACCACGATAATCTGAAGGAGGACGATTATGAACGCATGAGTAACTAACCTGGACTGACAGTTCAGCCATGGCTAGAGAACAAGGATGATTTCAGCTGGTCAGCTGACAAGACTCTGCGGACGCAGCGGAGATCAGACAAGGTCAGGCAGGCTTAAAAGTCGGAACACAGAAACTGGTCAGGATCAGGCAAACGGAACACTATAGTAAAGCTCGGAAGCTCTCTACACCAGAGGTCACGGATTAGCGGACCAAGGTCTGGATCCGGACCCACCTGCTTGTTGATCCTGACCCAACCTGATTTAAAACATTTATAAATTACTGCGTGTAGTTCGACGACAGTCTCTAAAGGTCACTTGCGCTGCTTCTCCTGTTTGTATGGTAAAGCCATCCAGAGCGTCCAGCACCAAGCTGCACGTGATACAAATTAGCCAATCAGCTGTGTCAGTCTGGGTTGTTGCTGCTAGCCACTTTTAGACACAGCAGGCAAGCCGGGCAATGGAAAGGAATGAGAATACAATGAGAAAAAGAGAGCAGAGAAAGTGCAGACTGCTGAAAGAAGCGCACTGAACTGGTGAAAGAAAAGTGAAATGGCGTGCTCAAAGATGACCCTGCACATTTTGAGTATGTTTGGCTCAACCTCCTGCTGTGAAGCAGGATTCTCCACCATGAACATAATCAAAAATAAATATCGATCCAGGCTCAAAATCAGCACCTTGATATGTGCTTGAGAGTGGCTTTGTCGCCAGTCAAACCCAGGTTTAAATCCTTGCAGTTCAGCCTCAATCACACTTCTCTCATTAAGCCATAAAAAATAAAGAAAAAGAAAAGCGGCCAGTTCAGGTGTTTCATTAAAAAGTAAGAGAGGCCTCAGTCTCTATATGTGCCATGTAGAAAGAAATACTCCAAAAGACAGCAGCTATGTTAACAAGTATTACATTCAGGCTGTGGAGTTTTAAATGCATTTCCCAATATCATTTTGCTGTTTGTAAAATGATTCCAAAAACAGATTTACTTGACTTCTACTTTGCAACCGTGTCTAACTTTCTGTTGGTCTGTCAAATGAAATCCAAAAAAACTTACAGAAGTTGAAAGCTGTAACGCTAAGTCAAAAAAATTATGAGTTGTACAAATTTTGTAAGGTACTTTCTTTAAGATTTTGGGTCTGTTAGACTTTGAAAACCTTTATGAGTTACATTTGAATTAAAACAGAAAGTCACAAACAAACTCATTAACAGCATACTTGATGTGTAACCTGATAAAACGGAGAAAGAAGCTTTCTAAGATGAGCAAAGCTGACCAGAATCTTTTTAGATCCACTGATAGGTTTACATTTCGAGCACTCATAAAGAGAAACCTTTTGTATTTTTTTGTTAATTTAATACACATACATTCCTCTTTCTGTTCATGTAGGAGGAATTATTGCTGTCTATCCTACCAAAGCATATTGCTGATGAGATGCTGCAGGGTATGCAGAACCAGGCCAATCAGAATGAGGTCCAGCAGCATCAGCAGTTCAATACCATGTACATGTACCGCCATGAAAATGTCAGGTCAGAGTCACAAAATCTATTGGAGAGATCTTAAAATCCCACAACACATGTGATTTCTTTATATGAAAGAAGAGAGTTGGGGCTGATGTTGTTTTGTGCCTTTTTGTTGCAGTATACTCTTTGCAGACATAGTCGGCTTCACCCAGTTATCCTCAGCCTGTAGCGCCCAAGAGCTGGTCAAGCTGCTCAATGAACTGTTTGCACGCTTCGATAAACTGGCCTCAGTAAGTATGAGTTATGAATGCCTAACCTGTCAGTTTCTAAGGTTCCCAGTCTTTATTTCAACCTAATATAAAACAATCACATTAATAGTAATTGTTGTGTTTTTTTTTTACTTAATCAAATTTTGTTAAATCACTGGTTTCTATAAGAATTATTTTTAAATAAAAATAGGCATTTGTAATGTTTACTTTTTATTTTAGGTCACCAGAACATTTTGCCTCTCTATGGTACTAATGGGAAATGATTCATGAACCCTTTTTTTATCAAACGGCCAACAGTTCACCACTTTTTATGGATACTTTTGTTGATTTTGTTTGTTTCTTTTAAAATCTTAAAAAGAAACAAACAAAATCCACTCAAACTATGTGCGTGTACTTACTAAGTAGTTTTGCACCAGTGGTATCCAGTTTTAGAAAATACCATTATGAAAAGAATAACAAAATACATTGATTGTGATTATATGAGCTGGTATCACTATATTTTGTAGATTATGTAATGCATTGTTTATTTTACCTAAACAACTATAAACAGTCAGGACTTTCCAATTTAGTCTGAAGTAATGATCTTAATATGTTTGTTGTTTTTCCTACTGTATTGTTCTGTTGAGGGTGGCTTTGCCTCCTGGGGCACTAGACACAGGTGGCTATAATCTTTAATATTTACCTTGTGTTCATTATTATGAATTGTCCATTTATAAAGAGAAACAAACAAATATAAGTAAGTGGTTCTGTTAACTGTTAAATCACAAAAAAGCATATTTTAAAACCTGTTGTTTTAATGTTAAAAACAAACTACTGTTTCATTCTGACTATATGCACACATTTAAAGGACAGAAGTACCTCCTTCCCAATGAAAATAAGCTTTATTTGTGATCCTGATTTATCTAAACTTTCTTGTCAAGTGTCTTTTATTACGTTTCTGTTATGGTACCAAAGACCGAATTTTTTTGACAACCATTCATCCATTAATTTCCTACTAATTTCTATGGCCTAACCATGACCCATACCCTAACCCTAAACATAATTTAAACTCAATTCACATCTTAGTCCTTAACCTAACCCCCAGAACCTTTCCTAATTTGGATAAAATGTTAGCCCCCACAAGTACCTATAAGCCTCCAAAATGTATCATATTCCTGGGAACGTGTCCCAACCAGGTACCAAAGACATGGCCACACGGACACACACACAATATATCCTTGGATACTTTCTACTTATATCATAATGTGGTGTTACTTCTGAACAACTTGGTGCTGAGAAACTGTGAATTATTAGCATTATGATTTATATATGATTTCTACTTCAACTCATTATCAAAATTCAACAAAAGCCGGAGAAAATTTCTTTGTGTTTGTAACAACATGATAAAATCTGATCATGAACATTTTGAAATGTAAAATGCAAATTTCACACCTGTCAGAATTTGAAGGAATTATTGAGTTTATTTCAGACAAACCACAAAAAAATAGATAAAACATACAAATATGACATGCAATTATTATAACTATTGGTATTTATAATTGTTATAAATATAATTTAGTGCTAATGTCTAAAGAAATGTGTGAGGAAATGAAACCTACTTAATCATACCTTTTCACCTTCCTGTTCTCCATAACAGCAGCAATTCTTTGGATTCCCATTTCACTTATAATTTTCATTACCATCTACTGCTAACACATTGTAAATGAAACCTGAACCTTTTTGTTGCTCTGCAGCAACATCACCAACTACGAATTAAGATTCTCGGGGACTGCTACTACTGCATCTGTGGGCTGCCAGACTTTAGGGAAGACCATGCCGTTTGCTCCATAATGATGGGCCTTGCAATGGTGGAAGCTATCTCGTAAGCTCTCAATTTTGTTTCCTTTCTTAAATGGAAATAAAGTTAATGTCAATGCATGAAGCAGAATCAAATCAGTACAGAGTTTTTGGTTTTTGGTTAAATGGAAATAGGATTAGAGCACTGAAATTGATGTAGAAAAGGACGGTTTCTCTATTTGAACAGGTATGTGCGGGAAAAGACAAAAACCAACGTGGACATGCGGGTGGGTGTCCACACAGGCACTGTGCTCGGTGGAGTGCTGGGTCAGAAACGCTGGCAGTTTGATGTTTGGTCAACAGATGTCACTGTGGCCAATAAGATGGAATCTGGAGGAATCCCTGGGTAGGAAATATCAAGTAAGATGCCATTATAGTCAAGTTGTAGTGATTTATTAATCAAATATTCATGCATCACACAGGAGAGTGCATATTTCCCAGAGTACCAAGGACAGTCTGCATGGAGAGTTTGAGGTTGAACCTGGAAATGGGGGAGAGAGGTGTGAGTACCTGTTGGAGAAAGGAATTGACACTTACCTGGTTCTCAAACCTAAACAGGAAGCAAATGGACTTAATGGAACAGTGAGTTAGTTTTAACTTTCCAAAATACAAATCTGGAGCGATTTTGGTGCCAACCTTTTTCAAAAATATGATATGTCTTATAAACAAATGTCCCCGTTTCTCCTCAGACACCAGGTGATCTGACCCACAGAAATTCAGATCAGGTGATCAACACAACCAAAACTAATGGGAACTCAGTCTCACACCAGTCAATGTTGGCTAATCCTACTCAGGAGGTAAATAACAATGCACATCTGAGACTCTTGAATGGGACACTAAACTGTCATTTTAATCCTTTTAAAACTGAATTATTCCAAGCTTTGTAATTATTTTACTTATTTTGGAAACATCAGTCTTTCCAATTCAAATTTCATGTCAAGCATATTTCCTGCTTTTTGTTGTAGTTACTCTAGTCTAAAATCATGTCTTGCTTTTTTCCTTTTTCTTGTTGACTAGTCTGGGTTTAAAATCCTGGAACCTCCTTGAACAGCCTTGTTTGTTCTTGTTCTTTCTAACCCCTATTGCCACAAACAGATATGATTATAGTGCCCTGAACTGTATTGGTTGATATTTGTTATAACAAGCTATATTATTCGGTTATACAATGGATGCTGTGTTTCCTTTACATGTCATGGGCCATTCATTAAAATTTAGCAAAATTGTGTATCTGTTTATAAAAGGCTATATTTCTTCCTTTACGTTGCTCTAAAAGTTTGGTCACATGTTATAACTGAATAAGAACCACTGGCTAAACAGAGATAATTCTGCACTGCCAAGTTTAAATTATCTACTACATATCTTAAGAACCTTAATAACATTTCATTTTGGGTTTGTTGCAAACAATCTTAGAGAAATAAGATGGCGGATGAAAAAGCAATCAACAGACGACTGCAGCAGGAGCTCCTGGACAGAGAGTCTCAGCAAATGTAAGATGAATCGTTCATCTTTTTGAGAGCTCTAACAGTGAAACATCCTCTCTTTGTATTTTTTCGGTTCACGATTTACTTGTTAATATGCAATTTCTGTGCAATACATTACTTTTCTCACTGCAATGTTGTTTTGTTATGAGACAGAATGAAGGATCACCAAATCAATCCAGTTTCTCTGCGCTTTGTGGATGGAAAGCTGGAGGAGCATTATTCCTCGGAGAAGGAGAAGAGAAGTGGAGTGGCCTTTAGCTGCTGTATCATCGTGCTCTTTTTCATCACAGCAATGGAAGTGTTTATTGATCCATTGTGAGTTAGAATTTGATTGTTTAGCCCATTTATAAGGTTCTAACACTCAATCAATGCGTAAATTACAAGCATTGACTTTCTTTATATGGGCTTGAGCTTATGTTGTGATTTTAACTGTTTTCTGTGTTGTTTTTTTTCCAGGTTGGTTGTGAACTATGTGACTCTTGCTGTCGGACAATTGTTGTTACTAATTCTCACAGTTTGCTCCCTGGCTGCAATCTTTCCTAGGGTGAGAAATCAATGATTTGTCAATTAATTAGTCATAACATCAAGACTGCCTTTCCAAATTTACATTCCCTCTTGTTTACTTTTTTTTTTTGAGTTACAGATGTTCTCCAAGAGGTTGGTTTCTTTCTCGATGTGGATCGACCGTACGAGATGGGCTCGGAACACCTGGGCCATGGCTGCCATATTTGTGCTAACCATGGCAGTAATAGCCGACATGGTAAGACTAAGGACATTTTCACAAACCCTGCTTTTCTGTATGTCCCAGCAGGAAGATTTAAAGGAGCTTTTGTTATGTTTTCCAATACTGTTTTCATTTATTCAGGGCTTATGGATGTCATCAATCCAAGCAGTTGTGGTGCATCTGTGGTTTTTCATTAGTATGTTTCCACTTTCCGCTCATCAAACTATTACTGCCTGTTACACTTCTGACTGCATACTCCCAGCGGGGTCCATTACAGTAGCTGTCTGCATCACTGCTTGCCACCTCGTTTGTCACAGCCTCACAGGAAAAACCTGCCACACACACTGCTGAGTTCTGAAGCAGGGATGCAGAAGTGAACCTTTGTTTTTTGTTTTTTTTTTGTCTTGTTGGGCAGGCAGGGGTAACAGTCATTCCTCTAAGAGCTCCTTAAAATTATGAGCTACTTTTTTGCTCATAAGGAAAAATAACATAAATGTAATGATTGCAAATTACTCATTGATAGAATTTGGTGTAGGTCAAAACCTAAGCCTGTTAACTACCATATTAAACCCTAAACTTCAGAGGGAAAAAAAGAGTTGAGAGTATTTTGACAATGGCTTTTTAGAAGCAGGAGAAATCCATGGAAAAGGGATTTTTGTGAACATGCTTCTATGGGTTTATCATTAAAAAAAAATTATAAAAAAAAAACTCTGGACCTGGTTAGACAATTCTTAAAATGTTACTGGATGTAATCCCAAGTTTGATCTTTTTGCAAAATGCTTAAACGGTTTTAAACCATTTATAAGTAGCACATCCTTAGAAAAACAATTTGTTAGCTAACAAACTTAGATTTATGAATTTGAACCATCTATTTCTCCAGATTATTTTCCATACGATCAAAACACATCTGATCAAGAAGGCATCAGCATGAACTTGTTACATTTAACAACAATAAAAATAACAACATTAACAAAATACATTGTTAACATTGAAACACGGATGAGGTTGATTGCAATATTAGTATAGCATCAAAATCATTCAGACTAACCAAGGTGGAATGCGTAATTTAGGTCATGCATTTAGAGCTAAAAACATAAAATCTTCCTTGTCTGCTTTGACTGATGCATAGCTGCTATGTAATTTTAGAATATTATTGGTAAAAGGTACGTGGCAATGAAACGGATTTGTATACAAACACTTGTATACCTCGATATCTTAACACACATGTGTTAAGATATCCAGGTAATCTCAATAATTATGAACTTTTTTTAATAGGTTTTTTTAGCTCTTATCTTCAGACTCCTGACATAAGAAAATGAGCAATAGAATAGAAGACACATTCCTTATTTTAACCTGAACACCACATTGTACCAAGAGGGTGAAAATATAAAACAGTTAAAAATAAGAGACCCATTAGCAGAGGCAAATAAACAACATAAGAAAAAATCTCTTAAGCTATTAAAAATTATATCCTCAGATTAAATATATTTGCAAATCTAGGGTCATTTAAACAAAGAAAAAACATCTATATATACCTGTGCATGAAAAACAAAAAGAGACATTTTACAAGAAAGAGAATAACTTTGCAAATAATATCAGGGATATAAAAAAAATTGTGTGTTCATTTGTCAGGATTGATATTTCTAAACTCTAACAGCTGCTTGGAGGAAAGACTATTTAGACCAAACTGAAAACCAGAACTTTTTTTTTTAAATCTGTTACTGTCTATTTAGTCTGTATATGAAAACATAAAACGTGCATTCCTGTTTAACTATCTCCAACCCAGAGATTATCAGCAATTTGTAATGTGTCAAAATTAATAGTTTTGGTATTTTCTCTTTACTAAGCTTTTACCTTTTCTTAATGTTTTAGCAGCACTGTTGTTGTACCAACAAAAATAATCAGTCCTGATATGCTGTGTGCAATGTCATCCGGCTCTTTGGATGAAATCTTATGCAAAATAAATGAAGTAGAATAGTTGTTGCTTAAAGTATCTCTATGAAAGCACCACAGATTTTCTCAAAGGCTGAATGGATGAGTTGTTTTGCCAAATAGAAATTACCCTGGTAAATAATTAAAAAATTGAAATGTTAAATGTTTAGATCAGGTTTTATAATTAAGAATGACAGAGAGGGTGACAATGTCATCCATTAGCCTGAACCACTGCTCACAAAAAATGGACAAAAAACATCTGAGATTTACCAAAAACTGTATTTATCATCTTGACATTCATAGAAGTACTTCTTGGACCTATAAACAAGCAAGATTCCCTCACATTAGCTAAATAAACATACAGAACATGTATCAAAATGGTATTGTCAACATCAAGTTTTGGACCAGACCCTCTGATGTAGTTAAATTAAATATTTTTGCAGAGAGTTAGGGAAAAAATTCATTCATAGTAGTGCAAAATAGTCATGGCCTGCGATCATTTGATGATATTTTTGTCACCAGACTTAGTACTGACTATTAGATCTGTGAGGTATTCATTGTTTTCACAGAGGAAGGAAATAACCTTATTATCCCGTACCTGCCTGTGGTAAAATTGCAATCAGCTACTTCCTCTTTTGGATTGGTCTTATTGTTTCAACCCAACTCTTTCAGTTGTCAATTCCCTTTTCTTATTCACATTTATTTTTTATATTATTTCTCTTCTTGCACAAAATAAAGTATAAAAAGAAACAATGCTTTTGCCTTGATGGATACGTTTTGAGTATAAATACTGCCTTATATATTTATGTCTCTTCAATCTAAATTTTGCAGCTCAGCTGTGTACCACCATCACTGCGGCTCTTCAACAGTACCTTTGGCCCGATGCTGGAGTCACTTGGAGACCGGGGATGTGCAGAAAATCCAAAATATTACAGCTTCATGGCTGTGATGTCCCTTATTGCAACGGCCATGTTGGTGCAGGTCAGCCACCTGATCAAACTGGGCCTTATGGTGCTAGTTGTCACAGCAACTGGAGCTGTTAATATTTACAGCTGGCGGGACATTTATGACCTGTATGATTTTATACAGTTTGCCTCCTACAGGTAAGGAATTGGGGAACGTTGATTTATTTTTTTTGGCAATTACTGCATTTGTCCATATATTACTTCTAATGCTAACCCTCTGCTTGTATTTTTAGAACATCCATGGTACCATCAAAGTATCTCATGACAATGATGATTATCGTCATGATGATAAGCTTTTATTTCTTTGCTCGTCATGTGAGTAAAAGCAAAGGACCATTGCCGGGAAAGCCTGCACCTTCAAAATTGTTTTCAAATGATGCTTAGAACTGTTGCATGACTTCCCATCTATCCACCTTGCATTTCTGTAGCTGGAGCGTCAGTCCAGGAAATTATTCCTGTGGAAGATTGGGGTCCATGACCAGAAGGAGCGAGTATTTGAGATGAGGCGCTGGAACGAGGCACTGGTGACCAACATGCTGCCAGAGCATGTGGCTAAACATTTTCTTGGCACTAAACTAAGAGATGAGGTACAAATAAAGCAAGTTTTACGTATTTTCTTCATATTTAGCTCAGAAAAGGTTGATCAAAGTGGTGCATAACGCATAGATTATCAGCAGCACAAACAATAAAAAATAAAAAGTACGATAAAAACAATAAAACACAAAGTAAAATAAGTGGGAAGATAGAATAAGTATGAAAACGGCCACATCAGAAAATGGGTTGGTACACTCACAGGAAAGCTCAGTCATCTCTATCTCTGAGCTGCAGTTTGGGTGGAGTTTAAAGGTGCAACAGTTCAGACACGTGTTATGGTGCCATAGCACTATAACATTGTATACTGAAATGAACAGGAAGGCAGCGCAAAGAGGTCAGGGCTGATATAATGTGGTTGCAGCATTTAGTCCTGGTCAGAGAGCGTGAAGCAAGATTATGCACAGCTTGCTGCCTCTTAGATTTATCAAGACCAACATAAAAAGAGGTGCGGTAATATAAGCATGATGCAAGAAATGCATAAATTACTTTTTCAGAGTATTAGTGGAATGTATGACTTTAACAAGCCTTGAATGGAAAAAGATACAGATATTATGGCGTCAACAAACATTTTTAGAGCTCTATTTGATCTGAGTTGGTTTGTGCACAACCATATCATGTATAATTCTGATGAAAATGAAAATGTAAAAATATGCATAATGATTTTACCTATGTTGTTTTTTGTGTTATTCTTTTGAAAACCAGCCTATTAATGTGAAGCTTACATTCCATTATTCATTGCATATCAGTGCCATCTTGTGGTTTGTTCCACTGTAACATATTTGATAACCACCGGCTCTTCTTAAATGTCAGCAGAGCTACTAAGTTCTGATATATCTGTTGCAGGAGCTGTACAGTCATTCTTACGATGAAATTGGTGTGATGTTTGCCTCCATTCCAAATTTTTCTGACTTCTACACTGAAGAAAGCATTAACAATGGTGGCATTGAGTGTCTAAGGATCCTCAATGAGATCATCTCAGACTTCGACAGTGTGAGTTAAGGCATTTAGCCAGTTACCCACAGTTCTATTCAAATGTGAATATCCTCTCATCATAAGCTTAAATTACTTATTCATATAGTTATTGAATAAAGTGCAGAAGCTTTATTTCATAGTGGTTTAAATACACTCAAATGGGTTAAAAATGAAGATATAAACTTACATGTGTTTCAATTATGCTTTAGCCTTTGGCAAAATTTTGCCTGAGGTAGTTAACAACTTTTCTTATCAGAAAGGGTGGAGCTTGTTTAAATTGGTAGGTTTCCAAGCACAGATCTCTCGTTTAGGTTTACTACTCTATAGATTTCCATTGGGCTTAAGTTTAGGTACATTAAAAACCCTCAAGTTCACCCTACTTTGGCATAATTCTTCTTCTGACACTACCAACTTTTGTCTAAACTATCACTCTCAGTAGAAAACAATTGGTTAGGGTGTGTAAAAACAGCATAGATAACACCAAGACCTATCATAAACTGGAACACCAGTATTACTAACAAGATAAATTACTTCTGGGGAGGTTTTATGATCAAATCAGAGTAGATTAATGATACGCAATGAGGAAAAGATATGTTTGGAGAGGCTCTCAAACCTTTCAACTAAATATACTTTATCAGTTACAGTGATGGTGAAAACATGATATGGGCCTTAATTTGGTTCATTTCATATTATTTTATTAGTAAAAAAATAATAATTAAACTAGAGGACTCCCTTTATGTTTTTCGATCTGAAGAGGCATAATTGAGTGTTTACAGCAGGTCAATCATAGACAAAGGGAAGGGTTCTTTTTTTAATAACACTAAACATTGAAACATTAAATGTGATCTTTCTTCAACAGTTATTGGACCGAGATGAGTTCAGGTGTATCACAAAGATCAAGACGATCGGAAGCACATACATGGCTGCCTCTGGACTAACCCCAGAGAGTAACACCAATGGATATGGCAGCCGAAAGGTGCTACCCTGTAACAGACAACTCGTGCTGTAGTTTTAGTTGCATGCATCCATTGCATCCTGCAAAGTGATATTTACTTATTGATTCATTTATTCAACCAAGTCGCATTTTTTTGTTTTACAGCCAGAAGAGCAGTCCATCATTGAACGCTGGCAGCACCTGGCTGACCTTGCAGACTTCGCCCTGGCCATGAAGGTCACCCTTGATAACCTCAACAATCAGTCCTTCAACAACTTCATGCTAAGGATTGGTCAGTGCACTTTGAGTTGCCTTTCTCTCTTTTTGTTGTTTCTGCATGTGATTCAATCTCTCTGTGTCAATTCCTCCAGGTTTGAATAAAGGAGCTGTTCTGGCAGGAGTAATCGGAGCCCGTAAACCTCATTATGATATCTGGGGTAACACAGTGAATGTGGCCAGCAGAATGGAGTCAACTGGAGTGATGGGGAACATACAGGTAGCACACAAAAATGTTGGACTTTTTATGCTACAGGGAACATCTCATTTCCAAAACACGTTTACCATCCACCATTACCCTAGCCTTTAAAAATCATCACTAAGTGTCTAATATTTACAATTCTATAAATAAAACAAAATCTTAGCAATCTGAAAATATCTACTTTTTCAAACTAATCACCATTTTTAATTAAACTCTTCTAAGTAAATGTTTGGCTTTGGGTACTTTCATAATGAAAGACACATGAAGGTAAGCAAATCAGTTGTTTTCTGAAGTGCAACGGTGGCCTATTGGTCAGATTAGGGTGCATGCATCCCAGATACACTGCAAATTCAAATTTCACACACTACCACTCTGTGTCCCTGAGCAGGACCCTAATTCCCACAATGCTCTGTGGGTCATGCATGAATTCCTTCTAAGGCGAGAGTTAGAAACAAAGTACAAATTTTGTTCCCCTGTACAACATTGCAGTAGCATATAAAGCTTATGATCATTATCTCTGCTGTTTTGCCCTCAGGTGGTGGAGGACTGCTATGACATCCTGAAGGAGTATGGCTTTCGCTTTATCCGAAGAGGGCCCATATTTGTCAAAGGAAAAGGGGAGCTGCTTACCTTTTTTATGAAAGGAAAAGACAAGTCCAGCTGCAAAGCCGGTCTAGGAACCACTGATCTCCCACACCAAGTTGAGGACCTTTCCTGATTTTTTTTTTCCCATGTCAATATTTCAGTGGGCTCTTTGCACAACTCCACTACTTCCTGAACTTAAGGTGGGTATTTTGTTTCCTATTTTATTTCTACTGGGTGAACTGATTAATACAGATGCGCCTGACCTCAGTAAACATGGACAGACAGTCCTGGATTAATCAGTTCATCCAGTAATGAAAGACAGGAAACAAAAAAGCTGACTTAGATTCAGGAATAAGTCGAGTTTTGCATAGAGCACATTAACGTGCAAACAGATTTTAAGAACAATATTAGCTTTGCTCCATTTTTCTTTTATTTTTTTTTCAGCTTTTACAACAGAAAAGTAGGACTATATAGACAAACAAACTCAAATGTTCTTTCACAATTATCATAACTTTTAGAAAACAAAAGTAAGTTTTGTAAAGGGGTAAACATTTCAATATCTTCCAAAGTGTCAAAAATGACGACATTTGAACAACCAAAACAGCCTTTTTCTTCGTAAACAGTTCAGGTGACATACTCAAACACATGATACAGTATTTTGGTTGTCTCTTATTTAAATTGAATTGTTCAAACAACAAACAAGTTGCAAGGAAAACATAAACAAGCATGGAAATGCGTGGCAAATTTCAATCCATATCACGAAGTAAGAATCGTTTTGTTCAGGGGGTGATCATAAAGCCCATCTTACTCTCACTGATGACATAAATTCCCTTTTATTCTTTTTTATTTGTTGATATTGAAGTATGTGATATCATCATAGCCCATATTTAAGTCTAAAGCTTTTAAATATGGGCTATCTAAGCATATAAGGGGAAATGTGCATCTGACCTTATAGTCTCATGGATGTAACAAACATGTAACATAATGTATTTAACCTTGAGCTCAGATTTATAAGAAAATTATAACAGTCAGGCTAACCTTGTTGCATTTATACTTTTAATAAAATATGTTAAGTCTATGTGTTTCAGAATATTTTGTCCTGTTGGATTGTCACTTCTGTTCGTGCCATGTACATTGGCAGTTGTCACCTCGCAAAAGCAAATATTTTAGCAGAAGTGATTGCTTTTTATTTTTTTAATTGTTCATTTACTAAGCTTCTTTTTATCAAAATAGATATATACAGAATTAGGGGTGTCTTAATCTGATGTTGATATCGTAAATGGGTCCAATATCAGCCAAGGAATGAATATCGGAATATATCTGCCTTCCTCTAAAATCTCCAATATTGTTTAAAGTTTATGTTCTTTTACTTGATGTTAAATATTCTTCTCTGTTTGACTTGATCAAGCTTTTCTATCATTCCATACAAGAATATATTGATAAAAGTATGTATGATTTCATGCTGATATCGTATCGGGTTAATATCAATATTGGTAAATTCTTAAACATGCAATATCGATATCATATCGGAAATGAAAAAGTTGTATTATGGACCATCCTATACAGAGTCAAAACTCAAGTCAAGGGATAGATAGATAGATATAAAGAGCAATAAATTATAGGTGGGGCAGTTAATCTACAAATAATGACTCTTGTACCCAGAAATAATAAATTATTCTCAAATAAAATCTAAAATGGAAAAGTAAACATAAATCCCATGCAGGTGAAATTATTCAACAGTTTCTTTGGTGTGATTAACTATAAAGAGATAAGAATTTTACCTGGTGGTTCTTGGGTAAGAAATTGTCATATGGTTTTTAGCAAAGACAAGTTTAAAAATTAGAGTTTTGGGGAAGATATATCTTATCAACATCTGCTTAACAATGTTCATTTGTTCTATTTAAAGAGATTTTTTTAAATGGTTAAATTTTAACTTAGTAGACTTAACAAGTTATTTTAAATTCAATGGCCGTAAATGTGTGGCCACAAACTTTATCTAACAAGTAGTGAATTAATCAAGCTGTATTGATCTACTGAAGTTTATTTAAAAAGTTTAATGGGGATGGTGTACACCTTGAAACCTGATTTGTGTTGTAGTGATGTACAGGTAATGCTGTGAATTAGGTGTATGCACATAAGGGTTATAAATACCCTTTGGATTTTAGAATTTCAATAAAAATTACGTTAAAATTATATAGGCGTGATACCAGACATCACAACTGCCATCATTTTCAATTTAACACGCTGCATATAAGTTATAAATTATTGAAACAATTAAATATTGTACTATAAATAAATATTACAAAACCAAAAAAGGAGATGCCATCAATAATATCTAAATGATCTAAACTAGATGTCAAAAGGGAGGAGAAGGGAAACGAAAAAAATCCTGCAAGCCTTGCAGCAGAAGATATGTATATTATGTGGTGCAACTTTTTTTGTATATATTTTATTATGATATATTTAATTAAATAGTTCCAAGTTTAGCATTTTAAGATATCATAAAAGTTATTATTGATAGTAAATTATCTATTTAATATAAACAAATGGTTTTAAATTATTTTACTGCAGTTTACTGAGTTTAAAAATTGTAATAAATCATTTACCAGTCATTTACCATTTAACTGCCTAAAAACATGTGTGCATCTAAAAAGAAATGAAATAATTTTTTCAATAAATTTTTAATATAATGGCCAAATTTAAAGTAATTTTATTTTTTCTGTATTGTCAGATATTTTAGTTATTATGCTAAATCTGTTCCATGCAACACCCATGGATTATATTCTACTCGGAAGCCTGCTAGTGTAGGAATTTCCGGCTACGTCAGGGCGTCAGGACTCCATTAGAGTTGCAGCTGTTTAGAGAGAAACATCAACAAAAAACGAGCTGACATTAGGCTCTGAGTCTGGCAACAAGGCCTTCAAGGCTCCTTCTGGAAGCGTAACCTAAATTTCCCACCCGGAGCTTCGCCGGTTTCTAACCACGGCCGCTCTCGGTGAGGAAACTCTGGCCTCCGCTTCCTCCTCCTCCGACTCGGACACCGGCGGAGCGTCGCCGCCCCCGCGGAAGAAACACCGAGCCTCGGCGGCGGAGGGAGCAGGAGAGCCCGGGGCTTCAGCCGTTGTAACAGGCCTCTCTGGAGTTGTCCTAGGACTTGCAGCGCACTCTCAAACCACCTCTACCATCCACTTTAATCGAAGCGTCGTTAACAACTTTAGCAGCAACATGCAGTCAAACGGGGCAGGACAGGGACAAGAATCCTCTGAGCTTCCCTGCCTGAACAGCGCACAAAACGGGGAGTCATCCTCGGCCGGTGGGACTCACTCAAACGGGCTTCTGTCCAGCGCGGACAACGGTAACGGTGTCGGTACCAGTAACGGGTCTTCTGTGGGACCCTGTTCGGGGACTTCGGCTACCTCCACGGCCTCGAGCTCGGAGGTGGGCTCGCTGAAAAAGAAGAAACGTCTGTCGCAGGCAGAGGAAGATGTCATACGATTAATAGGACAACATCTTCACGGACTGGGGCTGAAGTAAGTTTATCCAATATGTCAGTGGAGTAACTTCAGCAGACGATAAATACTAACCACCATTTCAACCATAATCTGCATCGCTGTTTCTTTTAGTGAAATACCAGTTGCTAAAAGCGCTATTAGAGCGCTTGACATACACAAACATGGGGGGATGGGGTAGTAAGTTAGCCTGTGAGCTCGGCAGTTGGTAGGAAGAGGGGTCCATCTTGCACAATAACAGTTAGCTTCGAAGCTAACTTCATTAGCCTGTGCTGATGTGCTCTGCTCTGACATCATTTAAAATAAAATAAAAAACAAGCCACATGAAAACAGTTAATCATATGAAACTTAACAACCAAACACATTTCTGTAATGAGGACATCATGTACTGTCAACATGTATGGATTTCGCACTGGATAAACGCATTACATCATCCAGTGTTATTCTCGTATATTCGCACTAAAAAAAACGCTCAACTTTTTTTCTATTTTTATATTTTAACAATCCTTTTACATCACAGTAAAATAAATTAGTTTATTTCGTGAAAGGGGATGTTGTCGGAGCTTCTTAACGAGGTGCTAAAGCAGGATTATCGAGTTTGTTGTGTACCTGTTAGCGGTTCAAAGGCTGTTGCGCAAAAAAAAAATGCGGATAATTTTTTAAGGTTACTGTATGGATTGTCAATCCGCAGTGATTATAGCTTTTTGGGGTTTTCTTACCAAAAAAAAAAAAACATTGTTATCCAATTTTTTATCTAGATTAGCGCATAATAGGTAAAAACACAGTAATAACAAGGCTATATCTGGTTGTTATTGCTCGTCTTTTCCAACTCTGCGTCTTTTTAATCCGTCATTTTGTGAAGCTGTGCAGATTTTGAAATATAAGACTGTCCCCCCCTGAAGATTGTTATGTCTCTCTGGCATTAATGCCCCTAATTCCTGCGTCTGATCGTCACAGCTATTTGTTAGACAGTCAGTCATAGCCCGTGACATGTGTTTATTTTGAGGGCATGTGTTTATTTAAAGACGCGACTCGGGCATTTGTTCTTGAAATGAGCAGAATCGGATGGTTTCATGGCGGCTGGGGAATGCGCTCTCTACCAGCTGTTTTAGATGGAAACGCTTTGCTTGAATCTAATTATAGCCACGGTGGGGGGTTTCAGGATATGCATGTGTGCACTCGTCGTTTTAAAGTGACTGTTGTGTGGCTTTAACCTGTGCTGATCTGTGGTGCCCAGCTGGGAAAAGTAGAACAGCTTTTATATGAAAATGACAGCCTTAACGTTTCTGTGTTCATTGGGGGGGATGAAACAGAGCCCCTATATTTCAGCAAAGGAAATACAGGAGAAATCAGTATTGCAGTCAGCTGGATGAGAGGCTGAACACAAAGCTGCTGCGCCACTTCATTGATACCTGAGAATGATGTCATCATGCTGAAAGGTGTCAGCCCCCCCACCATCCATGGCCTCCTCAATTTCATTATCTCAAAACTCGCATCCTGACATGCACATTGATGGTATCCTTAGATGGGAGTTGGTGTTTGGACAGATGGCAGTTGTTCATGTTGACAAGCTTGTGAGGGGGAAAGCTTGTCCTGTGTAAAAATCCTCCTACTGTCCACAAGTCTGTGCTCATTTTTCTTCACCCATAAAGACCTATTACATGTCCTTTTGTGTAACAAGGTGACATGGATGCTTGTGCCACCTATTTTAGCCCATTAAATTACGGTAATTTTCTCTGTAAGATAACTTCATATTATACAATGCTTTGACATTTTAGCATCCTGCTGACAGAGCTTGCAGTTTTGATTGCAGCCAATGTTGATGCTGAAAAGCCACCTTCATGCTTAATTTCAAAGTCACCCCTCCTTAATTTTCCTTCCCTTTTTTAGGTATTGTCTCTATACATCAGCATAACTTTGTCTGCCTCTCCTCCCTGCCTGTCTGTGTGTGTCTGCAGTCAGACGGTGGACCTGCTGATGCAGGAATCAGGCTGCAGACTGGAGCACCCTTCAGCCTCCAAGTTCCGCAGCCACGTCATGGAGGGAGAGTGGGACAAGGTTAGTTTAGAAAGTCATAATTGATGAGTTAAGGTTTTACAAATGTGCAATTTGCAAATGTGCTTGAATCTTTTGTACTATGAAAGTGTGAATATAAAAAAAATAAAGAAACTAAATGTCTAAAAATCACTTTTTTATATAATAAAAGGCATAATTCTTTTGATTAATGCTTTGTCGCAAATACAGCCTTTGATCAACCATTGCGCTACAGCTATTCAAGTCTAAAGTTTAGCATTTTCTGCATAGATACAGAGTTTTGAGCATATTTGATAAAACATCACTAATTAATCACTTTATCTGACTCTGACCTATTTCCTATGCTGTAAAATTTGGAGTCGATTGGTTGCAAAGAATTCCTACCTGTTGAAAATATTGACTTTTTGTATATAACCTAAAACCTTACACTATATTATACGATTCAATACAACTTACTGACTTTTTTTTTATAATTGCAGAGTTTTTTTGCCAGGGTTAAAAAAATCCTAGTTTTTAATAATCTAAATAACAATGTTTGATCCAGTATTCAAAAATGGAAAGATTATAGTCAGCAAGATATCTTCTGCTGCAGGACAAGTATCTGTCATACACTCTACAAATGTGACTTTGGAAGAAAGACCTAAAAATGCCAGTGTGTAGTTTATTAGCAGCCATTTAAGGGATGCATCAATACATATAAGGTTCTCTGTTCAGATCAGGTCACAACTAACCTCTAAAATAATTAACATATAATATTAGTATTAGAACTATCCATTTAAATCCAGATTTAAACTTAACAGCATTTGATAAGACTAGGGATGCACATTTTTTCACATCCGATCCAATTCTTATCTTTGAATTTGGATAACTGCAGATCTGAATACTTCACCTGCGCTTATTTTTTACTTAAACTTTATCACTATATTGTTGGTTTAATTTTGTTTCGTAAGAAGTTTTCATACACTCCTCTCTACAAGCAAGTATACGTACACATGTACAGATGTATATCCCAAAAGGCAACTTGAGATTAGATTTCAGAAAAGGAAGTCATAAACAGTCATTTGTATTAACGAGATAAATCCTGAAAACAACTGATTTAATAAATCAGACAGAATTCCATAAAAGGGGGGAACCTTCCTGCTGTTCAAGATTTTTTTTTTATCTAAATCAAATTTATTATAGAAACAGACAGAATAGATGTGCCCCTTAAAGTCGGACCCAATTACACACATCTAGAATTTTTTTCAATATCGGGATAATAAAATGCTTCTCTATAAAGACTGAGGTCGGAGGACCAGAACTATCTATTTTGACTAAACTTGAGCTGAAAAAATACTGATTCATGAGGACTGAATCATCGTCCCAGTGCTTTGTCTCCCTAAAGCACACAACATCTAATTAATATACATTAACGTTTAAGGTGCGTACATACTTTTACAAGGTGCTGTAGGCTGAGAGAAAATCGTCCCTACGAGTGAATCGAGGGCACGCCCTCAGGTGACGTGTTGTTAAAACATTGTCTTCCTTATGAATACATAAAGTGGTTTACAGCAATAGGAACCTAAATCCCACTAAAAGTACTTTTGCTTCCATTGCAAAATTGTTTAGTAATATTTCTGCAATTAAGTCTTGAAATTAAGTCTATTGAATAACTTTGTAGCTTTCTAAAAGACTATACGTATTTAAAATTTTAGAGTGATATAAAATGTTAGATATAAATCTAGTCTTCAATACAGAACGGAGTGTACCCTGATGCCAAATTAAGGGCGGTTTTTTTTTTCTTCTTTTTTTACTAATTTTGAATTGTAAGTTCTGCTTTGAATATTCAGGCTTTGTCTGCTTTAATACCTTAGTTTAAGCTTAGGGCCCTGTCACACCTTAACAATTTAGCCAGCATATGCCTGACGTTTCAGAAACTTCTAAAACGCAGGCCTACGCAGAACTTTCTATGTATTTTTTCAGTTTTGGGCGTATACATAGAGCATTTATAACGAGCCTAGAGCATATGTCCAATGACAGACTAACTAATGCATAACGCACGGCAGCTCAATGCCGATGAAATGTCATAAGCCAGTGTCCTGAGGGGGGCAGCGAGGCACCCAGCCTTCATAAAAAGATGTATTTGAGTGAGGTTTCGACCTAACTGCTGTTTTCCACCTAAAAAAACCCCAAAAGAAATTAAATGAAAAAAGAAAGAAAGAAGGTTTGCAGTCGCAGCAGATTCAACGTCATGTCTGCTAGGGCGCTTGTTGGTCGTGGGCGTGAATGCAGGGAGGATCCATCAAACTCACCTTCTCTTTCACCCTGTGATGGGGATGCAGTCTGGAGGACAACTGACAGTTTTCTTTTGTGAACCCACTTTGATACCAGAACACTGCCCATACGCCATTATACATGTTCAGCGGTCGTCTGAAACACGTCCAATATGTTGATATGCGTTGGCGATTACATCTTGATAAGTTACGCATAAGTTATGCACAAGTTACTTATAGGTTTTGGATAAGCTGGAAGCCATGACTTATGTGGAACTTACTTGTAACTTATGTTCCACGTATCGCTGCCACACTTCTCCACGCGTGCGCCATAAGTTGACATGTGCCAGCGTACTTCAGCTTGCTCATAACTTATACAAAATGTACCCATAACATATCCAACGTATGCCTGTGCTTTTGCAAGATTTTTCGTACGTCAAGCATATGTTGTCTAAATCGTCAAGGTGTGGCAGGGGCTTTAGAAGATTACAGGCCCTATTTAAAAGAAGAATAGTGAAATAATGAACTTAAGCCAACAAATTTCACTGCAGCTTGTTGTGGTAACTACATGATGTTGGTGGCAGGTTTGTTCTTCATAAAAAACTACTTGTAAATTTAAACTATTATTGTTTCTTCTGCTTGGTTTGACCAAACACCATGAATAAGTAAAGCTGAAAGCCTCACGTTTAATGACCATTAGCTCTACACCACCTTATGTTTATATCACTGTTTTTTTCTCTCTCTTTGGATGCATTGAAACTGCTGAGCTAACAATTTTTCTCTCTGTGTCTTCCTACCATCATGCACCCTTTGTGTTTGGTCCAGGCTGAGAATGATCTCAACGAGCTGAGAGCACTGATGCATTCTCCCAACGCTATTGTGGTAAGCTCGCTTTGCCCAGAACCTGAACTGGGCTGAATGGCAGTCAGTGGGCACGCAGACACTGCTGGAGGTTCCAGAACTGTAGCTTTTTAAACCAGGTTTGTGTTGTGGAGCAATAATAAGCTGAAAGGTTCTGGATAAAACCTCATAAAAGGCCGAGTTAGGAATGGAGCACACAGTAGATTTACGCAACAAATATGCTGTTTCTGTTTTGTTTTTTAAATGGATATTACTGACTAACTTTAGGAGTCTTTTATGTTATCATTTTGTGTTTTATTTGTCACATTTGATGCAGCTGTAGTACTACTGGTTTTATAATCATTTATACTTTTGTTTTTAATTTACTTTCTTTTCTTTTTCACTTATCCTCCTGCAGTGCTTTAAAAACACGATAAAACTGCAAAGAAAAAGCTCAATTTGAAAAAGAAAGATGTTTTGCCTCATACAACAGTGAAGTTAAACAGTTGGGAGATGGGTTGCTCTAAGGTCATGTACTTTTAGAAATACAGCATGTGGGTGGATGCTGTCTTGACTTTATGCATTTTTATTTTCAACTCAGCTTGTATCAGTTGTCAGGGTCGTGCTGCATCCAAGAGATAAGACTCAAATTTAATACCAATGATGTGCGCTGCCCACACCGATCAGTAAACACACTTCTTGTTCTCTTAGCGTTAGATACAGAGATTAGAAAGGTTGATTTTAGCCACAGTAAATGTTTTAGTGAAAAAAGCAGAGTAAATATTGTGTTCATGATTCAAACAGGTTCACTCCTCTTTATAAATGTGCAAATTATAATCTTGTTTTCAAAGTTTTAAATGCCGTTTACTTGTTTGAAAATAAAACCAAATTAGCTTCATTCTGGTACACAGATCGGCCATTCTTTTGACTTAATTTATACAGTTGCAATCTTTAAAGTACACAAAGCGATGCTGACTGTAAGTTAAGTGGTCCACGAGTGAGCATCAAGCTGTATAAGTAGTTAGAGGAGAGTAGGAGCATTAATAGCCTTTGCTTTTCCTCCTTCCTGTCTTCATAGATGTGTTTTGTTCCTCCTGTTGGGGAAAAAAAAACTAAACATTTAGCTCTATAGAGCAGTGAAACCTAGTTGGTATGCTCTTTGCACTCTGATATCAGTCATTTTGGGTTGATAAACCTTATATGCTATGGATGAATGAGGCAGGAAAATTATTTCCAGATCTAAGTTCTGATAAAGAGAAAAAACAGAAGTTGAATATCTTTATTTGCTTTATTGCAAAACAGTAATGTTTTTATTATTGGTATCTGGTGTAAGGGCTGCATGATATGAGGAAAACCTGAGGTGACATTATCTCTTGTGATACATAAATGAATACTTATAGTGCATCTAGAAAGGAATCACAGCACTTCACTTTTTCCACATTTTATGTTACAGCCGTATTCTAAAGTGTATTACATAATCACTTTCTTGAGAAAGAACCTGTATACTTAAGATGTACTCTTAAGTAATTAGTATTGATGTATATTTGGTTTAGATTCATAGCAAAGGAAATAAAAATTACATCTGAGGCAATGTTTTGTAATTCTGTGGAAATTATAAGTAATCCAATGAAAGAATGTGGCATCTCCTGTCTGTTTTGATGAAGCCCTCCCTTCTCACTGAAATAATATGCATAATGTGCTTGTCCAAATAACATGCTCCAGCCCCCATTATTTGTTTGAACGGCTTTGATGTTTTATTCCCTGCAAGACTGAAACCCGGACAACTGGAGCACTACACTTTAAAATATTTAAAATACACATCAAACTATTTTAAATGTGATACCAAGCTGCTCTGAACACGCAAGCAGACGGACGTGCAACATCACAGCCCCTGTGCAGCACATACTGGTGCGCCTTGGGTGCCTATTGGATAAGAAACATTAGATGCTAAACTAGCGCATCATACTCTATACCATCCGTTCCCCTTTTCCTCCTGCTGACGGAAAGTGTGAAAAATTTAGCAGTATGTCTCAAGAAATGTGGAAAATTGGTACGCTCAATTATGAGTGCAAAAACTGCAGGGCATTGCGCACAGTATGTGGGAGCCTTCAGCTGTCATGACGTTTCCAACTTTGTTTTTGCTAGCACTATTTTATGCTCTCCGCAGGTTTATGTGGTTGTTAAATTTCCAAATTTATATAAAAAAAAGAAAAGTGTTCTTTTCCAACCAGTAAATGTAAGGCATTTAAATGTTCCTCAATTCGTCTTTTTTTTTTCGGCCAGTTGTTTGCGATCCACCCACATCTATGAAGGGGTGGGAATCTAAAGAGATCCGTATAATTGGTCAAATACTTCAAATACCGCTTCTGTGTCATTGATAAAAGACTATTTTACAATCTGTAAATGTAAACATTGATTCAGCCATTTATTGTACTTTATGCAGTTTTGTGCTGCATTCTTATCTTGAAGCTGCTTTCTCAATGAAAATATTTTTTGATATATTGTGCAGCCATTGTATCAGAGAATCCTAATAAAAAAGAGTGGACTACTGATCTGCTGGAAAGCCAAAAAAAAGATTTGCAGGTATGATGATTTGAAAGAAATCCTGCTATTTTAAAAGGCTTTAAACATGTTTTAAACACAGCGTGAAATAATGATGTTTCTCTACACTGCAAATCAATAATTTGAACATTTGTGTCTTTATATTATGTGTAGCCTCTATGTAGTTGCTATAGCAGCGTATCTAGTCTAGATATGCACTACTTGAGAAATGTTGCTACTAAATGTTGAAAATTCTAGACTAATATTAAGAAATGATTTCTTTACTGTAAAACCCTTTTTAAATCTGGTATTGAACACATCCTGGGTGATTTAGATAAAAGAAGACTCAACAAAGCATCGTCATTTACAGATGTTATTAAACTCTGTCCTGAGTGATCAGATTTCAGGAACCTGTTTTACATACAAAAGAGCAGCTAGCCACAAAGCAGGGTGGTTATAAACTTGACATCAGCAGGATGTCTGCTTTTCTAACATCTCAGAAACATTCAACCACATGAGCTTTATTATCAGTCAGGGGTCAACCTAGTTCAGAAAAGTTCCAGTATTTGGGCTTCATATGCTTGATGAAGGTAATTTGTGGTTAGATAGATATAATATGGAAGAAATAAAATAACATTTGATTTTAAAAAGCTCAGTGTCAGTGCATAGACACTAAAGAATTTAAACTACAAGGCTTTTTCAGCTTGTATACTTTTTACTGCATTAGTGACAGGACATTTGCCAGACACAGACTATGTTTGCACAGTTTTTTTTTTTTCTTATGATGTAAGAACATCAGTTTGTATAATCAGGTCCAACAAAAACATTAGAAAATCATTGTTGGGGGGAGAAATATAGTCTCCCATACAGCATCCTGACATTTGTCAATCAATAGAAACCCAGTTTTGAGGGGATGTTTTGTTTTCCCAAACATGCATTTAGAAGTTAATTATAAAACTCTAATTAAATTAGCATTATCTAGAGCATATTCCAAAAACATTTCACTCACAAGATTGGTGATTGTGGCAATTCTGTTAACATTAATTGTTTTTTTTTAATCGGAGCAATCCATTAACTGTTGTGTAAAGTCATGTTGGTGTGTGTTTCCAATGTTTGCAAGGTTTAGACTGACAAGCTAAAGCACTTATCGATGTTCTAGAAGATCTCTGAAACCATATTACCGGTAGGTGTCAGTCCTGGTAGAAGCTTCAATAAGCACCTCGTTTACAAAAAACTCAGAGCATGGAGCTTTTTTTTCAGTTTGTTGATATTAAGATTAACTACCATGTCACAAGTTTTACTTGTATACAGAAGGGCTTCATTAAAATCAAATTTCTTGTCTTTACATGTAGCATTGTAAAGAGAAAGCATCTCAGTTGACTTTTTTTCATTGCCTGTTTCTTTAGAGAAACACACAGAATCACAACTCTAAACCTCAAACATGTAAACCGAATCCTAAAACAGCTTCTGCCTTCAACTGTGTACTTTTCTAACAGTGGATCTTTTTCAAGGAAGGGGAGCTTTATTCAGCTCAGTGTGTGGGAGCTGTGGCCTTGCATCATTACACTACCACACCCTCTATGCAGTTTGCAGACACTATTAGATGATTGAATATTAACCTCTCTATGAGGGTTAATGAGTATCATTTACCTCAGAGTCCCTACCTGTAGCCAATTCATTAAGGTTTTTTAACTATTTAATGATTTAGTGTAACTTAAAAAATGTTTTAATTGCATTTTTTTCTCTTTCTTCTCCTCCTGCTCAGCGTATGAAGTTTCTACTGTTGCAACAGAAGTACCTTGAGTATTTGGAGGATGGCAAGGTCCTGGAGGCTCTGCAGGTTCTCCGGGGAGAGCTGACGCCACTCAAATACAACACGGATCGGATCCATGTCCTTAGCGGGTACTTTGACTGTTCTTTGTTTATGGATCATTTACTGTAAGGAAACTGCTGTAAAGGATCCCACACAACAGTGCAGTATGTGTCATCTCAGAAAAATGCACAGTTTTGTCAGTTAATGGATTACATCCATTTTTTCTGAAATGTCACTTTGTGTGACTTCTTATGTTTTTGTTTGTTTTTATATATGGTTTCATAATAGCCAGGCTTGTGGTACTTTGGATGAGTTTATATATACAGTTTAAAGGAATTAAGATAAACTTTGATGAAAAGATAAAAAACAGAGATGGCTACAAAATGAGTGGCTTCAAAGGGAAACCATAAAATTAGTGCCACTGGCTACTTGAACAGTACCAGTTAATTTTCTGTTTTGAAGAGATCGAATAAAGGCCTGAAACTGTAGAGGAACATGCTTAGGTTTTCTCATTTCTAGTTGGTGTTAAAAGCTAGTGTTAGATTTTAATTCGGTGTCGTGAAGGATTTATAACTCAGTAGAGAAGCTAATGAGATGTGGAAGTTGCAGAAGTACATTAGGGATAGATTTGAGGCATTTACTGGTTTGTGTCAGATATGAGGAGTTTTGGTTGTTAAACTTTTTTGTACATTTTTCTTGTAAGGGTTAAGAACCACTGCTTAAATATATACCTGTGTTGATAGTTTGGCTCTTTAACCTTGTATTTTGCTAGTATGACTAACTTTTTCAGAACTTTTGTACTTATTGTTGCAGATTGTCAGGTCTTGCTTCCTAATCATTTGCTTTTTTTTTTGACAGTTGGTTATTTTAAGTATCACTCATACAAGCTTGATCTTGCCAAGAATAGGAAAGGCTTGTATCTTTGGGGTTTAATAGAAAGCCTCATCTGGGACATTTTTGGGATCTGCTTTGAACCACAAGTTTTCTCTAGAGGCTGCAATGGATTCTGGCAGAGACAGCATTAGTAGCCCTTGTGTATTATTCAGCAAAGAGCTTCATGAGTAATTTTGTCATGACAAAAATTAAGCAGTGCTTAAGTTGATGAACAAAATAAAGAAAGCTCCGAGGACCTGTGGTCAGGCCAGTCAGTCAGTGGGATCTAAATGTATGCTGCTCTTCTTAAGTCAGCAGGTTATGTTTACCCCTATGAAAACTATGAATAATATGATAGTAAAGATAAACCCAGCTCATGACATGAAATATATGTAATGTTATGTTTACAAGAATAAGACTGGACAAGTTTTTAGCACCCTTTTTAATTGAAATGAAAACATAAAATTTTAATGTCATACACCAAATCCCATTTGAGATCATCCTTTCACCCGACGATCTGCATATTTTCTTTGCCCCTAAGGTATCCCTAAAAATCCTTGAATTGGAAAGGAGGGGAAGTTAGTCATAAACCATAACCAATATGGCTGCATGGGATAAATGTGGGTTGTCACAAATCAAATCTTGCTTTTAGGGCTCCCTTTCTATTCCTAAATAGCAAAGTAGGTGGTACTCCTTAGTAATGGAAAACGAAAGTTACGTATGTAACTACGGTTCTATGAATCCCGGATGACCGCCAGAGGGCGGTGCTGAAAGCACTGAATGTTCCCTTCGGGCATGCGCAGTTCGAGTAATTATACCAACAGAGTCACACCTGTGACACCGGATGACCACTCAGAAGCTATATAGCCTGGTGTCATCCTTTGCTCTGCTCCTACAGAATCTTCTCGCAAAAGCAAGGATTCTGAGTGACAGAGAAGCTCTGGCGGTCATCCGGGATTCATAGAACCGTAGTTACATACGTAACTTTCGTTCTATTTCATCCCTACTGACCGCCAGAGGGCGGTGCTGAAAGCACTGAATGACTAATGCCAACGATGTCACAAGGAATCCTGAGCACATACCTCACAGAGGAGGCCCAGCAGAACCTTGTAAAAGGACCTGACCCAGGGGATGAGGGGCAGCCACATTGACACTGTAGAACCTGGTGAAGGTGGTTGGGGAAGCCCATGAAGCAGCAGCACATATAGCTTCCAGCGGAACCCCTCTCAAAGCAGCCCAGGAAGCGGTGACGCTCCTGGTGGAATGTGCTCTCACACCGACTGGCAGGGAGCAGTGACCTGCAGCGTAGGCGTGGCAGATGACACTCACAATCCAATGGGACAGACGCTGTTTAGAAAGAGGACAGCCTAACCTTGGACCCCCATAGCATAGGAAAAGCTGGTCCGAGCGTCTCAGATTGGCGGTGGCTGCAATGTATGCCTCCAACGCTCTTACTGGGCACAACAACTCCGACTCATTCTCAGTTGTACCAGATTGAGGCTGAAACCGAGCGAGCCGCAATGGCTGGTTACGGTGAAAAGGAGACAACACCTTAGGCACAAACGCAGTATTAGGCCACAGGGTAACACCAGAGCCATCTGGATTCCACCTGATACACCTAGGGCTGACAGAAAGAGCATGTAGCTCGCTGACCCTCTTAGCTGAGACGATAGCCATCAGGAAAGCAGCCTTGCAGGAAAGCCACTTGAGTTCTGCTTGTGCCAAAGGCTCGAATGGAGGGTGGCACAGAGCTGTGAGAACCAATGGCAGATCCCAATCTGGGGCTCGTGGGGCTGGCCGCTGGCACAACCTACGAGCACCACGCAGAAAAAGGGAAACCAGTTCATGGCGCCCCACTGTACGGTTGTCAACAGTTCGGTGAAGACATGAAATTGCTGCAACATACACTTTAAGGGTCGAAGGAGAGCGGCCCTTATCAAGGAGAGACTGGAGGAACTCCAAAATAGTGGGCACCGAGCAGGAAAGCGGGTTCTCATTGTGGGCAGAGCACCACTGAGAAAAGAGGCGCCATCTGTTAGCATACTGCAGCCGAGTGGAGGAAGCCCTAGCACTCAATACGGTGTGTCTCACGGTGTCTGAACACCCAGTCAGCCTCCCAGGGGCCATGCCCACAGCTGGAGACGTTGAGGGTTGGGGTGCCATATCTGTCCCCCCAACTGAGACAGCAGATCCCTCCTTGCTGGAAGACGCCATGGAGTACCGTGACACAGACTCCAAAGCAGCGGGAACCACGGCCGCGCTGGCCAGAACGGAGCTACCAGCAACACTCTGTGGCCCTGCTCGAGAACCCTCCGTAGAGTCGGCCAAACCAGTGAGAGGGGTGGAAAGGCATGCAGGAGAACCTGCGGCCATGGATGAGCCAGTGCATCCTGGCCCAGTGCGCCCGCCATCCCGGTTAGGGAATACCATAGGGGGCAATGGGTCGACTCCTCTGTGGCGAACAGATCTACCTCTACCTGCCCAAAGAGGTTCCAGATTATGCGCACTACGTCGGGGTGAAGAGACCACTCTCCCGGAGCAGGTGCCTGGCGGGATAGAGAGTCCGCAACCTGGTTCTGCCGTCCTGGCAGATAGGCTGCGCGCAGGGTACACAGACGGGGATACGCCCATTCCAGGAGATCCCTCGACACCTTCAAGAGACGTGCTGACCTGGTGCCACCTTGGTGGTTTATATGATAAACAACAGAGGTGTTGTCTGTCCGAATCAGCACGTTCCTTCCCTCTAGGTGGGGCAGAAGGCACCTGAGGGCCATGTGCACAGCCCGCAGCTCCAGCACATTTATGTGTTCGGTGCGCTCCCTTGGGTCCCAGAGACCCCGAACAGCTCTGTGTTGCCACACGGCACCCCAGCCCATGAGGCTGGCATCCGTGGTGACCACCTCCCTTCGACACACTACTAGCCCCATTGGAACACCACTGGACAAAAGGGTCCCGTCTCGCCAAGGAGCTAGGGCATGGAGGCAGCTCCTGGTCACCATTAGCCTGCGATGCCTGTGCAGCCTGGCGTCTAGGCGAAAGCTGTTGAGCCATCGCTGCAAAGGACGCAGAAGGAGCAGCCCTAAGGGCACGACACGAGTGACTGATGTCAGTTTGCCCAGCATTCGCAGGAAGGTGATGTAGGGAAACTCCCTGCCCAGTCTGAATCGACGGACAAGCTGGAGTATGTCGTCCACCCTGTGAACAGATGGACGGGCCATCATGGTAGCAGAGTCCAGATGCATCCCAAGAAAGGTGGTTGTCTGAGATGGAACCAGACAACTCTTTGCCAAGTTGACTTTGAGGCCTAACATTGACACATGAAGTAGAAGCTGGGACGTATCCCGAGAGGCAGCTACCTGAGAGGGAGCACAAAGAAGCCAATCGTCCAGGTATGGCAGAATCCTGACTCCGGAGGCCTGTAGAGGAGAGAGGGCTGCTTTCACGCATCGAGTAAACACCCTCGGGGAAAGGGAGAGCCCGGATGGGAGCACCCGGAATTGCCAATGGCGCCCCCGATAGGCGAACCTGAGAAAACGGCATGTTCTGCCGCAATAGGCACGTGAAAGTAGGCGTCTGTCAGATCTACTGATGTAAACCAATCTCCCGCCACAATGGTCTGAAGGACCTCTGTTATGGTGAGCATGTGGAAGGGAAGGACCTTCAGGTACCGATTCAGTCCCCTTAGATCTAAAATGGGGCGAAAACCGCCGGTCTTCTTGGCCACAAGGAAGTATGTGGAGTAGTAGCCTCTGGGTTGCTGCAGAGGATCTACAGACTCGATTGCCCCCTTGCCCAGGAGGGCGGAAAGCTCCTGGTCTAGTGCCTGAGATTTCACCGGGTCTGTGATGACAGTCATCTTGACCCGGTGTGAGAGGGGGGGCCGCCGTCGGAACTGGAGCCTGTAGCCATTGGTTAAGGTGGCAACCACCCATGGATCTACGGCATGAGCAGCCCAGAAATTCAGCTGCTGATGGGAAAAATGTCCGACGGCTGGCCCGGTGGCATCATCTTCTATCCCCACGGCCCCTGGGGGCTCTGGGGGGAGGGCGTCCAGGATTTGAGGCCCGGGTCTGTCTAACAGGGCGGCAGACTGGCTCACGAAAGTCCCTTCTCGGTCTCTGCTGCACATCATGGGGATAGGAACCAACAGGTCTGCCACCAGTCTGAGGTCGTGGCTGAACGCTGGGGGTAGTGGCAGGGCGGCCCGAACGCTGGGGAAAGGCAGGTATGCTCCTGCGAAGGCCGGAAAGCTGCTGGCTAGTCTGACGTGCCTGAGCAGTCCGTTCCAGCGCCTCCAAGGCAGCTGATCCAAACAGCTCCCCTGGTACAACCGGGACACCCCTGAGGGTCCTACGGCATGCTTCAGTCAGAGGAGACTGTGCCAACCAGACCTGTCTACGAGCTTGGACAAGGAAAGACATGACCCGTCCAAGCTCTCTGGTCATCAGCGCGAAGGCCTGCAGCGCTGCGTCACTATAACCAATCGCCGCACTTACACCACCAGTGTCCTGAACAGATGCAGACAGGGCAAACATGAGGTGCGCCAGGGAATTGCCAAGGCGGCCAGCACGCGCTCCTGCATTGTACGCCTTACAGAGGAGGTCATCTGTAACCCGACATTGAGTCCGCGGGCACCGGACATCAGGACGCAGGGCTTCATCTGGTGACACAATCAGTGAAGCAACAGCTGGTTCAATTGCTGGCATACGGTCCAGGCCGGCCTTCACTGACTCATGCATGGCAGCTAATACACGACCATCCGAGGAGAGACGCGACAGCGCTCTCGGTTCCCGCCAACAGGCGTGTAACTCCTTCAGGTACTCCTCTGATGGAGGTACAGAAAAAGGAGTAGGAGCCCTTCCACGTCTGAAAAAAGCACTGCCAGAGCTGGATGCCTCTCCTTGTGGGAGTTCCAGCTGCAGCTGCTTCAGGGCCATAGACATGACCTCCCGCATGGAACCGTCACCGGCCTCTCCAACCGCACTCTGAGATGAAAATGAACCAGCCTCAGAGGCTTGAGAGGACCCTGCCTCCTCCTCATCTCTAAAATGAGAAGCGGAGGCAGCCAGAGAGATAACGTCATCCTCTACAACCAGCTCGGGCATTGGTGGGGAAGAGAGCCCAACCACTGGGAGCGAGGGATCAGATTGCCGTGTCTGCAACAAGGACTTCATCTCTGCCAGCTCTGCTGACAACTGCTCCACCCTTGTGGACAGGCCCTGGTCAGGTTTGGCCCGCTTCCTCCGGGGGAGGGGCACAGATGCTGTGGTCCCACCACGGCGCTTAGAACGCTTGGGGGGAACCACCTGCCCAGAGGGCGGAAGGTCCGAGCCCTCCTGGGGGCACAACTGGGCCAACCGGGCCACCCTCACTGCATGGGGCATAAAGCTGCAGTTCATACAGGGGTTCTCAGACAGCGCCTCCAAAAGGTGCTCATGTCCAAGGCAGGTAGGGCACAGGTCGTGGCCATCCTCTGCCTGCAGGGCAGCCCCACAATCTATGCAGCTGTGAGAGCCATCCATGTCGAAGGCCGACAAGGCTTAAAGAACAGAAAGTTATCGAAAATCGGGAGAGGGGGCGCAAACGCAGCCGTCACCAATTACAGCAGAGAAACGAAAGAGGCTGCGAGCACAAGGCAGCCGATACTGGGAGAGGGGGCGAGAACCGCTACCGTCACCAGGTATAAAACCAATAAACCAAAAAAGCTAACAACGTTAGCTGTATGGAAACTTAAGTTGGAAGTAGGAGCGAACAACGCTGCCGTCACCAATTATAGCGGATAAAACAAGAGAGGCTGCGGACACAAGGCGGCCGATACCGGGAGAGGGGGCGAGAACCGCTACCGTCACCAGGTATAAAAGCAATAAACAAAAAAAGCTAACAACGTTAGCTGTATGGCAACTTAAGTAGGGAGTAGGAGCGATAAACGCTGCCGTCACCAATTAAGAGAGCAGACCAACGAAAAGGCTGCAAAAAAAGGTTGATATTGGGAGAGGGGGCGAAAACGCTGCCGTCACCATTTATAATTAAGCAGACCGATGAAGAAGGCTGCAAACAAACCAAAAAAGGCTAACAACGTTAGCCGTCTCCAACTTCGGCAACGAAGTAGACCACACTTGGTTGGGAGAGGGGGCGAAAACCGCGGCCGTCAGTAATTATAGCAGCGCAGACCGGTGAAAAAAAGGATGCAAAAGTAGGGAATATACTGGGAGAGGGGGCGAAAACCGCTGCCGTCACCAGGTATAACACCAACAAACTAAAGAAGCTAACTACGTTAGCCGTATATAACTTCGGCAGTGAAGTTATTCACACTGGGAGTAGGGGCGAAAACGCTGCCGTCACCAGTTCGGAACAAAACAGCACGAAGCTGTAGGTAAAAAGCTAAAGTCGTGAGCCGGGAGAGGGGGCGCGGACGCTACCATCACCAGCAAACAACTCACTTACCTTCCGTAATCTTCAGAATCGACCCGTTGCAGCCCTGGGAGGGCGGAGAATAACCGCAACTCCGGTCAAGAGACAGGGGCTTCAGACAACGGGGAAGTTAGCGAACCGCTTGCGAGAAGAAAAAAGGAGCAGAGCAAAGGATGACACCAGGCTATATAGCTTCTGAGTGGTCATCCGGTGTCACAGGTGTGACTCTGTTGGTATAATTACTCGAACTGCGCATGCCCGAAGGGAACATTCAGTGCTTTCAGCACCGCCCTCTGGCGGTCAGTAGGGATGAAATAGAACCAAACGGCCAGACAGGTAAAAGGGGGAGATGATAAGCATTAACAACAGGAGTTCTGGCTGTGCATTAAGCAGATCTCCCTCTGATATCAAAATGCAGAATTTGATGCATATAATAACAGGAAGAGGATGCTGTTATGGCTGTAGGATGGACTGTTTCTTGAGGCAAATTTATGCACTGATTAGTCAAAGCAGATATAGTTTGACTTCTTTGTTATTTTGTTTATCTATGTTGATGTAGATTCTCAGTCATCCAGGTCATAGTCATTCCGTAAAAGTTCGAAAAAAATAAGTCCAGTGGATTTTTTTTTGTTGAACTTTTACGGAATTTGTTTATCTATGTTCTCTAGTACTCTATGGAGATTTGTCTTTTTTGATTTTTGTTTTGCCTTTTTGTTGCTGCCATTTCTCCATACAAGAATTATTTTAGCATAAAGCATCGTTAGCATGTTTCACAAAAGTACTAACTGTCGGTTGGAATATTTCTGACCTGTCAGACTGATTAAATGAGAAACGGAAGGAGACATTTTGCATCGAAGATGGCTCTGGTTCTTTTAGATTTGGGACCAATAATATTAGTTCTTAACGAGATGTCAGTTGAGAAACTTTTTGTTTGTTTTTCTTTTTTATTATATTTGTTTTTGTGCTATTCTCACAGTAGTTTTCTGTTTTTACTTATATTGTGTCGTTTTCCCTAACCGTGATCATTTTCTTGCAGGTACCTAATGTGTAGCCACGCTGAGGATCTACGCGCCAAGGCAGAGTGGGAGGGCAAGGGCACCGCCTCTCGCTCCAGGCTCCTGGATAAATTACAGAGTGAGGAGATGTTTTCTCTATACCAAGCCTCTGGAGCTAGCACATGTTGCTTCCAAAGATATATTCCATGTGCTTTCTCACCTTGCTACAGCGTACCTGCCCCCCTCTGTGATGCTGCCTCCTCGGCGACTACACACTCTGCTACGGCAAGCTGTGGAACTACAGAGGGATCGCTGTCTTTACCACAACACCAAGCTGGATAACAACCTGGATTCAGTGTCCCTTCTCCTCGACCATGTTTGCAGCAGGTTAGCCCAGGTCCTCATGCAATGAAAACAGTGACAGAAATGTACAATAAATCTACAAAGTTTGCACCACCTTGTTAAATGACAGGTTTTTTGATCTACGTTTGAACCTATGATTGAGGTCGATTAAAACTCCTTTTAATTTAGCTAAAACAGGTGGTTTTTGTAGGCCTATAAATACCCCCCTTCTAACTGCTGTTCTTCTCATAGAACAACAAGTTTATATCTTCTGGTTAATTACCCCAGCTATCATTTTGGTTAGCTAACGTTTTATATATAAAGCTTCTTAAACAGAGGATGTGCCTCCCACGCTTTCAAAACCCATCATAGTTTATGTGCAACACAGAGGTTGCTCTGCACCCCATAACAGGAGATTTCACAAGGTGTAGCATTTTCCTCTGAGCAGCAAGCAGAACAAGTAGATACTTAAGAAATAACAAGCAGAGCTGTGTTGTCAAGATGTATGAAGTCAAGATTTGGCCCAAATATCTGTCCACTACAAAGCAGGGGATTTTATGTTTCAGCATCCCAGTGAACACAAGTTTAGATTTCAGATATACACAAAAAAATAATCTCTTCATGACTGTTGAAATCTTTTGAGCTGGCCCTATTTAGTCAAGCTTACTGCAAGGTCCATAATGGTGGACGCTGAGAAACTACCAAAGAAGGCTGAGCGTGAATGAAATCTCGTTTCTATAAAGTATATAGGCTGTGCTGACATACTTAATATTCCTTCCATTACATGTTTGAAGCTTTTTTCTACAGAATACATTTTGACTAAATGCTTTTCCACATCACATTTTAATGGCTTTGTGGATGCCTTTGGTGCTTAAAGTAGCTGTTAGCAAACTTTAATGTTCTTGTGCTTTCAGTCATCTCTTCTTCCCCTGTATACCCATGTTTAATATTTTTGCAACGCTTTGAGGGCTGATTGCTATTCAGTAGGATGATTAAAAAAATGTATTTATTGAAGATTTTAAAAAGTGATCTGTTTCCTTTTTCCCAGGAAACAGTTTCCCTGCTACACTCAGCAGATTCTGACAGAACATTGTAATGAAGTCTGGTTCTGCAAATTCTCAAACGATGGCACCAAACTAGCAACTGGCTCTAAAGACACTACTGTCATAATTTGGCAAGTGGACCCGGTGAGTAAGAAAACAAATCTTTTTTTTTTTTTTATAATAAGAAAAAAAACGATCTGATTAGCTGATTATTAGCGATCATACAGCGATGTTTTGGATATTCTAGTCTTTAAAGATCTAAACTATTAGAAAAATACTTTTTAAATGTTCAAGATGATATTTGAATAACTTTAAGTTGATAAAAGAGGCTTTACTTTATGTTAAATGGCTTTAAGTGGAACCTTTCAGCTTTAACAAATCACTATTATTCTTCACATATAGATGAGGGGAAAAGTCACTTTTGAAGTTAAACTGCTGCCAGTGCTAAACTGATCCGAGGTTATGATTGGTGCAGATTCTGCGCGTTTCCACCACTTCAAAAAAATTTTAACTCGTTATTCGAGTCCCATATCAGCACTGGGAGGTATACGCATAATGAATAAAACCTTGGTTTTATGGAGAAACTAGTGAAAACACAAAAAATGAGATACAAGAAAGTCTGTTTTTCATGAAAAACTTGTTTTTTTCCACTGATTTGAGAAGATAAATAAGATAATATGATTGTTAAATAAAATTATTTCAGTTTAAAATAATTATCCACAATCAACACAATTATCTATTAAAGTACACCATCCAATTACCTTATTTTAAAGGCCATTGCCAGATCTTCTTATTTACAAAATACACTTATTTGAAGAAATGTTTCACTTTGTTTAGATCAGATTTTGCAGTGAACAAAGAGCCTAAGATCTAAACCTAAGCCATTCTGTATAGTGCTGCCGGTGCACTATTAATCCATCTGTTCTCAGAGTTGCTGACATTAATAGTTGGTGTTGATAAACTTTTTGTTTGGATCCCTCATAATATCTCAGACTGGATCAAACATTTAATGGATGAAATGACAGAGACATAGGTAAAAATGGAACCAGTTAAGAATTAGCTCAAGAACCAGTTTGTGTGAAAGCACTAAAACTGCTTTACAGGATAAACCCTACTATCCCACTCAGACATTGGCTTTAAAATGTATATGGATCACTTGGGATTGGCACCGTTGATTCAACCTCCATGTGAAATTGTGTATTTTTTACATTTTAGTTCAGACATGAAAGGCCTCTTGTAAACTGCACATTTATCTAATGCAGTTAAATTGAATCAAAGGTGGATTCCTCTTGATAACCTTCGCTTTTCTATCAGCTTATAGTTCTTTGGTTTTAGTTCAGGTCCTAAAATGAGAGGAATGATATTGTCACAGTTTATGTCCTCTTAACTGTTTGTAACATTGAAGGTATTTTATAGTTTCTTGCACTAGAATAAAAACTAATCATCATAACCCAAGGTCCCCATACCTAGCGCCTACACATCACCTTTAGGAGTTAAGCCCTCTTGTTCCTCCTTGTTGCTAATTTCTCCCTGCCATGCAGGAGAGCCACCAGCTGAAGCTGCTGCGAACCCTGGAGGGCCACGCATACGGAGTCTCCTACTTAGCTTGGAGTCCTGATGACACCTACCTGATCGCCTGTGGACCTGATGATTGCTCAGAACTCTGGCTCTGGAATGTTCAGGTAAAATAAATTGGAGACGGATCCTGAGTTTAAAGAGGGAAACTTAGATTTTGTTAACATTTAAAAAAAAAACACATTATATTTTCCTTTCCAAACAATTTGGCTTTAGTTGTTGGTGGCACAGATTGTTGGATACACACCTCAATTAATAAGCATATTCATATAAAGATATTTTTTTCAGTTAAAAGAAGCATCAGAAGTCAGAATTTGTTGGGCTATTAAAATTCTGTATATCGGCTTAGGGGAACTCATCTAATGCATTATGTCAGTTTTTGTATTATTCAGTCATCATGATGCACAGTGACTGTGTCCTCGTCACCATCCTCCGTGTGTCACGGCCATATAAGCTCCATCAATCGTATCCTAAGACTGAAAGTGCGATGGATACCCTGTAGTGTGCTGTTTGTACTCAGTGACCTTTTTTTTTCGCCCTCCCCTCCCCTCCCTCTTTTTTTCTTACTCATCCCTCCCCCACTCTTGCTCACCCTGCCTTTTGCTCTCTCTCTCCCTTCCCCCATTTCCTTCTCTGTGTTTCTCCTGCCTCTTCATGTACCATTCTTTGCCAGACGGGGGAGCTGCGGACCAAGATGTCCCAGTCCCACGAAGACAGTCTTACCAGTGTGGCCTGGAATCCTGACGGCAAACGCTTTGTCACTGGAGGACAAAGGGGGCAGTTTTATCAATGTGTAAGTGCTCCAGTGATCTTCTAATGTTTAGAAATACAATTTTTTATCTTTTTTTTCTTCCAATGTTATGCTTTAAAGACAGTTTAAGAGTTACTATAAGAAGTGTCAACTTTACCGTATGTTTTCAACTGTTGTTTTTTTATCAATTTCATGTGATTTACGAATTCATAGTCATCAATAATTAACAAACTTTGCTGCCGTCTCAGCTACATATTTTTTTAGGCATTTCTCTGCCATTTTGACACAGCTACAGCTAGTGATTAAAATTAGTGATTATTGCTCTTCCTTTGAAAATTCAGTCTTTCAAAAAAGGCCAGACTAATAATTGCTGGGTGAAAGGTTCTTCCATCTAGGTTACAGAATTTTTACAGGACAATGAGATTTTAATGAGATAATTGGATGAATGGGGTCAAAGGAAAATTATTTCTAAAGGCAAACTGTGGTCCTGCACTTTATGAAATGGTTTCACAATAAATTTGGATAAATACTAATAAGTTTCTAGAAGCTCACTATACAAAAAAAAAAAATATATTATTTTCCTTCCACTTTATAATAATGTATTACTTTATTTTAGTTTTGATACACAAATTAAATGTGACCTAAAGTGAAAAGGTTTTAGGAGTATAACATCTTTACTTCAGGATATATACAGCCAGCCCATTGAGTCCAATGCTGCATGTCTTCTCCCTCTGTACATGCAGTTCCAGCCTGCGTGCTTCTCAAATAAAGCTTCCCTCAAAACTTGAAAACTTTGTTAAATTAAGGTTGTGGTACCTTGCTTGTCAATGTAACGTTATCCTGTCCGGAACTGAGGGTCCTGCTGTGTTTTCTCAGGACCTGGATGGTAACTTGTTGGACTCCTGGGAAGGAGTGAGAGTTCAGTGCCTGTGGTGCCTGGGGGATGGGAAGACTGTGCTGGCCTCGGACACCCATCAGCGTATCAGAGGGTACAACTTTGAGGACCTCACAGACAGAAACATGTATGTATATTTTAGGACCTCTGGCATTTGTTGCATTATAATGTCTGAATATGAGCTTAAAAACAGTTATATTTTATTTGGAGTGAATAAATAATTATTTTTTAACATTCTTTGCAGAGTGCAAGAGGACCACCCTATCATGTCTTTTACCGTTTCAAAGAACGGCAGATTAGCTTTGTTAAATGTAGCAACTCAGGTAAGCTTATCATCACCATCAGTTTACTGACGCAGGGAAATACATTAGAAACATTTTCTCGATATACATTTTGGATTAATAAGCTATTTTTAAACTCAACATCCTTCACTTACGATGGGCTGTGCCGCTAACTATTTATAGGGAGTGCACCTGTGGGATCTTCAAGATCGGGTGCTTGTGAGGAAGTACCAAGGTGTGACCCAGGGCTTCTACACCATCCACTCCTGCTTTGGAGGACACAATGAAGACTTCATCGCTAGTGGCAGCGAAGGTACTGTGAAACAGCTGCTGAAGGTTGAAGGCAGGAAATTGCTTACAATATAACTAACTTTCGATTCCTCTTGAATCCTGTTATGCTGCCCAGTTTTGGGAATTTCAGGTCCTCTGTCCATTTACAACATGATTTCATGATTTAACTTTTCAGAACGCACAGCTCTTAACCACAGCATGCTTTTTCTTCCTATAGTCACAGTCATGCAATCTCTTTAAAAACAAAAAAAGTAGTTTTCATACAAAAAGAAAAAAAAATCATGGCACGAGTCAAGCTAAGACAGCTGTCCATTGCATCTACTCTTCAGGAGAGAGAATTTGAAAGGATAACAGTACAGAGAACCTGGTATTGGTTGTTGTGGAAATGACCATACAAGCCAACAGTGAAACATGGTGTGTGGGAATCTTTTCAGAGTTATGGGAAAGACAAATAAAGCAAAATCCAGGGTTGTGTTGAGAGTAAATCTGAAAAGAATGTAAGAACCAATGCTGATCTTCTTCTCCCATCAAGACGATGACTACCAGTGATAAAAACACATTGGTTTTGATCAAAGCTTTTTACTGTTTTTGAAAGAAGTGTAAAAATTATCTATATATACAGAAATGTAAAATAAACAATAAGCTTTCCAGTTGACATTTTAGCATTGATGGCTCTATAAGATGTTGATCTTTAGCTGCCAAACATATATATATACACCAAACCCTTTTTAGATTGATTTCATTCGTGGAAAAAATGTGAATTTTTTTTTTACCCACAATTAGGCATTATTATGTGCTTTTTGTTATTGGGACCTTTTTTCGTTTTAACTGTCCACTTGTGTTTGTTTGTTAGGCACTTAAATATATGACAAAATGTGAAAAATGTATTTAGCAGATTGTTATAACAGCATTTGATTTTTTTTTTAAATTCCCTTTTTTGTTTTTTTCTTCACTCAGTTGTTGTTGTCGATCTAATCAGCTGTGTTTCATGCCAAACTGAATTTCTTCCATCTCTTTGTCACCTTTCTCACCAATCCCATCAGACCACAAGGTGTACATCTGGCATAGGCGTGGCGAACTCCCTATTGCCGAGCTCACAGGCCATACACGCACCGTTAACTGTGTGAGCTGGAACCCAGCCATCCCAGGCCTCATGGCATCAGCCTCAGACGATGGCACAGTGCGCATCTGGGGTCCTGCTCCATTTCTCGATTCACAAGAGGCAGACGGACTCAACGGTGACTGCTCTTGTTATACCGTTTTATGCAGAAAGACTTGAGCTGTACGGTCAACCCAGTCCCTATAATAAAGAGTACATGTTTGTGTTTTCTTCTTAGAAAACAGCAGTAACATGGACAGTTGATGGTGACCTACAGAGCAGATGACGTCTCACTTTGACAACAATCCAACAAACCTACGACGACAACAAACCACAAATGGGCAACAAAAATTTGATATCACCAGAGAGAAAGTGAAGGAAACCCTCAAAAAATGTTAACGACCCATCAGAGAAAACCAACGTGAGGAAAAACGAGGCTTCAGACCGGCCAAGACAAACGGTGGACGTGATGTTGGACTCTTGGAGTTTCAGGTCCTCATCCAAAAAAAGAAAAAAAAGAATTGGGATCCCTTTCTAAAGGCCTGGAAAGTCAGTCAGTCCTCAGTGGGATCTTCCTCTGATGAACTGTAACAGCTCTTCTCCTCACTTCTAACTGACCCCCTCGTCCTCCATTTCGCTCCAGTTGACATGCCGGGTTTTTGCAAGTATTTGAGGGAATCCATGTCCACCCTGAGCTTTGGGCCCACTGCATCCTTGTGATGTCTCCAGACGGACGGGGCAGACCAGCCCTCTCCTTGCCGGACTACATCCGTCTGCCCATTGGACTCAGACTCTAATGTCTCTATGGACATGGGTGGGGTTCTATTGTTGGGGGAGGACGCTGCAAAAGGGGGTTATCATAGGTCATCTGTGTGTTATCCTTTACCCTTTTTACTTGCTAAATTCTTCAGCCATTTGGACAAAAGCTGAAAATTCATGGTGAACCCATCGACCAACCAGCTGACAAAGAACACCAATAGGCTATGCTAACTGTTTGAAATATTTTTTTTTTTTTTTTTTTTTTATGATAGTCATAGTGTTCATTCTTGTTTAAGAGGCGAACCTTAGCTCATGTAGTGCCCAAGGAAAACTTCAGCGGGAAGATTCCACTTTCTGTTTCTCAGCAGTGGGGAGAAAAAACAAACAAAAAAAACTTTTATTCCCCAACATAACATCTAGCACGGACAGCTCCCCCATTCCCTCTCTCTTGTCGAGCTAGCCTGTGCACAACTCTGTTGAATCTGCCTATAGGAGGAGGATCCACAGGTTACATATCCACTGTGAGGGGGTCACTACCCGTTGGCGAGGTGTGCTTTCCACCATTGAGACACGCATATATATATATATATATATATATATATATATATATATATATATATATATATATATATATATATATATATATACATATATATATATATATATACATATACATTTTTAAATATGTGTGTATATATATCTATATAAACCAAGACCCTTCTCAGAAAGAGACTGTTTCAGACGTGGAGTGCGACTTCATTTGCACGCTTAGTGACTGCTGTCCCTCCTGTGTGATTGTGGATGTGAGTGGGAGTAATAGTGACAGAGTGATCTTTTTTGCATGCACACAGTAGAGCGAGAGTGGACATTATTGGGTGCAGATCTATTTGCCGCAGTTTTTTTTTTTTGTATGTGTGCTACTCCCACCAGCAGAAGATTATCTTCCCCTCTGGTCCCTCATTACATTTTTCCAAAATAAAATTAAGGATTTTAAACCAGTTCTGAGTTATCCAAAGCGATATAGGTACCTCTATCGGTGGAACAAAGAGAGCCATTTTGTAAAAATGAAAAATATATCCTTTTTTTTTTAATATGGGGCTTGAATTTTTACATTAGAATGTGTTTTTGTCCTCAACAATGCAGCATTCAAATGACTGAGATGTTGACATCAGATTTGTTGGATGAGTAAAAGAAAAATACAAAAAGGAATGCAATTTAGGTCAGGCATCGAGGGGAATAAAAGGCTGAAAGGCGTCATCCGTAGGCATGGGCCGGTGTGACATTCTCTATAAACATCACAACTTCAAGTTGCCCCAATATTTCCAAAACACTTTAAAACAAGAAATGGAAAAAAAAAACACAATTCAAGTTTTTTTGTTTGGCTTTTAAACACCAACCAATTCTATTTTCTACTGCCAAAAACTGTTATGATTGTTTTAATATTTATTTATTGTTCTGATTTTGTTGGACTTTGTACAAATTTGTTAACATCCGCAAATTTTTATCCATGATCCTCAAATGGTTCATTATGCAGAATCTGACTCATTTTTGCATCCTGCTCTTTATTTAGTTTGATTTGGATGAGCTAATAATATTAGCTCATCCAAATCAAACTAAATAAACCAGCACATATTATGTGCTGGTTGATTTGGTTGGACCATCTGAGCTGGTAGCTACCCTGCTTTCAACCTGAAAGCACTGTTATCTGAGGAGCTCCTTTAGTTTCCAATTTAAGCCTTTGGTAAAGGGGAATGTTTACTTTATGCTGCATAAAGCTTAAGATCATTCTGTCTTTACTCTTATTAAAAGGAGTAAAACAATAAGACTTGACAAAACAGCATTTTTGTTCACCATTTTAGGGCTTTGACTTTTTTTAAAAAACAAGCACATACCTTGATAACAAAACTGGCCCATGCCTAATTATCTAAAAAGGGTTCATTCATCAGAGAGGTTGACGATTGTATTTTCTTGTCACGTTGTTAATAGAAAGAAGAGGCACCAATTACTAAAAGAAATCCTCTAAGCTCATAGTTTGGGACTTTTGCAATCCTGTATCTAAACAACACAAACTGCCTTCCTGCTCCTACAGTTGCACAGAACCCCTCGGTATGTATGGCTCCCTCACTGCACTTTCGGTGGTCTTTCTGCTCTGCTGCACATAAAACAGTGGCGTGAATCTTTAGTCGGTTGCCACACAAAAGGTTACATTGATAAAGATTTAAAACCTAGGAGATTTCAAGAGGAATTGAGTCCTTATTATGCCTCTATGCACCCGATGTTAGTGACTGGCCCAAACACTCAGCATTATAAGGCCCAGCGGTCTCGTCTTGAAGGTACCACTCTGGGAGTTTAGAGTTCAGCATCAACATCCCCCTTCGCTCTCCAGCCAAGTTATTCAGTGGTCTTTGCACCATTTAAAGCTTTCTTCCTCCCTTACTTCAGGGTATGTAATGACAATTCGCTACAGACTGATATAGTAAAATGTTTAAACCCGTGCTTTTGTCTGTTTTTATTGAACTTTTTTGTTACTTAATTTTTTTTTTTTTTGTTCACATATATCATTTTTGGTTGATCTCTATCCCTGTATGATCATATTAAAATATAACCAGACATTTTGAGTCCTCCTTTTTTTGTAAACATAACTTTCTTTTACATGTATTTTTATTTGTATTCAGTTGCTTTGATTTACCGTCATTATCTTACAACAGTATGGACATAAAACGCTTTACCAGTAGACGTGGGAGAGGTCATCGTGTGTAAAACATCATTAAATCAGGTTCTAAATATCCATCGCCTTCAAAGATGTCCCTCCCTGAGAAGATTCAGCTTTATTGCATCTCTGTATTTAATATCTTCTGCTTGGTGTGTCCTTGTAGATCTACGGTTGCTACTTATTTTGACCTGTATTGAAGCCAAATTCCAGGTGAACAGTTGTTTTTTTGTAGGTCATGTACATCACAGTCTGATATGCACACACTTGAGACCTCTTATTTCTTGAACAACAGAATAGATTCCCTTCATACCATGAATTCATTTCAGAGGACTTAATGGAAATTAATGCACACTTAAAAAACCCAAAAAAATACATTCAATAAAGAAAAGGGAAGAAAAAAATCATCCTCACCTCCTGGTGGCAAAATCATATGTCTGTATGCAACCCGGTGTCTTCTCTGTTCTTCTGTCGAAGTTTACCGAGGGACTTGTTTCTGATTTAACTATGTCTTATTTCTCTGAGGTGATGGTGGTGGGATGGGACCGCGGGAGGGGAGTAAGGGCTCGCTGTAGCATCTCTAAGTTCTTTGGGTTCTAGGGTGGGAAGGGGTGATGTGTTGGTTTGCGTTTGATGTCTTCTTTACAAAAGTGATTGTAATGTTTTGTATTGTTGTGTAGGAAAAGTGTTATGTATGCATATTTTCAATAAAGAATTCAGGGTTTTAAAAGAAAAAAAGAGTTCGATGATGGAGGCCCGGGCTTTAGAAACCTACAAGATGACAGGAAAACTAACCATGGATCTTAAAATGGGGAACGCATAGTGAAGCTGTCTGCAAAAGCTACGTTGAGTATAGAAGGGCCTTGCTTCAAAACCAGCATTAGGAAAAGTATCTGTCAAAAATAAATTCCGCTTATTTTTGAGGAAGTCATGTTGTTAATCATCCATTTTGATACAAAGTTTGCCATTTAAATAAAAGGACACTGTGTGGTTATCTAGTGTTAAATATTGGATATGTGAAAAATAAAGATGTGCAATCAGATCACTGATAAAGTTTATCACCATATTTATTTGGAGACTAAAGAGCAGCTTTGTCTTTTGCTCATAATTGATCGCTTGTGGGAGAAAGGCTTTTATGGTCACAAAATTACAAAATCGATAAAGAGGCTAACTTGTTATTGTAACACCAGAGGCTGCCCTGTTGAAAACACCTTCAGATGTGCTCAAATGACAAAATATTAAGATTTATAATATACAATTTATTTCTAATTGTGTGACTGATTCAGGAACAAAAGTGTTTTCAACATTTTTTTTCAATAAATAAAAAAGAAATGCTAATAAAAATTATCCAATCATCTTGGAGAAGAGGGGTCTCTGTTCTAGTTTGGATTCTTGGCCCCAAAATGTGTAACATTACAAAAGGAATATGTCGTTTTGGCATTAGCAAGCATATAGTGTGGATTGTATTGCATGTAAACTTACAGTTTAAGAGTAATTTAGACACAAATTAGATATTATTATTTAGGCATAATGTTTGAAATTGGAAATTAATAAGGAGAAAGAGCAGAATAATGTGTGATAGGAAACCCCTGTTATGGAGACGAACACCAGAAAATACACTAATCGAATTTGTGCAATAAAAGTTTTAGTCATTTGTATTAGGATGCAATGTCTGCATATATCATGCAATACTGCATTCTAGTAACTTTAAAAGTTAGAATTTGTTTTATAAATTACTTAACCCTTAAAAATCTGTATTCCAGAAACAAGCTAAAAAACAGAATTTTCTAATTGCTGAATATATTTACCGAGCCTGAATTGGCCATCCAAGCCCATATGAATTTGTTCTTCAGGCTCTTATAACACATAGGAACTATTATTCAAGTTTACTTTTTTTTCCCCCATCCCTCACTATCTTTTTAAATGTTTTGCCCCCCCACTTGGATTTGTAGGTGTATATACCCCAGCCCCATGCTCTGGGAAGCATTATATATCAGGCTCAAACTGAAAATTTTAAGTATTTAGTTGTTCCTTCTTTGTCTAAATAAGCTTTTATGTAATGCAGCAGAAATACTAAAAAAGCACTGAGAGCACAGACTGCTGCAGAGTAGCTCATTTCTCCTTGATATAGTGTTACTTCCACCTCAAACTAATACCGATCTTCACAGAATCTTTATAAAATAATCCTGGATCCAGGTGGGGATCTGGATCATCACCAAAATGTAATGGATTGTTTGGTTAAAAAAATAATTAAAAGCTTTTTATACTAAGACTAACAGAGACAAACTCTACTAAAAACATAACCTCCCTGTCAGAGAAGAGGAAGAGAAAGCATACAATCAAGAAAACGTTCAAGGTACAAAGTGAATGAATTAAGGTTTAGTAGACCTTCCTGTTGTGGGCGGAGTGGCTAAGGCACCTCTGCCTTACCAGGCCAGAATTCCAACTCTGGGAGTCATCCTATTTTACTTTTCTTTTTTTCAAACTGAAACTAAGAAATGCTGATTTACGAGTTTAAACAGAATGCACCACTGACACTAAGGCTGTCATTTTAATGCCTACAGTACCAGCCATTACAACTCACTGGTACAACTGCACCGATGCTACCCCTAAAACCAATTAATGATAAATAGGTTATTTAGAGGAAGGCTATTTGGGGCCTTTACCTCTTCATAAAACATTTAAATATTGACAAACATCGGCACCATTAAACTGATGCTTCTTTTCTGACCTCTAGCAGAGGAACTAAGTGGTACAGGTTTGATTCAAAAACATGGCAGAGCAGAATAATAGAAAGCTAATTCATAATGGAGGGATGCTTATATGTAATGAAATGTAAAAGAAAATTAAACAATTTTAAAATTAGTGAGTTACGGTTCAAAACAACACTTATTAGTGGATTTATATTTTCTAATACAAAACAGTTCACTAGATGATTTAGGTATGCAGGTTTAGTGTCTGTCAATGCATCATATATTTTAGGAAATTCTTTTATTGAACGATATTGTTATATTTATGACAGAAAGTGCAATAATTTCATATGAGATTTAATTATCCATGACCAAAAATTGTTTGTTTAGATTTGATTACATGCATGCCCTTTTTATATAAGTGATATGTTCTATTACAATCTTTACGTTTAGAGAAGAAGGTAATAGAAATGATAAGAAATACAGTTCTAGCAAATGACTACTACAACAGACTAATACGTTTGAAAGTGAGGAAGAACCATAACCAAAGCAGTGCAAAATAGAATAACGGCATTTTAAATATTAAGAGTGGCCTGCATAATACAGAAACAACCTGCAATATTGTCTGTAATTTACATATAAAATTGGAGGTCTAGAAGCAGGAGGTTAGGTGTTATACTATAACCATATGTGACTGGTGCTCAGTCTCTAATGCTAAGTTGTTTTTCTTCCCTGCTCCCTGCTTGCCTGCATTTTTTTACACATTGCTTTTTTATCTCTAAGCCAAAACTGCAAAAAGGTTAGACTGGAACTACCGCTATAATTATTTTTATTACATTCTAGAGGATTTTTACATGTTTTATTTTATTTGTTTGTTAGTTTTTTTATGGAACCCAGGAGAAGGTGCATCAAGGTCATCAAAGGTCATCATAGAGGACTTTGACAAACATTCACAGAGATGTACTGTTTGGAGATAAAAAAAAAACATCAACAAGAAGTAGATATTGCAGCAATTAAGTAAAAATAAAGTGCCAGAATTCAAGAACAATGCCCCAAGGGATGTTTTAACAGAAAGTTGTTGTTTACACAACTGGAATTAATGGAATCCTCCTTCAAACAGGTTTGCTGTTTTGAATGAAAACCAGGACAAAAAAAAATATTAAAAATGGCTTAATGCATATAAAATATGTTGTTGTTTTTTTGTTAATTGGTGCTGTACTTAAAAAATATGGAGGACCAGGAGAGTCACTGAAAAAGAAAAAAACAGCCAGTTTAAATTTTAAATTAAATTAATAAAGAGGAATTATAAACTGTATGTATTAATGTATTATTAAATATTGCCAGTCTAACCAATGACAGAACTGGTTACATATGATGATCAACCGTGATTGTTTTAACAAGTTTTCAGTGGGTTTGGTGACAGAAGGGTCACAGAAAATGTAAAGGGAGATGGTTAGGTACAAGAAAATGCTAAATGAAAAAGACATTGGATTAAAGAATTCTCTATTTAATTGTTTAAATAGGAAAGTTACTTCTGATCAGATTTATAAATTGTGTTAGAAACAGGATTTGAAAATAAATGTTCAGATTTCAGCATTTATGAATACATTTTACAATTCTTCTTTAATAAATACATATATAAAATGATCAATCTGAAAATGCTTTTTGAATTGGATTTCTAGTTGTATAATGTAAATTTCAAGTTTCAAATGGCTGTTTCATTTTTGTTGACTCTCCTGGTCCTCCATAGCTCTTAGCACCAGTGTTCAAAGCATCTTTAGCTAGGTTCGTGCGTGTTGATGTCATTACGCCCCTCCCCTACCAGCCTCCACAGTAGCGGCTGAAAACAGACAGCTGAGAGCCAAGCGGAGGACAGGGCGATAAAGGTTCCCAGGGCAGCCATGGCGGCGCCGATTGCCCACTTCGATGAGGACTGGCAGGACTTTAATGAATTCCAGCCATCCTCGGAGGCGGTTGAACAGCTGGACCAGCTGAATTCGAATGTCGGGGACACACCGGGCCTCGACGACTTCTCCGACCTGGACAACAGTTTCTCCGGGGAGGTTTGCAGCTTCAAGTCGATGGAGGACCTGGTCCACGACTTCGACGAGAAGCTAACTATGTGTTTCCGAAACTTCAACACTGCGACGGAAAACATTGCTCCTATCAAACCTATCACAGAGGAGAATTTCCTAAAAGACGACGAGTGAGTGTTAATCATCTACAAGGTTTATATTTGTTAACTTTAAATCTCACAGCTAGCCACCGTAGCCTCACAAGCTAACTCCAGATTTCAGTTATCTGTTACTGAAGGAATCTGTGCTGCCAGGAATGAACCCCATAATCCGATGAAAAATGGGTTTACTTGCTTTTTAAAAAGACAGTTCAGTTTCTGTTCATTTGTAGAAAGATTTGTTTATAAGTCTGCAAGATGCCACATCATCCACAAAACTTATTGCAGTGTTATAAAATGTAAAGTTTAACCTTTAATTAAAAACAGAGTTTCTTTGAGCTACGATTGAAACCCCCACTGTGTAGATTACACATTTGAAATATTATCCTTTATTGTTTCTTGTCTAACTTATACCTGCATTTGGACAGTTGGACACTAAAGTCTTTAAAGGCATCAATAAAATAAAAAAACTTGGATTATTGCAGATGAAAAACTAAAGCTGAACATCTGGAGGAATGTGTATCCTCATATTGTTTTGGAGTCATAAATTATTAGCCCAACACACCTAACGTTTGTAGCTATCTGGTAATTCATTAATTCATAAAAATTGACCCACCAGATCCTCCCTCTGAAATTAGAGAATTAACTATTTCTGGAGTATTTTATTGGATAATCAAGGATTTAGGATCAATAGAAAAATAAATTACAAAACCTATTTGGAAACCTGAAGAAAGATGAGTTGGTAGGACCTTTGAACTATAATGTAAATCGCTTTATTGTCCCACAATGGGGAAATTCACTGTCTATTTAACCCATCCCCATGGGGAGCCCTGGGAGCAATGTGGGGTTAAGGGTTTTGCTCAGGAACCCAGAGTGGAGGCTGTGGGGATTAAACCAGCTACTTGCAACTTCTCAGAGCCCAAGCGCTCTGCTCTAAACACTAGATCAACACTCCCCTACAAGTTATTCTACTAAAGGACTCATGAATGAACTTGTATCTTGGATATAAACATTTGGAGAACATTTTTCACACACAGCAGTCATTCATATCTGGATTGTTATACTTAGCCTGGAGGAAAAATAATCACTGAATTTGGACCTTAAACAGAAAAGATATGACATAAAATGGTTATATAATTTCTTTTTTATTATAATTTTTTTATTTTTATACAAACTTCCTTCAAAATTATTTCCTTTAACTGAATCAAATAATTTATTTAGTTAAAAAATGCTTGCTGGCTGTCTAGCTCTATTCTATTAGCATATGGGACATCCTGATGTCACCATGCAGCTGGTTCTAAAACGAGCTGAAAGTATCAAAACAGAGTGAAAACTACCACAGCAACAACGAAATGGTGGTAAGAGGAATTGAACAACGGCTTTTCCTCTGCTTTTTGTCCACCACCACAATGTTGGTTTGCCATTACCATTCAGTCCTTCTGTATCTGGAAGTCCCACAGGATCTTGGCTTGACAATTCTCTACCACCTTTGGAGGTATTTCCCACTTTTACTTTGGGGTTTTCAGCCCATACTCTGCACAGATGTTCCTGTATACTATTCCAGCAACTTGGTTATGGCCATGTAAGCTTTCCCTGCCACTATCTTACACCATGCAGTTATGTTATATATGTATATATATATAGTATAAATTCCAGTGTCATAGAAAAACCTGCTTAAGCATTAGAAATCTTAGAAGTTTTGAAATTATAAGATGTTCAGTTTTAAAATGATCTAATTATCACTATCATACTGTCATTGTGACATTCACAAACTGCTACATAGATGTCATTGTTTATACACTAAAATATGGGAACATTTATTTTATCCAGTCTTGACAGGGAGACTTGTTTTTAAGGGAAAAAAACAGGCAGCAGGGTATGAAGTGATTGGACATCAGCCTGGCAAGGACCTATAACAAAGACCAAAGCAAGAGCCTTTTCTGGGTGGCTGCACTTTTCCACAATGTGCCCCGCTCCTTAACAAGCCCCACTGAAATACTGCAACTGCAGGATATCAAGGTTGACGTTTATGATGCTCAATTTGGAATCAGATTTTGTCAGAGCCAAGTGCTGCAAGTAGATTCTGATTTTTGCCTGCATGTCTGTGATCTTATTTACACAAATTCAAGCGTGCAACCCCACCCCCCCACCCCCCTCTACAAAGGAGTAGCGAGTTGCAGGCTGATTAAATAAAATAAATACGCTTTCCATTGCCCTGTTTTCTTACAGCAGCTTTGACACTCTTTTCTACGGGGTGTTTTGGCAGGCGTTCACATGCCTGAGACGCAGCACTTCCTGCCAGGCTTCGCCCCATTTAGAAGCAGCCAGCATCTCACCAAGCAGTGCATGAACACTTCAGGGGGAAACATGGATGTTATATAAACATTTGTCCTGGACATTGTTGAGCCACTGTGACACATGGGTTCACAGCATCCATCGAACCATGTACAATCAGAGCCAAAAGAAGAAAAAAAAAAGAAAAACACTTGCATAAAAACGTGAGTCTCTGTGCTGATTTTCTCTCTGGTTCTTTCGCTGTCATAAACGGTGAATATTAATTTCAACATTTAACAGGGTTAAAATCAATGTAAAAAAAAAATATAATAAATACTCTGTCTTTTATACTCAGTCTTTTATATAATATTTATTGATGTAATAGCAAAGATACTTAATATTAAGAAACGAGTAGGATCATGATTCTTGTAATTTAGCAACAGTGCAGGGCTGGGCGATATGGCTGAAAGGCTTATTACCACATATGGTTTCACATTGATTGATACTGATAATTGAAAATAAGGACCATGAGGGTAAGGACCAGTGAAGGTAGCAGATCTGCTTGGGTCCTGTGTGTGCCAGTGACATTACACTATATGGTTGCCACAATGACCTAAACATTATGAAAAGCCATTATCAGAAAAACGAATAAGTATCAAAACGACCTGCGATTGGTTCAACCGCATGGGAGAGAAGAACGAGTATGAAAACCATTGTTCTAACAGGTAGGACCTGTGCATTATCTCACAGGGTAGAAACAGTAGAGCTTAGAAATATAGCGTTATGTGTATGCAAGGATATCTATACATGGTCTGAGAAATCTCTCCCTATAAAAATGCATTAATACTATTCATTTAACTGGATCCTCATCAAAAGGACATGATGTTTGTGTTATTAGCAACTAGCATGTGTAACAGACCCAGTGAATGATGACTAAATCAGGAAATCAAACATTGCGAAAGGCTTTAAGGAGGGCAGATACAGAGGACACTCTTTAGTTTAAGGAGGATAACCTGCTCCCGCCCTGGTTAGCTCTGGGGAGAATGTTACTATGGTAACAGATGCAGAGGTTGAGAAAGCTCTCTTTGTGAAATGGAAAACTTGGTTTCCCTGATTTCAGGTTTAGAAATCTTTTCAGTTAACCTGGTTTGTGATACAGGACCCTCCTGTAGACATCTCACAGGTTAAGTTTTTCTGAAATAAATGTGTGATTCATTAGATCTTGCTCCTTCTCATGTAGCTGCAGGGACATAGTGAGGGGGTGGTGAGAGAACAGGACACAGTTCTGCCACACCATGCTGTGTCACCATAAAAAGAGAAGGAAGCAGACGTTTTCTTCACTACAGCTCAAAACGTTTGGCCTGTTGTGCTGTAAGCCTCTACTCCTCTGTCTTCCCTCAGGGTGTGGAACTCTTTGACCAATAACTTCGGCAATGTGATGCCTGTGGACTGGAAAACTTCCTACACTCGCTCCCTGCACCTTCCTGCCCTCAAACTCACAGAGCGAGAGGTACCACACATTCAGTCTGCCATGAATTGTTTCAATATCTGCACATTGTTGTAAATAATAATAAAAAAAAACTGGGGTTTTATTGATGCAAGGGCATTGAGATGATGCATTTGGGTTTGATCCCCCTTAAAAAACACACATTGCCACAATTGTTTTACTGATCCACTCAGTTCTTGCATATCCTCATGTTGATCCAAAAGATTTTCTGCTTTTCCCGAAACAACCTTACCTAGAGGTTCACTTCTGATTTAAGAAAGGAACATCCCAAACCCAACTGATTTGATGTAAAACTGTCTTGATGCATCTTTTATTTGATGCCTTCATCTCTGCCTTCAAAGGGACAGAAGCTGGATAACCAGTCTTTGGATCCGTCTGATGATGAAGATGAGGACTTGCGGGAACAGTTGGATATGCACTCAATCATAGTGTCCAGCATTAATGAAGAGCCTCTTTTCACTGCTGAACAGGTAAACAGACTCACACTGCTGCTTTTATCTTTCTACATTTTGTTCTTGTATTAAACTTTTTTTTTTTTTTTTGTTTAAACTGGAGCTGTTGTTTCAGCCATGCCCAACTTAAAGACTAGTAGATTACTGCAGAGTTACAATTATAACTATTTTATGACCAAAATCAATAGTTATTTAAATATTAATGAGTTAAAATGATGGCAGTTCATTCAAATTCTTTATAATCTTTTTTTATGAGTTTTATAAACCCATAATTATTGGCTAAATACTTAATCCCAAAGAAAAATCAACTGACCTTACAGAAGATTTGCATCTATTTGCTTCAATTGATGAACTGGATTCATGTTTTAAGCTAAAGCTTGGCAGATAATTATGGTGTCCTTTAATTAGATCATGACACATAATCAAAACAGGCAAAGAAATCAGATGCATAAGCTGGACATGTTTGGGTCCTTATCGTGTCAACAGTCATAACATTTTAACAAGCCTGTATTTACAGAGAGCAGCTTGGTTTCTCTCTGGACGTCAGAAAAAAATTATTGCATCAGTTTAATGTTTGGTGTTTGTACAAACAAAAAAGTCACATCCTGAGCAAACGGTATAGAACATGTTAAACTCACTGGAATCTCCTCATTTATTACATTATTTATATTTAGCTTAAGTCATTTCTATGTTGTAAATCTGCATTAAGGATTCATGTTGAACTAAATAGTTGAGGTAGCTTATCAAAGTTGGGGTTAACTGAGTGCTGTGTTGTTGCCAGGTGATTGAGGAGATAGAAGAGATGATGCAGGAGTCTCCAGACGATGACGAGAGTCCCTCCCAGTCGGACCTGTCGATGCTCTCCCAGGACGTCGGTGCTTTAAAACGATCAGGCTCCAACACCAGCTTTGAGGACCGTGAGTCTACCTGCTCCCTGACAGAAGAACAGGAATCAAGTGTTTTATTGAACCTGTGTGAACTGTTTCGGAGTTATTTAAACAGATGTACAAGTTCATATAGGGGTCTTTCCAGCACGCGATATAAGCGTTCTGCATTAGTACATATGGTAAAGCTCTTATATAATCCATGTTGTCCCAGTTGTTATGTAATCTCCTTGGTATCCTTGCCTCAGTAAACATTCTAATTTTCAACGCGTTTAAAATGAAAATTTTTCCTCCTGGCATTTCATTCTGCTTTCTTTTACGGATTGGTATCCACAGAGCTTCGCCAGCTGTCTGTGTCGGAGATTAGCCGGACGCTGGAGGAAGTGGAGGCGGCCATCCGTCGCTACAGTGAAGAGCTCATCCAGGCCCTGGCACTGAGAGACGAGCTGGACTTTGAGAAGGAGGTACCGTCTTCTCATCACATGGATGTCAATACTCGATCCTGCAGACATGTTTGGAAATTTGCAGCAATAAGCAGCTTTAAAGCAGCCAGAGAGCATTGAATAACCGCATGAACAGACGGCAGAGCTCTGCCCCCTGACTGTGAGATCAGAGCTGCCAGTAACACTTGTTTCTGAGAAACAGTTGTTCCTGAGCAGATTGACAGAATCTAAAAAAAAAAAAAGAAAATAGTTTGTACAGATAACAAGGTCTTATTCACTGTAATGGAGCCTTAGAGTCGTTACCCTGGGAAGTATTGGCATTTTAAAATGATTTAAAAATAATTATGCACTGAATGCTTCCAGCTGCACTTGTATGAATGGACAGGAAGAGCTCCAGTGTTTTGCTTCACTTTAATGCATTTCCAAGCAAAAAAAAAAATCTATAAACAAATAATGTATCAAAAAAGTACTTTGAAATACTATAAATCTATGATACAGAAATAATCCCTAAATGAAAAGAGTCTAGATAGTTAGTGTGTGACTCATTCAGTGCTTTGCGACAGTATTCACACCCCTTGATCCTGTCATGTTATCCCACAAACAGCTGTGTATTAACAAAGGTTTATTTCTTAATAGATAAATATGAAAACCATGTCTGATTTATCTCCTTTTTCAAACTGATACATTGCTCAGTGTTGACAACATATCAAACCAGTATGAAGCTATGATCAAGTTTGAGGATCCTATTTGCCAGCCACTTTAATTGAGGAGGAAAATAAAGTTTATTATTTATGTTCAGATTTAGTTTCTTCTGCTTTATAGGCTGCAAAGTAATAAGCTATGATATTTGGTGTTGATTTCAACCCTTCGGATTTCTAAAAATGTTCTGTATGCACAGGTGAAGAACAGCTTCATCTCGCTGCTGATCGACGTACAGAACAAACAGAAGGAGCACCGGGAGCTGCTGCGCAAGAAGAAGAAAATCCGCAGTACGACTACGTCAGGACCCAACGGCCAGAGGATAAACAGCACGCACATACCGGGCACGGTGAGTTAGCAAGGGGGCGTTGACAGGAAACGTGATGCAGAAATGCATCGTCATGCAGTGCTCACTGTTTGAAGCAACACAACCAAAACATGACCTTTTGAAGAGTTTTTCACTGCAGTCACTCTCTGAGCAGCAGCAGTGCATTTCCTTCCTCTCTCACAGAGCCTCCTTAGCTTTCATCATCTTTTCCCTCCTTCCTCTCGCTCCTTGTAGCTCCTCACTCTGGAGGGACTCTCCAATGTCATTCAAAGTGGTCTCCGTCAAACTTTTGGCCACTCAGGAGGGGACAAACAGGTGCCCCCTGCTCTTTTTTCCTTACTGCAGATTGATTTCTGTGCTCCGTTTGTTGTATTTCTTTCTTTCTTTTTTTTTCTACTGGCATGCACTGTTTTTTTCTTTTTTTATTCTTCCTTTTGTTCAGTTTGTCTCTTTGTTGATTTTCACATTTTGTCTTCTGCCTTTTATACTAAATCATGTTACAGACCCTTTCAAAAGCTTTTATCTTTTTCATATCTTGTCGTGTTACAACCACAAACGTTGATGAGAACATAAGTGAACAAACGGCATTCTGATGACTGAGGAACACAGCAGACTGTGGTCTGGGATTAAGTGTTTTTTAATCTGTTAACCCACCATCACTACTATGCACCATGGCGATGGGATGATGCTTTCCTTCAGCAGTGGCAGTGGAGCTGGTCACTAATCTGGAAGAACATAAGCTGGCAGCTGTGGAAGTGCAATAATTATACCCACTGTTCATCTTGTCTAACTGAACCTGACCCATTCATAAAATAAATGGTCTAAAACATCAGTGAAAACTGAACTTTGTGCCGTTTCGATTAAAAAATTATAAGTTTGTGGTTGTATTGTGACAAAACACAGTCACACAGTCGTTCTATTGTAATGCAGCCTGATTGACCTGCTTTATTTACTACAAAGGTTCCCTCAGTTATAGTTGAAAAGATACTTGGAACAGTGAAAGTGCATGTTTCATAACTTTTAACACAACACTGAGACTTAATTTGGTCCTGTGATTGTAATATTAATATATTTGTATTCTCTGTAGTATCTGACCACAGTGATCCCCTATGAAAAGAAGGCGGGCTCTCCTTCTGTAGAAGACCTCCAGATCCTCACAAAGAGTAAGCTCCTCAGCAAGAAGTTCAGTTTGATGGTGATGGCAAACATATTGTCAGATAAATCGGACTCATCTAATCTTTTTCTCTCCCTATCAGTTCTTCATGCCATGCGGGATGACAGTGAGAAGGTGCCAGCGCTCCTAACAGATTACATACTCAAAGGTAAACATGGCTTTTACTTTGTTTTTTCTGTTTAACAACCTTCTGTTTGCGTGTGTTGTATGATGCATTTTATTGTCTAATTAACTGGATTTAAAAATTTTACCAAGAAGCTAACTTAAAAAAAAGTCATTCTGGTCATAAAACAAAAAAACTATAAACTAAATAATCTGATATGTTGATGCAAATCAAAAGGGTAGTTTTTGCTTACATATTTGTTTGCAGGTTGATAGATGACGAAGTAAGGCGTTTTAATTGGTGTTAAGGTTGAAAGAACTCCTTTTTAAAAATGTTTGAATCCTGTTTGGTAAAATTGCAACCAATTTATCAAAAAACAAATAATAGACAATCACATGATGTCTCACACTGTTATCAACCTCTGACTGATGAAGTGAAATGAAACTGAGGATCTAGTTAAAGAAATAAAAGTGGAATTATAAAGGAGAGGAACTGCTGTGAAGATTGTAGCATTAAAAAGTAAAAGTTGTACAATAGATATAAAAGGTAAATTTGTGGATGCAGTTTAATATAAGCAAAAAATGCCTGTTAGATACATGTTAAAAACTGAAAAAATGAATGAAAAAGGGTTGAGAAATTAAAATGTGTATAAATACTTCGCTAGTCAGGGAGGAAAACAATTCCATGAAGAAAAACTATATTTTAAACAGCTGCTTGTCTTTCTACCTTTAGTTAGAAAGAAATCACATTTATAATCTATAAAACCCTGGGTCCTTTACTTCACTTGGGTTCCCTGATATCTTTTTTTTTTAAATTACTCCAGAGTATTCCCATGAACAGAAATGCAATGTTCCAATAATTTAGTATGCTTTTTTAATAAATCTTAAATCTTCCAAAGTTATAGCTCTTATCTGGTTTAATAGATCCTTTCTGTTACTTTTAACAGTAAAGCTGCACAATGTAATCACACTTGCCATTGTGATATGATTACATGGATGCAACATTTGCTAGAACATAATGTTTGATGTGTCATGCATGCCATTGATTGGGGAAATATTTTCCTTCCTTCTCAGGATCAATCCAACCTATTTAAGGTCTGGAGTTTTATCTGGTTCCTTGTGTGATCAGGCATTTTTTCCCTCTGTTTTTATCAGACTTATTGATTATTTGCCCCAAAACTTGTTTCTATTTGGTTTCAGTTATTCATGTTTGATTCAAACTGAAAATTTGCTTCACCAATTTACCTCCTTACATCATAAAACTGTGGAAGAGGATTAGGGCCACTGAAAAATAAAAAAGGTTAGCTGATTTTTATTTTTATTTTATTTTAGTATAATATGAGGAAAAGGTCAAATTTCTGACTTTAATCGCAGAATTCTGACAGCTAACAAACATGTTAGCAACAAGCTGTAGCAATTTCTGTTTTAGAGACTAAACTAGCTCTCTTGTTTAAATCCCCTTCTGCTCTTTCATCAATGAAATAGCATCACCAGGGACCCCTCAGACATGTAAAAAGTCGCCTAATTCCATAATTTTCCAAGAATGTGTTACTGGCCCTCCCAAACAACTCACATCTTTGTCAGTGAAGCTGAGTGCTCCACATCTCTTCTTTCATGCTGCCCATCTACATTAAGATCCAAAATTCTGAGATTAAAGTCAGAATTCTGACTTTTTTTCCCATATTAAACTGAAATAATATTTAATAATCAGTTAACTTTTTATGTTTTCAGTAGCCCTAATCCTCTTCCGTGTAAAACTTTAGCAGTTGAGGCTGTTTATTTTTTAACAGCATTGATAAAGTGCTCTGCTTTAAGACTGAATGCGACTGCTGTTGACATGTGCCTTCCTTTTCCTTTCATCTGTGCTGCACTGTCCTCTGGGTAGCTCTCGTATGAAAGGAGAGGAACCTGAGGTTGGTGAGGTTAACACGGCTCATTGACATTAAACGCCTCGTCATCCTCACCGTCTGCATAACATTCCCTTTTACCCAAATAATCAGCCTCCCACCGCTCCTTCGCTCTCTGCTGTGGTGCCAGTTGTGCTGTATGGTGCTTGAAGCTGTCTTACACCCACTCTGGAAAATCACAAACAAGCAAACTCCTGCTCATGACTTCCTCACACAGCGAGCTTGTAGTAGCAGCCGTCCATGCGTTCGCCTCTCACCTGTAATCAGGGGTTTCCTTGTCTCTAACCATACATTTCTCCCAGCTGTAGCTGCTCTCTCATCCTCGCCACCTCTCTGCCTTTTGCTCCAGTGTTTCTCACCAGCTCTCTTCTTTTTCTCCACAGTTCTTTGTCCCACGTAAAATAAGAGGCGACACCTTTTTGTCTTCAGTCGACCAGCAGAGGAGGGTTATGATCGTTTGGAAAAAATGCAGGAACTCATTGAACTCCAAACCTACTCTACCTTCCTCCTCAGTTTTCCTCATGGTACTTTTACCTCTGCCTCTCCTTTACCTCTGATACGACTCGTAGGCTTTGTAGTTCTTTTAAATTCTAATATTTTAGCTTTTTCCCTTTTACTTAGTGCCCCATTGTTTTATATACTGATAATACACTGGTGCATCTCAGTAAATCCACACATCATCATAAAGATAGTTTTATTCATTTAATGCAAAAGAGCAACTCATTTAAAATGGATTTATTACTCTGAGTGATGTATTCATTTTTCTCGGATCAGTTTTGATAGTTATAGTTTAAAAACAAAGGAAAATACCAACTTCACCCTTAATTGGATATAGGAAAACATAACAGGTCATTGCTAAAGAAGAGTTCAGAGTTATGTAGCAAAGTATAATATTGGTAAGTTAATTGGAAGGAAAAAGTATGGTAAAAAAACAAAAAAAGGTGCACAGTTTAAAAAATGACAGCATTTTAAAGGCTCTATAAAACAGGCTGTTTGCCTTCATGCCTTATTGTTGCTGTAATTTACACAAAATGAGCCTATTTTAAGTTTACTTTATAGTACAAAAAAGCTCCTTTATAGTAATGTGACTTTTTTATATTTTTGTATATTGGTTTAAAATACTTTAATCTTTCTATCAAAATTACTTTGCCGTTTCCCTCAGCTGTAGACTATAATCATCGAAAAATATAAATTCTATGTAATCAATTTATTTGTGTTGTTTTTTTAGCTAAAATGCAAAAATGAGATTAACTTTGTTTGATACTTCAATGTGTTGAGATGCACCAGTAGTTCTTCATGTGTGGATGCCAGTAATCAGTGTTAGCCTCAACACCTCACTTCCTGTTTGGCCAGGTGCTCTCGGATAAAAAACGGTCCTTAAAGGTTTTTCAACTCTCTGGAATCAGTCAGCAGGCCTCAGTGAGCGAAGTGCAATCTGTATAGACTGCTTTGCTTATCAAATCCTGCAGCCGCACGGCAGGGAAAACAGATCCCGGTTGAATCCGGGGGAAAACATACCAGGCAAGCCACAGGCATCAAGCATTTATCACCTTAAGGACTTTTTAAAATTTCTCCATTTTAAAGAGAAAGCCCTTTAATTTCCACCTTCTTTGATGCATGCTAGTTTCAGGTATGAAGTGTGAAGCTGAATGTTTAAAATAATATGTCTTTATGACAGAGAGAAATTGCACAGTTTGAGAAATTATACAGTAAAAAAAGGGACAAAATAGAACAAAGTAAAAAAAAAATGAATATTTTTGAATAAGAGACTTTTAGCAAGATAAGGAACTTTAATGATTTTATAAATGTTGTGACGTCAACCCCAACAAACTTCCACTTTAGGCTCATTTCATACGTCTGAAAATACCTCTCGTTTAATAGTGTATTGGTGAAAATAATGTGCTGTTGGGTAAGATTTTAACATCTAATTGTTTTGTTCACATAACTTATCTGTGTTTTAGGTCTTTGGCTTTAAGATTATTGGAACAGCAAGGTTGCACTTTATGAGTGACGCGACAGTGGAGACGATAGATTTCTGCAGAATGTAGCACAGAGTGGGTCTGATCAGCAAGTAATGAAAGGTTTACCGTAGGTAAAATAGAACAACTTTAGATAAAAATCCTTCAGGTTTTCCAAGAGAGAAGTCAACGAGTTAAACTTGTTTTGTGTTTTTTGCCATTTTAAGTCAAATAATTTGAGAAGCTTCTGTGATTTTTGTCAGTTACAAGATTAAATATTTTCAGTATTTAGTGAAGAAATTGGGAATCCTTTATTGTAGAATTTATAGTATAAAGATATGTTATATAGTTAAAGTTAGGATGTATGTAGTTTTAGTTTTTAACTATATAGAAGTAGGAATTTATTCCTTGAGAATTTGTGCCATGCAAGTCGATTACATTTTATTCCCTTTCTGTGATATACTGCATTTTGACCTTAAGAGAAGCCTGATTGACACAGTATATGTAGAACATATCTATTTTTTTTAGTCTATAGTTGTTTAGTTATAACTTTTTTTTTTTATCCAGTCAAAAGTTTAAAACTACCTAAAATTATTGAAGGGCAGTCAGAGCGGTCTGGGTCTTTAAACTTAATTTGAATTGCCAGCAACCACCACTGCTCTAATACTGTCCCATGGATGTCTTCCATCTTCTGATGTTTACTCTTTATCATTATTGAGGAAATTTGGCAGTTTATGTAAATGTAAAATAGAAGAATTTAAAACATAATGGATCAAATTTTTTCTTTATCAAATTTGAACCCTTAGCTTCCGACATCACTTGCAGAAATTGTGTGGTAACTTCAACCATCAAAGCCTTAAATTATCGTGTTTACAGAGTAGTTATAAATAAATAAAGTTAAATCCAAACCAAAAGTCAAACAGAATTACTTGGATGCAATGATATTTGACTGATTCAAGGTGGTACGCAAACATTCAGGTGTAGCTTAGGTCTCAGGTACAGCCATCAGGTGTTGGTACTGAAAGTTTTTGTTGTTGGAGCTATAACATTCCTAACTTCAATTACATCACTAATACTGATGATTAAGAGACATGATCAAAGATGAGCTAAACAGACGTCTGAACAGAAGTTTCCAGGATAATGGATCGGCTGGAGCAGTGTGCTTTAGTTTAGCAATGTTTTATTGTGTGTTTCACCAAAGTTGATCGCACTACATAATGCTGCCCATACTTTGCTGGAACTTGTGTGTTCGCTGAATGTTCTGTGAAAATGCTTCACACTTTCCTGAAACTTTTCCAGAATTGAGAGTTTACATTTAAAGATTTACCAGATCATTTCCAGGCTTTGAGGTTTTTGGTTACTTTCCTGGAACTTACTTTCTTGGATCTTAACAGCTACTTTCTGGATCACACGCAACACTTTTAAGTTGTGGGTTACTTTCCAGGAACTTGTTAACTACTTTCTATGAACTAGTTTCTTACGTTGTAGGAAATTGGGGAAATGGACTTCTTGAAAGTTCTAGGAAAGTAACTTCATATTCCTTGGGAAGCACCTAGTTAATTATTAGTCACGTCGTAATATTGTCATTTTCTTTAAAGCATCCAGTCAGGTCTGGATAGATTACCAGTAACCTCCAAGAAAGGGTTCAGGAAAATCCTTGTTTTGATAAGTTCTGGAAAAGATGGGATGTGTTATGAAGTGGAGCCATAATTAGAGACTCTCAGAGGGAAATTGCTATGATATGTGGAGTGGATGTTGGGGAAGACCGCACATCTATTTACTAAAAAGAAAGCCGTAATTGTTTTTGTATATCTTTAAACACTTATAATGCTGTTTAGATATTTGTATGTGAAATGTTTCTACAGATGCCAGCTATTTTCAACCCAGCATGTGCTGCATGTACTTTAATGCTGCTACTGCAGCAAACACGTTTTCCTATAATCTGTGTTTGTTTACAGACCTATTTAAAAATCACACTAAAGGGAAAGGTGCATGTTGCAGCAATAACATGAAAACTGGAAAGCAAAAAAAGCAAAAATATTTTTAAACGATAAGGGTTTTTAAGGTCTAGTGTATCAAAATTTTTAAATCTATTAGCAATGGTTTAAAAATGAAATGGCTCTCAGCACTGAGGTCACTGAAAGATCTCTGGCCATTTCAACAAACATATCAGATCTATATTTCTATGCGTCGAACAAGACAAAAGAGGCTGCCTTTGTAAATGCCTGATTAAATATTTTGTACATTTATTAAACTCATGTTGTTCGTAATAGAATTAATTTCCCTAGCTAGGATTTATTTTTTCATGTTTACTGTCTCATGGTACTGCAGTGTATTAATTTATTACATGAATGTTTTGTAACGATGATCTCAACTGTAATGGTGCAAGTGTTTTGTGCCCACATTATTGCATTGCTGCGCATTTCAAATAAAAAGAAATTATATATTTAAACACTTTGGATTGTGTGCTTTATTTTGTGGGATACAGTTTGTCTGATTTTATAAGATGAATTTGTATATTTATACAAAATAAAACTATAGTTTGAACTTTGCAATATTTCTGGTTCAATTGTTTACATTACCGCTCTTGTTTACGTCTTTGTTAAGCACCCTATACATTACCAAGCATTACAGTGTCGCCAGGTAACTATGAATCCATTCAAGCATTAGGAGAAATAAATGCACAGTATTTTTTTGAACCAATGGAAGAATGTTTACAACTTAGCTCACACATGCTCTTAATACAGCTAGAAACCACAAATCAGACTGGAAATCTTGGTGTAGGGACGGAGTCTGACCTGAACCTTCAGAGACTATTAAAGATAGTGGATTACTGCAACAATGTTTTTACAGGTTTCCCTAAAAAGTTGAACAGACAACTACAGCTGGACTAGAATGGAGCTGCCTGCATCCTCACTAAAACTAAGAAAGTGTATAACTCAGAGAATATACTTTAAAATTCTTCTGTTAGCCTACAAATTACTGACCATCTTAGCACCAATACGCATCACAGACTGTATCAACTGCTCAGATCTCTCATGTCTTCTCGATCAAATTTACCTAGAGCCAAAAATGGAGGAGCAGCATTTAGTTCTTATGCTGCACAAATCTGTAACAAACTCCCAGAAAACTATCCTTAAGAGAAGGTTATTGTCTGCAATCTCCCATCTCTCCAAGATCTGTACGCCTCCAGGACTCTGAGGCGTGCAGGGAAAATTGTGGCTGATCCCTCCCACAAACTATTTCAGACACTTCCTCTGGCAGGAGGCTGCGGTCCATGTGGCTCGCGCCACAAGAACAGTTTCTTCCCATCCGCTACCAGCCTTATCAACAAGGCCCAGATACCCCCATGACACTGACACTGCCTCTCTGCCTCCCCCATTCAGGACCTTGAAGCTACACTAACGTAGAATCTCCAGACTTCCTGTTACATTAACACACAGTCTACTGTGTAGAGTATATGGCTATACACAATATCTTGTATATTATATATAGCTATAGATTATGTATTCTCTATATATATCTATTTTGTCTGCACCATCAACACCAAGTCAAATTCCCTGTAAGTGCAAACCTACTTGGCAATAAATGTGATTCTGATTAAGTGGCTTTAAATAAAGATTAAAAATCTTTTTGTTTATTGATCTTTAACTGTTCTAACTAAACCTCAAGTTTTTATTCTAAATATAATTTTTTTTATCAGTCTTTTTCTTTTTACACATATATAATCTAATTTTGGTTATTCATATTCTCTTTAATTATTTGGGTTGCCTTCATCTTTATAGCTCTACAAAGGGCTTTTTTTCTGTACAGCATTTTAAATTGTTTTGCCACCTAAATGTGCTGCATATATAAACTGAGAGTTGAACTTAATAACTGCAAAGTTAAAAACTTTATCTGAGGTATAAATCTGTTTTTCTTGCAAACTGCCAGTACAAGGGGAAATGGTTGCATTAATTTGACATGATTAAACTAAAGATTATTAAGCAAGTGATCCACTGTCACCCTCTTGTGGAAAGCCGAAGCATCTTTAGTTTCATCCAGTTAACAAGCTTAGCATGCTGGGAAATTTTCAAAATGCATATTATGATGAGCTTTTTATCTATGATGACACCCAGATACTTAAAGGTGGTTGCAACATCTTTAAATGTGTAAATGCATGAAATCAGTTTTATAATAACATGAAACACTCAGCGGTGCCCATAATGATTTATATAAAACTAATATAATCTCTATCATTGGGTAAAGTATACTATATATACATTTTAAATTAGTCATCCATGGCTTGATTATTTCCCAGAGTATAATTATTATATTATTATAATTATTATTCAACACCAAGGCCAAATTGTCTCAGAAATTAGAAAAGACAATAGATAAAAAATAAATAAATTAATTAATTAAATAAAAAGACAATAGAACATAGTTTTTCCAATATGAAATATGTTTTTCTTTTGTTTTTCTTATTGTGTGTGAGTTAGAAATACCAAAAGGAGGAAAAACTGTAAGAGGAAAGATTTCATAGAACTCCTTGTTGGAGAATAACAACAATATGTAGCCTGTTAGCATCTGCAAAACATTTAGACATCAACAAAGATCAACAACTGTTTGAAAGACATACGAGGGAAAACCATCCTTCCATGTTCTACTGTCATTAACACATACATTTAAATTAAACAATTTAAAGGTGGAGGATGTTTGCAGGTCTGAAACTGACTATGTAAAGTTCAGAAGGTAGCCTACATTTAGTAAAGAACAAAAATGTCAAGTTTCTGCTGAAAGTGATGCAGGCTACCTTTATCCCTGATGTTTACACGTATCCATCACCATCAGATAACATTCAGAACATGTCAAGATGAAGAGAATTTTTTTTTTTTTCAAAGAAACAAAAGACTCAAAAAAAAAAAAAAACAATGGGGGACATGGGCAGTAAATATCTCCAGTTGGATTAATATTGTTACTGTTGGATGTCTTTAATATATTCCTACAAAAAGATGTCCACCTGCTTCATTTTCAGGACCATCTCATGTTCTTCTTGTTCCTCTGGATCTTTCACTTGAGGCGTCTCTTCCTTTAGACACATCAGAGTGACTGATGCAGGATCCACTCTGGTCAGGATCTAGAGCCTCCTGACTGAGCTGTGAGGGTAAAATGTTCATCATCAGGTCACAGGTTGGTGTCTGTGAACATGGTGTGCTCTTTTCTCACGGTGCTGAAGCCTTTGATGGTGTCCACAAATTCCTCATCCTCCATAAACTGTAACAGGGCAATGGGCCACATTGCACATTATGTTCAGGTAAAGTATTCTTCTTTATAGTTTTTTTTTTCACCTTGATTTTTTTTCTGCTTTTAATCATTTAAGAGAATGTTCAATAGGCATATATTTTTGGGGTCTCTTACCATCCCACTGTCATGGGCTGAGATGTTCGGGTCCCAAACATCGTCATCTCCTGTGAGAGACTTCCCGTCTATCACTTGGCTGATGCTGCGTCGCAGAGAGTTCACACTAAGGACACCCAATTCTTCCCCTGTATCCATCCCTTCAGCCGGCTCACATTTAGCCTCCAGAATCTCCTGAAGCCAAAAAAAAAAAGGGAGAATCCAACTCTGAAACATATGTTTAGCTGACAAAGCAACCCACTTAAAGCAGTAATTATATCAAAATTCTAAAAAATATATATAAACATTTTGCATTTAAGATAAAATAACGTTGTCGTCTGTCAAAATGCTCAACAGAAAACTTCTCACGTAAAAATGTTAGTTTCACCTGGTTTAATTTCATAAAAAAGGAACCTTTGGTGGTCGGATTATCAGATAACAGATTAATCGATTTGCAAAATATTCGTTAGTTGCAGCCCTGGTAATCACGCAAATTTTCTTGGCTTAAATATTTGCATTTACTTTTTTCATCTTGATAAACGCAAAATGTTGAAGTTTCACAGCAATTTCAACCAATTAATAACATTTTAATTTATACTTCCAATATCTGTGATATTGTGATATGTTGATTTTGTTCAGTGTTTTGCTGTAGAAATATGATTGGAAAAGCTAAAGCATATTTAAATAAATTTGGTAAAATACAAACCATTTTAAAAAGGTTCTTACTCAATGCAAAACAATTAAATTCTAGCAAATTATCAAGAGTATTTTACTTTCACCTTGTGATCAAGGATTTAAATCATGTTTAGATTCATTTCCTTCCGATAAAATCATTTTATTTTCACAAAGCACACACTCTGTTTTTGTTTTTCTACAATGTATGTAAACATAATAGATTTCCATGGATCATAAAACGTTAATGTTTTAAATTTATACTTTTACACTTCACATTTTTATTTTTACAATGCTTTAGAATAGGTTTAGATTTTTTGACTTCTTTAAAACAGAATTAAAAGTCACAAGTAAGAGATTCACACTTTCTGGTTTTCATAGCAGTTTTTGGAAACTAAATCTTTTTCACCGAAAATAATTTGGTGTGGGGATATTTTTTTATCTGACTTGGTAAAAATAATAATTATAAGAAATTAAGAAAAATATTGACAAAAGGCTCTGAATGACCTCAGATCTAATTATTATAATTAACAGATATCCCTTGAAATTTTATGGAATTTATTTAGTTTTTGGTTTTGTTCTCATAAAAACTGCTGAGCTAAGTGTGCATCATACCTTCAAATAATTACAAATGAAAAAAAAAAAGTATTATGATGAATTTACTGTAAGGTAGTTTCAAAAGATTAATATGCTTAAAAGTGGGATAAAATAATTACAATATACATATAACATTTCTAGTTTGGTTTATTGTATTGTAATTTTGCCTGAATAGAAATCGATATGTTTAGATTATAAACGGCCTTTTAAGAGCTATTAAGTTTGACTGTTTCTGCACTGGATGATACTAGATCCAATTTCAACTTCTTAAAATGTAAATCATATTAATGTATAAATTTTGACACCCTCTACATTTCTTTATTATTACATATAATTGCCCTTTGAATAAAGTCTGATCAGTTTGTGCATCAAGAGCAAACAATGGATTTCTGTAAATCCCTCTCTGCAATCAAAATAACATACACCCAATCAGTCCATACAAAAGGATATTCTCAGCACTTGAGATAAAGATGCAAAGTCTGTAAAAACAATAACATCTGTGCCACCTGCTACATCAGACTGTACACACAAAATGCCATTTGGATTATGTTTCTTAGGCTTTTACCTCAATCTTCATGGAGAAGCGCTTTAGGGTCACACTGCTGGAGAAGGCGGTGGTGTCAGGCACCGTGTCAAACTAAAAAAGGGAGAAAATAACACCGACAGTTGCTCATAGACATGGAGATGCATCTTGTTCCTTAGTGATGGATTTTCATAAAGTCAAGTGAGAATGCATTCTCAAGAAATAAGGCTGAATTCCTAAAGTTATTTATAAATATAGGAATCAGTTTGTAAAGACTCCGGGATGTGCCTGATGGCCTTTTGTCACCATTTTCTGGGCCACTGAAATAGAGCAGGGCTATTGTTTTAAAGGTAACAGAATTTACTGATAGTGTTGTAAGCTGTGGTGACCTAGTTTCTACACTGCTTTTGTAGATCAGAGAATAAAGACCCAAGGGAAAAGTTTTCCTTACCAAGACAGAGTTGCTGGGTGGGTACACAGCCATGGGACTCCTCTTCTGCATGGGGAGGGCAGTTAAAGGAGGTCTCTCCCTCGTCAGGGGTGGTTTATTCAGGGCCTGGTGAAACAGGAAGGAAAGTCCTGTTTCTGCTACCATCTAAAGGTTTTTTAAAATGTTGTGCTAAAGGAGGAGAACAGAAATGGAGATTATACCCTATGAAGCATGACTCCTAGCAGGATGGCCAGAAGCAGCAGGGCGATGGAGGCCATCACCACAATAAACCAAAGCTCCTGGACAACCTGTCGCTCTCTGAGGTCTCCTTCTGCCCTGTCACCACCGACAACGCCTCCGCCTCCTCCAGGAGGAGTGGGGCTCGGTGAATCTGGAATAATGGACACTAGTAAGTGCAAAAGTCTTAAACAGTCCTAATGTCTTTATTCTTTGCTTCCAAGAATCAGACTATCTCCTTTACTTTATGGAGGAGTCTTGATCGGTTCCAGACCTTATAAAGGGCTTTCAAAACATAATTTTAATTTCCCCTATCCTGTCCTTCCACCAGTCAATGATATGTTAGTATAGATACATTTGAGGAAAATAATCAGACAGAAGGCAAAAGAAGAGCAGGCCTAAGAGTAAACTATCCACAAAGTAGACGTTAGGAATCTAAGACTCCTAAATATACCAGGCTTCAAGCTCAGGCTCCTGTAAAACAACCTTTCAGATAATAAAGTAAAAAATCTTGGTGTTATTTTTGATCAGGACCTGTCATTTAAATCCCAGATCAAAGAGGTTTCTAGAATTTCCTTCTTTCATCTGAGGAACATTGCAAAAATTAGAAATATCCTGTCCAGGGGTGATGCTGAGAAACTAGTCCATGCATTTGTTACTTCAAGGCTGGACTATTGTAATTCTTTACTATCAGGAAGTCCACAAACTGTAGTTAAAAGCCTTCAGCTGATCCAAAATGCTGCAGCCAGAGTTCTAATGAAAATTAAAAAGAGAGATCATATCTCGCCTATCCTGGCTTCTCTTCATTGGCTTCCTGTTAAATCAAGAATAGAATTTAAAATCCTCCTTCTCACATATAAAGCCTTAAATGGCCAAGCACCATCTTATATCAGAGATCTGATTGTTCCTTATGTTCCTAAAAGAGCACTTCGCTCTCAATCTGCAGGTTTACTAGTGGTTCCTAGAATTTCTAAAAGTAGAATGGGAGGCAGATCTTTTAGTTATCAGGCTCCTCTCCTGTGGAACCAACTACCAGTTTTAGTCCGTGAGGCAGACACTCTGTCTACTTTTAAGGCTAGGCTTAAAACTTTCCTTTTTGATAAAGCTTATAGTTAGGGTGGCTCAGGTTATCCTGAGCTATCTCTATAGTTATGCTGCTATAGGCTTAGACTTTTGGAGGACATAGGGACCCCCATTTCATCATTCTGCTTCATTCTCTCTCTGTTCTCCTATTCTGCAGAATCTGTTAGTTCAATCTCTAACCTTCTGCTCTCTCTGCTTTTCCTCAGAGTAGCTTTGCCTCGTCTGTTCCTGTTTGGCTGTGACGTCATCCTGGAAAGAAACATCAGCTGTGCTGCTTCCATCAACACCCTTGTTTATAGATGTCCGAGATCGGCCTGTTTTCCAGTGTGGTCCTGTTTCTCTGACCGTAACTGAGTGGATGTGCTTTCTTCGTCCTCTGGCATGGGAGCTGCCTTGGAGCTCGTCTGCCTGGCTGTGTGTTTCCTGGACGGGGCCGCCTTTTACAGCTGCTTTTTGTATCTCTGCTTCTGTCTCCTTGAACCCCAGTCGGCCTCGGCAGATGGCCGCTCACACTGAGCCTGGTTCTGCTGGAGGTTTCTTCCTGTTAAAAGGGAGTTTTTCCTCTCCACTGTCGCTACAAGCATGCTTAGTGTGGGGGATTGTATTTGAGTCAATGAGTCAATGCAATCAACTGGTTTTCCTTAGATAGAAAACTTTGTATCAATTTGACTGTATGATCTGGTTGAACTGTAAAGTGCCTTGAGATGACATGTGTTGTGAATTTGGCGCTATATAAATAAACTGAATTGAAATTGAATTGAATTGAACCTTAATTGCCGCATGGTACATGGTAAACATATAAGACATTATGTCCCGTTTCTCCTCATGTTTCAGTTTATTTAGGTTAGTAGACATTTGCTCAGGTTCAGCTCTCTTAAATGTATAGTGGAGGATGTCCTCCTAACTGTCAGTCTGCTAATATGTTTACCTAAGGCCGTCCTACATGCTCATCTCCATTTTCACATACAGGAGGTGAGCCTGACATAGTGGAAAAATTGCAAATCTTTTGGAAAATAAGCCTGTGTGAATGATGCAAACAGCAACTTTTAAACAGAGCGTGCATGAGAAGAAATGGGCTTCTGCACGCTCTCGGGAGCAGGTACAGGGTTGTGCATGTACATTTTTTTTTAAAGAGGGTGGGTCTTTTCAGAAATTCACGAAAATCCTCCACTATTCTTTTTAGGTCCCACCCTGGCATTACATGAAAGAAATGATTATTGGTTATTGCAAAACTGATACTGTATCATAGTTTAAAAGGTCATCATGTTGTGGCAAACAGGAGTTCGTCTGCTTTACTCTCATCTGTTCAAAGTAGTCGTTCAAGAAATCTTCAGATTTATTAAACAGCATTGTGCAAAAATCATTCATGCTTTGCCAAAGAAAATGTATTTTTTCTCAAACAGATATGGTGCCTTTTTAATATTTTTTATGAACTACTGACATCATAAATTGTAACCTTTAACATGCTAAATGAGATTGAGCTACAAATGGAAATTAGGATCTCCTCCTGTTATCATTTCTTATTTCTTTAAACCTTTTTCTCATGTAAGATCACCTCTCCATAGAAAAATCCCTTTAGATTGTTAAAAAAAACTCAGCTCTGAAAACCTGCTACAATTTTTACTTTCTGAGAGGTGGTTATATGTGTAGATGATCATTTGATCTAGTTTATTTGTAATCATTACCTTAAAGCTGCTTCAAAATCTGTAAGAAGCAAACTTTACTTAATTTTCAACATGGAAACTCTGTCTTGGAATCCATTTGTTGGTGCTAATTGCTTACCTAATATGTGTCCAATGGGGATTTTTAATGAATCAGGTTAATGAAGCCAGGAAGCTATCCCATAATATCCTGCTCACAGCTGGTCGGTATAAATACAAAATGGATTAAACTTTAACCTGCATAATTTTCTGAAATTTGGTTAAGTTCTGGACTGAAAATCTTACTCCAACACTATCTGAGCTCTGCATATTTCATAAAATCCACACAGAGAATGAAAGACGATCACAATGTACACCGAAGGAGAGATAACTTTGTAACTGGAGACATACTTGTTTGCATGGCCTAGTTTTTTAGGCATCAAAAAGGCTGCAATGTTCAACGCTGTCTCTTTTATCTGTAGCAGCATAATTAAGGATATGTTACCTTCTGGTGATTCACCCAGTAAAAGTTCAGAACTGGCTGCCTTGTGCTGATGGTTTGGACTCACCTGTGCTGAGGTCCGTGGTTCGGCCTGTGATGCTGTCTGACACATCGATCACAAGGCCACAGGTCTACACAGAACACCTGTAATCCATTCTCCTTTTGACTTTATGCCGTCAAAAAGGGATAAAAATATAGATGAACTCATTCCTTCCCAAACACTAATAACTTTTTGTGAGAATCAATGACTAAAGAGCTTAGGACCTTCTGCATGTGTCATCCTGTAGTGCACCCAGCACCCTTTACTTTCCCTCAGCAGTGTCATGGCAACAGCTAGGTGTCAGCTTTCAGTTTACCTGCAGAGATGTGAAGCTTGTGGAATAACCCCACTCTGATACTTCACTATTTATTAAAGATTCACTAGTGAAAACTTACATTAAAAGGAAAATTGATCCTGCTTGTGTTTCCAAAATGGTCCAGCTCTAATACAACAATTTCACCCCCTTTCAGTAGTTGTGGGACTCTTATTTTCTTCATGAATTCTCTAAAGTATATCTAACCTACAGGGCTCTGTGCTGTTTATTTTAGCAATAAACCTGTGGCACTGCAACTTGGGAGAAGTTGCAATAAGCAGAGCAGTTTGCTGTTATTTAATGTCAGTAAAAGCTTTAACTGAAATAAAATCTTGCTTTATTTGCTTTATGCTCCAAAAAAAAAAAAAAAAAAAAAAAAAACATTAGTAAACATCTGAATCAGCGCGTACGAAACTAAGATTCATATTTTTCATTTGCAGTATTTTAACTCATCTTTTTACTCAATATAGACTTCTAATTTGTGTGAGAATAAGATAACCCTACTGTTCAAGATGGTGTCTCTGGTAGTATGCTGGTGAACCACATGATGGCAGTATGCAGCAGCTAGCTGATTTATTCTCCAGAGGCGCTGTCCAGCTGAATGTGAGGACTTATTGTGTAAAGAAAGCTGCAGGGGCCTTTATCACAGTCTGCAGTTAATCTGGGGCTGCAGTCCTGAAAGCAGCTGCTGGATGTCTTCATACAGGTTGCATGCTCTGCAGCTACAACCATCTAATCTATCAGATTTTTTATGCTTTTCTCATACTATATACACTCTTTTTTATATTGTCTGTTATATTTTGATATTTAATGGCATCTTGCTTTAACTCTTTGTACTCTATATAAGCTACCAGGAGCAGAATTTTCCTTAAGGAGTAAATAAAGTTGAGTCTAAGTATAAATAAAGTCTAATTTTACCTTCCAGGTTGGTGAGCAGAGAACTCGAGGGCAATGATGGGGAATGTAAGAAGTTTCAGTTGTGAGATCTTTGTTACATAAATCTTATGTGTGTATTTCCTTTGAAAAAACTTAAAATGACCAATTTGTCTACTTCTAAAAATGACTTTTATTTTCTTAATGTCTCTTTTCACATGGGTGTTTGATCGTAGTACTATAGTTTCTTCCTAATTTCCCTCTGTTTATTACTTCATTAAAAGCTAGCTACACTATTTTTCACTAATTTCATCCTTTATTTATCTGTAATTTTCAGGCAGACTTTATTTTCTCTAAATGATGTGTTTACCTGGTCCATGGGCAGGTTTGAGCCTCACAACAAGTGTGGTAGAGTTGCTAGATTAAAATACTTCGCCCTTTGTTGAATGCTTTTTTTTTGTACCACATTTTTTCCCAGCACGGAAACAAGATCCTGTTATACTTTAAAAAGTAAAAGTATAGGGAAAAAAATTGCCCTTCATGTTTTCTTCTGGCTATATGAGACACGTCACACCTGAAATCAACAGCCAACATTTCAATAAACGAGAATCAAGAAATATGATGTTGGTTGCAGTTCTAACAGATCAATATGTTCCAGATGTAGTGTGCTTTCTTTTTAATATGCAAAGAGAAGATGAAATACGTGGTTTTGGTGGTGCGAATATCTGTATTTTGTTTTAGTGTAGTGTAGATAGACTGATCATATAAACTCTGACTGTGGTGGATGTATTTTTTGGGCAGATTGCCTCTGTAGCGTCAACCTGACAATAAAAGTTTAAGCAGTTTATGTCCAGGATGTGTGGGGTCTGTGGAGATGTTAGCTGCCTTTTTTAACCTGTACATGTCCTAAATGGAGGGAAGGTCCGCACCGATGACTCTCTCTGCACACCTCATTGTTCTTTGCAGTGTTTGTGTTTATGAAGTTGAAATCCCATGGGACCATTTCAGGGCACTCCCAGTAATTTGTTAGATTTCAGCCTGGTTAGTGAAGACTTGGAAAAGTAGAAAGGAGGATTTCAACAGGTGTACGAACATCAATGTCTGATGGAAAATTGAGGTAATTTGTTTTTTTTGTAAACGGTTTTAAACGAAGCAGAAAGTAATATCCCTTATCCTTCGCAAACTGTGGGAAACATTTGTTAACAAAACAATCAGGGAAAACACTTTCTGCAGGAACAACAATATACAAATTCAACTTTAGAAAAAGACACATGTTACACACCAATTAAATCTATTTTCACTGATATGTTTTTTAGGAACTCTAGTGCACAATTACTGAGAAGACTGACATTGATGATTTTGCAGGACTAGGCCCATAATAGTAATAATCACTACAGATATCTTTTAAAAATTGTTTTTATAGTATAGAGGGGAGAGAGAACCTCTGCAAATGTTCAGTCCAGCAGTTCCTCTTAACTTCCAGCCCAGTGTTTTGTTTATGTTTTTTTATCTTGTTTTTAAGATTCTAGTCATATTTCCACTGCAGTGAAAATGTAAAATAATTCATTCATGTAAATGAATCATAATTAAATCCATTCCCTCACACATCCAGTGATGCACGTGTCTTTTCCTGAAGATCTATGATGCTGACAGAGGAAGTGGTATCTGCCATCTTCAATGATCATTTTTGTACCGATGGATGGATGGATGGATGGATGGATGGATGGATGGATGGATGGATGGATGGATGGATGGATGGATGGATGGATGGATGGATGGATGAACTAATAAATGGATGGATGGATGGATGGATGGATGGATGGATGAACTAATAAATGGATGGATGGATGGATGGATGGATGGATGGATGAACTAATAAATGGATGGATGGATGGATGGATGGATGGATGGATGTCTCCATGGATGGATGGATGGATGAACTAATAAATGGATGGATGGATGGATGGATGGATGGATGGATGGATGGATGGATGGATGAACTAATAAATGGATGGATGGATGGATGGATGAACTAATAAATGGATGGATGGATGGATGGATGGATGGATGTCTCCATGGATGGATGGATGGATGGATGAACTAATAAATGGATGGATGGATGGATGGATGGATGGATGGATGGATGGATGGATGGATGGATGGATGGATGGATGGATGGATGAACTAATAAATAGATAGATGGATGGATGGATGGATGGATGAACTAATAAATGGATGGATGGATGGATGGATGGATGGATGGATGAACTAATAAATGGATGGATGGATGGATGGATGGATGAACTAATAAATGGATGGATGGATGGATGGATGGTTCTATGGAGGGATGGATGGATGGATGGATAAACTAATAAATAGATGGATGGATGGATGGATGGATGGATGGATGAACTAATAAATGGATGGATGGATGGATGGATGAACTAATAAATAGATGGATGGATGGATGGATGGATGGATGGTTCTATGGAGGGATGGATGGATGGATGAACTAATAAATAGATGGATGGATGGATGAACTAATAAATGGATGGATGGATGGATGGATGGATGAACTAATAAATGGATGGATGGATGGATGGATGGTTCTATGGAGGGATGGATGGATGGATGGATAAACTAATAAATAGATGGATGGATGGATGGATGGATGAACTAATAAATGGATGGATGGATGGATGGATGAACTAATAAATAGATGGATGGATGGATGGATGGATGGATGGTTCTATGGAGGGATGGATGGATGGATGAACTAATAAATAGATGGATGGATGGATGGATGAACTAATAAATAGATGGATGGATGGATGGTTCTATGGAGGGATGGATGGATGAACTAATAAATAGATGGATGGATGGTTCTATGGATGGATGGATGGATGGATGGGTGGATGGATGGGTGGATGGATGAACTAATGGATGGATGGATGAACTAATAAATAATCATCTTTTAAAACTGCATGGCTTCATGAATCAAAACAAGGAAACCATGAAAAACCAAATAGGTGACAGTTTTTGATCCCGTATCCACCAGTGCATAATCCCAGCCATCATTGCTCTGTATCGGAGACCCCCTCCCACATTAAGCCTCACCTCATTTGATTTATTTTCACAGTGCAGCGATCCACCATCTAATACCCTAATCAGCATTCATACCTTGCTGTGATGATTCGGGACAATGCTTTTTTATCGAGGAAGTGATCTCACCCTTGAGTGCCAGAATCAGCCTTTTTTTTTACAGCCCATCTCCTCTGGAGGCCTCATCCATCAGCAGAGGTGTCTGGGCAACACGGCCAACCGACACATACTAACCCATTTACACAGGGCCATGTGGGAATACATCATTCAAGACGGCTAACTCACTTACTGACAGCTGATTTGGTGAAAAATTCTCCATCTTGACCTGAATTGCTCAGAGCCTTCAACATTTTAACAAAAGGGAATTTCAGCAGGTAAAAACAAGGATGTGAATATTTTTTTTCTATCACTCAAAACCATCCTCTATATATATATATATATATATATATATATATATATATATATATATATATATTGCAGCTGAAATGGAAAGCTTAGATGTGTTTTTTTTCCCAGTATAGCTGTATGACAAACGATGAATTGGCTGCCTCTTCCTCTATTAAGCTCAACAGGCAGCTGACGGCCAGCTTTATTTCTCTCTTTGGGCCCACTATTCGACTTCATTACATTACTGCTGTTAATTATAAATCTCCATCCAACTGGGCTTAGATGGCCTAAATGTGCCATAATGGGCCGAACATGGAAATAAGAGTTCATTGTCAGGCCGAGCAGAAAAGACTGCCCCCACTTACCAGCTCTTTATGAATTCGCTTCAAACCCATCTTGGCTTTTATTGAGGAAGAAGACACTCAGATATTATGAGCTTTGCATTAAGGGGATCGTCTTTATTGCCCAAGAATCCACCTGAGAATGAAACAGCACAGCTCAACTCTTGCAGGGATGAACAAAAGAAACACATCTGTAAAACACCTCTGTTGGTATAAGACATGATGTTCAAACAGCAAATCTTACAGGATTAACATTTAGAAGCGACCATCATGTTGGTGCTATCTGACATTAGATCCGAGCCAACCTCGCCTTCATTCGACGTGTGGCGGAAGACTCTTCACACAACAAACACACGCTAGCAGATAAACAGAGTGCCACCACCAGGTTCCCCAAAACATTATGGCTAAAATAAAATCAGTGCATACAATTGATCCTAAACACAGACTTCTAGTATAGAAAAAGACATCAACTTGCTTCCCTAATTACAGATCTACAGTTCTGGTCAAAATTACATAAACTTAAAGGTGAAGTTCAGTCTTTTAAAGATGCGTTTAAAATTTTATTAGTCCAGTGCATAAAACCCAAGCTTTCTGAAACCAACAGTTGCGTACACACACATTTGAATCAACTGTATATTTTTTCAAACCCATACTGGGTAAATACACCATAGCACGATGTGGAGTCCAACCAATCAAAAGCTTCAGATGCATGTTTAAAAAGTCTTCCTTTCAGAAATAGTCCATCTTATTTAAATATTATTCATGACTGCCACGAAGAGGATACATTTCCAATGTATTTTTAACAATTTCAACCAAAGTGGGCGCTAGGCTGATCAGGAAAAAACCCTTTGAGCCATCTAGTCTAACATCAACATAGTCTGAGTGGGTCGGGACAAAAAGATCTATTCTCTGCTCCCAAATCAAGCCCATCAAACATGCCAAACATCTGCAGTTATACCGAATGGCTGCTTCACAGCCAGTCGTACCGGTAAAGTGCAGAAAGTAAGTTCAATAACAAAATATTTGGGTCATAACGAATTAGCTAGATGGTTTAAACTTGGACATGGTTTGGTGTTTTAGCAGGGCCATGGATCCAAACACATTTGGACTGAGAGCGAATAAAAGAGACTAATAAGAAGCCCAACCTCATTCATGTTAAAAAGTTGAGGATTATGTTTAATAGTCAAGTCTGGGCTGGAAAAGCGGGAAATTTAAATGAGCTCTGGTAACTCTGACACGAAGAGAGGTCAAATATTATTAGACCAGACGCTTGTTGATGGATACAACAAGCCTGTGGTTCAACTGCCCCGGAAACATTAGTTTGATCTTATGCATTTATTTCAGCTTGTTTGGATTAGATCAAAGCTCCCATAATTTCAAAACTATTCTAAATTCTAAAAATCATTAAAGTAAAGAGCCATATTATCAATCTGATTAAAGAAATACCGAAAACAGTTGATATAAATCCTTAAAAGCCCCACGTGAACCCAGCATGTAAACTTCAGGATTGAATTCTACATCATGGCATCCCTTTTATTGTTTGTTAAACAAGGAGTCACATTAGTGTTCTGCACAACTCTATGATACTCAAGCACAGACTCCATTTCTATGGTAACATCATGATATGGTGTCAGTTATCAGTGGTACAGCAGAGAGAAGCTAGTAAAAAAATGACCTTACAATCATATTAATTAGAAATCTTTACAAAAAAAAAATCTAGCTACAGTAGCCCGTTTATAAATAAAAATAACAGAGCCACAAATAAATAAATATCAATTCGCTGCAGTACAGTTGCATTAGGAAGATAAGTACTCTTTCCCTGAAATTACCTGGTGAAATATTATTAATATTAATAATAATACCTCCATCATGTGTGGAAATAGATATTTTTGCAGTACAATAAAGCAAGGGAGCAGAAACATTTCATAGGCCACATCAAAATATCACGGACAACTGCTGGCATAACGCAATAATAAGGAGTCTTTACTCTTTGGCAAGACTAACAGTACATATCTACTATACAACAAAGCAAAAAAAAAAGTCTTAAAAGTCATAAATGTTCTCTAAACCACTAGGATGCAGATTTTACAGGCTTCAAGATTAGCAAAGCAATCCAGAAGGATCTTCAAGTATCGAGTGTTTTATTAAAATAACATTAAAGAAATAAGGTTTGGCATAAAACTGTACGTATCTAAAGAAGGCGCTATTCTGCTTTTAAGCCATTTCTCCCATACGTATGTCGTCCGGTTAGCACACTTAAGCCAAATTGACTCCTCTTATATGAACAAAAATCAGGTTTCAGTCGCTATGTTGGGGTCGCGAGCTAAAATGGACAAGTAGACACAGTCAAGAACCCACTATTCACCAGTAAGCTTTGCTTCATTTCGTGTTGAACCTCTGAGGCCACAAAGTAGCAGAAAGATCTGTTTCTGATCAAGCTTTGGCCTCCAGGAGTTCCAGGAAAAGTTTGTGCATAGGTACTCGGCCGTCCTGCTTGATGCTGCAGAAATGCTGGACGGCACGGGCGGACGTCTGACGGAGAAGAGGGAGAGTCATGATCAGCTTTCCAGCACGCCGACAGTCCTCAGGGTGGTGGGTGGCCTCATAGTCCTGCAGAGCTCCGTGAAGGACATCTTGAAGCCTCTGAACTGCCTCTGAGTCCTCAATTTGCATGGAATCTAAAGGTAAAGAAGATTGAGTAAAAAGAAACAACAAAACAAACCAGATTCTTAAATAAATCTTATGTAGTACCTGAGTTTGCGAGAGCAATGGCCTTGAGAAGAACAAACTCCTCCTTTTCCAGCCCCATGCTTTTGTACTTCTTCACCAGCTGCAGTATTGCATTGTTCAAGTCAAACAGCCCGGCCAGTTTGGACTGTTCCTCATCCATGACGTAGTCTTCGGCATAAACTAGTTTGTCTTCGGTGGCGAGTGAGCGAAACACCACTCGAAGGATCAAGATCTCCATCCAGCCACTCTGCAGGAGACTCATCTGGTCAGCTAAAGAGAGGGTGGGGAAGCCTGGAAGAAGAGATGAACAAAAGAACACATTTATGAGGTCTGATGGCGAAAGATTAGGATATGATTAAGCAGATTGTTGTTCACAGTCTGTTGATCGTGGTATCATTTAATGCCCAACTCATAGGATGTCTATAGATGTTTAGATTTGCAAACCTCCACCTGTGTGAGTGTCACTCACTGCCATGTTTTCTTTTTTATCATTTAAACTTTGTGCCTGGTTACAAATATTCCTAGAGGCAGGGTGTGGACAAATCCAGCCCATTAGAGGGGAATGCATGCTAAAATGACGTGTCAAGTATAAACCAGGCTTCAGGGAAATCCATAAAACTTCCAAGATATAGCTCTCCTGGTATCAATCTAGGTTTTGCACGAATATAGTCTGTCGAAATGGTGAAATAGAGCTTCACATTTCTCATGGCGATGTTTTTCGATGTGTCGGGGACACATCAATTTCGCTAAGGATATGAATGAAACATTAATTTTTGTTCTACATCTTGGGTGGACTATCTTCATTAGTGAGAGACAGGGTGGCCAAAGGTGGCTGGAGAATGAATAAGGCTTTATGCTTTGAAGTTTCTAAAGAGCACCTATTATAAGGAAGAAAAATGTTGAGACTGAACGGGAGATTCACCTTTTTTACCACAGAGTGGCAAAGTCCAGTGCTAATTTTAAGCCTAAGAGTTTGAAGCTTATTTGATCTTAGAATACAGTTCTTTTCCAATCTGACCGATCCAGAGCTATTTTACAAAAGAAAAAACAATGTATTTTATGTTGGTCCGTCACATATAATCCTAATAAAATACTTTTAAAGTGGTTGCTGCAGTGGTTCACAGATTGTTTGTCTGGCATGTTTGTACCGGGATACAATTTTGACAAGCATCGCAAGTGATAAGGCTCTGAGAGAAGCTTTGTTATAGTATCTGTGGTGAAATATCTATCTCTATTAATAGTGCAATATGTTCCCGCAGCTGTAAAATTTTACATATGAAATGGGCACTGAGTAAAGGGCATAAGAAAGGACAGAAGGAGCGGCACCTACTTCGGTTGACAATTCCACTAACTGAAGCTTATTAAACCCTCTCACTGCCCCAAATAAACCTGCATACACACCCTAACACACACACACACTCGTTTACTGTAATTAAACAAAAGATTTTAAAGAGCAGGGGAACGCAGGGAGTGGTGTTTGTAGTTTTGATACCATCCGTGATTGTTATCAGCAACCACGGCTCTTTTAAATTCCTGTGGTGGCGCCTCCAGCACCGGTTTCCACGCTCGCCTCAGATAGATTGGAAACGCCGTCACTGCACAATTTCATTAGTCGATAGGGATCAGAATTCTGTAGCTGAGCGATCGATCAGAAACAAGGACCTGTGTAAGTCTGTGCTAGATAAGATCTCAAGTCAGTCATTGATAAATTGAATAAGTTAAATCTTAAATTAAGATTATATTTGAAATGAATGAATGGCATAAAGGGCAGTGGGATCCTTTTTTGTTATGATTTTAAATATGCGTTTTAAAATGTAAAAAAGAGTGAGCTAAAAAGGAAAATTAAAAAAGATTTCTCTTTTTCTATCTGTTTGGAGTTGTATTTCCCAGCACAGTCTCAGTGAAAGTTACTACTTCTTGCGTTCTCTTGTAAATATTCTTTAAGTCAAAAGAATTTATTTGCCCTGCAACCCAAAATGAAAACATTTTCCTTATAGAAACATGTCAAATCCACCCTTGAAATTAGCTTGACAAATACACAGAAGTCCAGCTAGTTTATATCACCACATGTTAACACAGTCGTCACCCAGCAGTCCCCTCAAACACACACATCCGCAGCCAGCTCTGCATCGCAGACTCAAAATGGCCAAAATCCAAGAGGCCAGTTGGTCTTTAGCCAGCTCATCTTCCAGTTTGCCCCTCAGACTTCACACCCCGTCACTGTCAATCTGCCTGATAGGAGCCGACACAGAGGAGTGGGTGCAGCCAGGGCAGTGGTCCCCCATCACACTCACCTCCCCCTGGGCAAAGAACTCACATGGGCTGGGACACTTCACCCAGGACCCCGGGTTCTCCCAGCAATGAAGGCTGCTTCGTGTCCTGCCACTCATCCAGAGCTGATGTGACACGGCTATTACGCTGCTAGGTAGCGCCGGACTATTATTTAAACAGCCCTTTCTCTGTGTTTGAGTCTCTTTTGGCCACTTCTTTTCTTTGCTTAATCTCACATCTTAAATGACTTTGTAAATCTTCATTTAAAATAACTTTATAAATTGTCGCATTATTTATCGTTAATTGTGAAAATATATATACAATGTGAGAACTGTGAGAACAATCATAAAAAAAAATATACCGTATGTTTGTTATATTTTCCATATTTCCTCACTCATGGGACAAAAATGAGACAAGTTTCTTTGCAAAACATTTGCTGTTTAAAAACACCTCACTTTATAGACAACGCAGCCCCTTTGAAAAAGAAAAACTTTAGCACATTAGCACCCTTTAGCACTTTGAAACAACATGCTTGGGAACTGGAGAAAAAAAGTGGCACTCCAGATGCCTACGGGAATCCTACCAAGTCTAGTCTGTGAGGCAGACACCCTGTCTACTTTTAAGACTAGGCTTAAAACTTTCCTTTTTGATAAAGCTTATAGTTAGAGTGGCTCAGGTTATCCTGAGCTATCTCTATAGTTATCCTGCTATAGGTTTAGACTTTTGGAGGACTTTTTCATCATTCTGCTTCATTCTATCTCTATTCTCCCACTCTGCAGAATATGTTAGTTCAATCTATAACGTTCTGCTCTCTCTTCTGTTTCTCATAGTAGCTTCATCTGGTCTGTTCCTGTTTGGCTGTGACTCCATCTTGGAGAGAAATATCAGCTGTGCTGCTTCCATCAGCACCTGTGTTAATAGATGTTGGAGATCAGCCTGTTTTTCAGTGTCGTCCTATTTCTCTGACTCTGACTGGCTAGATGTGCTCTCTTCATCCTCTGACATGGGAGCTGGCTCAGAGCTTGTCTGCTTGGCTGTGCTTTTCCTGTAACGGGTCCACTTTTTACAGCTGCTTTTTGCATCTCTGCTTCTGTCTCCTTGAACCCCAGTCGGCCTCGGCAGATGACTGCTCACACTGAGCCAGGTTCTGCTGGAGGTTTCATCCTGTTTAAAGGGAGTTTTTCCTCTCCACTGTCGCTACAAGCATGCTTAGTGTGAGGGATTGCCTTCGAGTCAATGAGTCGATGCAATCAACTGGTTTTCCTTAGAGAGAAAACTTTGGATCAATTTGACTGTTTGATCTGGTGAACTGTAAAGTGCCTTGAGATGACGTGCGTTGTGAATTGGCACTATTTAAATAAACTGAATTGAACTGAATTAAAGGTCCGTTGGCCAGAAACTTTATGATGACATGTCCATGAATTTCTGACACTCGAAAGAAAAGCATTTATTGAGGTGAATATACTGAATGAATGAGTTGTATGTAATAAAGATATGCATTTTTTATTTTACAATTAAAGTTGAGATAAATTTAATAAGTGTCAGAAACAATATGTTGCATTTAAATTGTAGGATAGCTGGTTACTGACAGCCTAGCACACCCTGTCTCTGTAAACTGTCAAATTTTAGTCACAATGATTCCCTCAATCTTAAAACCAAAATGTAAGACATCAGGGCTTATTTGTGCTCTGGACAACCACAAGGTGGCTGTCCACCTTAAGACTGTTTTATTCTCTGTGCAAAACAGCAGACCCTGTAACTGCTGAAAGACAAAGAAGACTTAGATAATAGCGCTCCATAAATTCTGTTATTTGTAGTGTTGAAGTAGGCTAATAGGTTTTTCTGCTCAGAAATAGCGATAAAAGAATCTGAAAATAGTTGATAATTAGTCTGCTCAGGTAGCCAGCCTGCAGCCAGGTGAGAACAATAGGTGGTGTCCTCCTGTTTTCAAAACAATGACCATGTTTTCCAAGAAAACCTTTCTAAGAGCTAAATTTGTCTTTTTTGTAAGCAAAGGAAAATGTGTTGTGGTTTGTTTACAGCAGGTGATGCAGTAATGCACAGAAACAGGTGCGGGAGTGGAGCACAGCGCTCCATATCCCCGAGAAAACTCCAGTCACTGTGGGTAAAAGAACCAGGCATAAGAAAACGTTGTAGGCTTCTACCTTTAAAGTCATGTTCAGTCTTTGCCTGGTAAGGACTGTTTCAGGCTAACTGCTCTGCATGTCTCCAGTTTCATAGAGAGAGTAGCTGATTTTACAGCTTTAGCTGGTCAAACTGGTCTGGATCTACTCATCCAAGTCTCGGAAAAATGACAACCTGGACAGTTTCCTAGAATGCTGCTCACTGAAGTTTCCAGTTTTCCAGTTTTTAATGAATGTTTCAGTGAGAAACAGCTTCGTCAGTGACGGTGTAATCACATTTTCCATCTCAAACAACAGTTCAAAACAAGGGGACATTCCTCAGTATGATCAGTCTGTGAAGAACACCTGAGGGTTAAACGCTATGTTACCCTGAAGAGGAGAAAAATGTTGGTTCCTATTTAACTTTACCTTTAGGTTAAATGTGAATTCTTTTCCAGACATGTCTGATGGGTTTTCAAAAATTTATGTATTTTTGGTGCCATTTCAAAATGCTGAAAGAAATGTGTTTGACACCTTTATGAAAAATGTCTTCCTGTCCTTTCCTTCTCCTCTCCTTCACCCCGCTGGTGGGTATCTGCTGTGGTTACAGCCGCCGCTCCTCTGCTCCCTCAGCTAAATCCTCTACTGGTAAGGGGCTACAAATATACACCCGTCAATCGGACTCCATCTGTTTGCGTCAGGGACAGTGAGCAGACAATGCTGGAGGGGTGGTTTGAAAAGGAGGAGGTGGATTTCTTCCAAAACAACAGTATGGAAATGCAGATGAGGAATAAACAACTAAATGGCTGCCTTTGATCAAAGATGTAGAAAAAGATGCAGCTGAAAATACTGTATAGAAGAAGCCCTCCCATACACTCACACACCTGTTTCGCTTGTTTTGTAAGCAATTCTGAGACAAGACATCAACAAAAAGCCCAGGTGTTTTCCTAGTGATGTTTTGGGTGTGAATAACACTGCTGATAAAGTAGAGAAAAAGTCGGAGAACAATTAACAAAAAAAAAGGAGGGGAAAAAATCTTCCTTTTATAAGTTTCCACTGTTTTACCACCAGAAATGTCCAAAATGTGAACATATGCCACTAAATATGGAAGTATTTAGACCTTCTGGTGTGTTTAGGGAGACCAAGTTTAACCATTGGGGTTTTTGGCCCTAGTGTTGGTTTTTAAATGGATAATTGAGCAAACATTTAGTTTATAAATGCAACATTTTACACTATTCAAATTTAACCTTAAAAGAGATTAGAGTAAAAAAAAATACATCTTAAAGTATATTAGAGCTCTGCAGTGCTGCTGACCCCATTAAAGTTAAAAACCTTCTAAATGGAATGTTGTGAAACATCAGATTTCGTTCTAGGCTCCTGACTTGTAGAAATATCCTGTTCCCAACACAAACCCCTGCTGCACACAATGCTCATTGTGGAGCAGATGTCTACCAAGATTTTATTCTATCTACGCAACAAGAACAGACTGACACATTTTCAGCCAAATTTAAAAGAAGTAAAACAACTCAGCATGTCTCATCTGCTGTTTCCGTGACGGAGGAAAAGCTCAGTGTGATCCAAGAGCCGGGAGGATTTCTGTAATTCAGACCTGACAGGGAGGCGGCCGCTACCCAGGAAACAAATTAAAACTTCCATGTGGCCATTGGTCATCTGGTTGGTGTGGGAACACTTTGGTCAGCAAGGGCACTGCACACAATTTACAGCATGCTGACACGCAAAGACAAACACATAGAGGATGACTGACAGATAACAACGCACACCCCCACCCCCACCTCTCCTTTAGCCTGTCTTGGCAGCCACAAGTCAGAACAATCCCTTCTCTGATCTGATTAGGGACTTAGTGGACCTAACGTGTGTGTCTGGGTTTGTGTTGGAGAACTATGAGTGAGAGAGATTCATACCTGGTATGTGTTTGGCCCAGCCGATGTTGACCACCAGCTCTCTGTCAGCTAGGTCGCACAGGGTGGTCAGAGCCTTAATGTCGCTCTCAGGTACGGTGGGGTCCGGCATGGCAAAGATGCTCTCTGGCTCGGCCACTAGCAGCAGAGATACCACCTTGTTCTCAACCGCATCTACGAAAACTGAAAAGGTTTATCATTACTGCAAGATTTTTTTATTCATTAAAACATGTTCAGTGAGATAACTGAACAAAATAAAAAACTTCATAGGAGAAAGACATTTCAATAAGAAGTCAGTTAAACAGGAATAAAGATGATACAGGTGCGTCCATGAAAAACCTTTATAGGTAGAGTCAAAGGATATCAATGAGAAGGAACCGTCACCATCAGAGGGTACAGCTTTAACCGTTAAAACTGTTACCAAAGAGCCCGTGGCAGTGCACCATCTTGACATATTTTACAGTTTATTAATCTTAGTGAAAATAACAAATGGTCCAAGATCATATAAAAATAAAATACAAGTATCAATCTAGGTCAACCTAAGAAATCCCTGTCACATAAATCAAGACCCCTACATAAAAACTGAAGGGCCTTCCTACATACCAAGACATTAACGTTTAACTGCACTTATAGGGATACGCGAAGAGCGCCTTAATAAGAGGACCAGCCTAAATATCCAGTGTAACTTTGGAGGAGCTGCAGAGTTCCACAGCTCAGGTGGTAAAGTCTGTCTTCATAAATGTGGATTTTAGAAGAGTGGCAACAAAAACTCAAGTAGTCCCATTTCCAGTTCTTCAACATAGGTCATGTAGGCAACGCAGCAAACGTGGGAGAAGGTACTCTGTGCACCCCGTACCTACATTGAGGCATGGTGGTGGCAGCATAATGCTGTGGAGTTACCTCTTAGCCAGTTTATTACAGCTGGACAGAGAGGCACCATATCTTTGGGATGAAAGAGCAAAAAAAAAATAGACTGGAAGATAGATATCCAACCAAAAGTCCAGAGAAATCGTCAGAAACCTGTGACAATAAGTGATGCTTTAGACTATTTCGACAGTACTGTGAATAAAGCAGCTGCATGTCACTAAATAACCAAATGGGAGCTTTGCAGCAGAGATGGGGTTTGTATACTGTTACAACAGTAGTTCAACAGTAAATGCAATAGCTGATGCAAAATCGTTTGATTTGCAAATAGACGTTTATTAAAATCACATAATACTACATTTCCTGCTTTGTTTCTTTCTCATTATCCTTTGTGTAACAAATGTCTGCTGCAATCTTTAACTTGCACTCCTTCTCACAAGTTCTTCTGAATGTCCAATATGGATGTAAGGGCAACATGGCATCAGTGATGCAGTTTAACAACTTTCCAGCTATGGAAAGTGATTTGCAAGCTTTTATAGTCTTCTTAAGGAGAAATAATTACTCTTCAACATTTTAAAGGAAAGTTCTGTCCTGAAATAAATTCAAAAAGCCTCATATAAAAATCTAAATTTGTTAGCAGGGTAACTAAGTATGGTTTACCAGGCTTAAAAGAAATTTTAGCTTAATTTAAAGTCTTAAAATCAAAAACAAAAAAACCTGGCGCTCTTCCAGTCACAATTAAAGGTTGTATTAGTACGGAGGGACAACTCTCTCATTCTTCTTATACTTACGTGTTTTTTTCTGTGGCAGGCTGTTCTGCGGGTGTAGATAGGGGCTGTTCTCAGCATCTATTCTCCTCTTGTACTTCTGTCTGCCTCCTCGAACCCGGTCCAGACGCACGCCTACATCAGAATCAGAATCAGAAATACTTTAATGATCCCAGAGGGAAATTACTTTTGTTACACGCTCCAGTTACAGCTTTATATATATATAAACATATATAAACAATCACAGGATGTTAATGACGATTTTTGCCTGGTCAGACCACAAATACACAACAACAAAGGCCCTCATAGAACAACACTGTGTGCACAGTAAATCTGTCTGCATGAACTTGCAGCCTGTAGTCCAGGTTACTTTAAGGGTTGGCATTAGATCATCTGCATGTCTTGTGTCTCTCATCATCACAGGGATGCCCTGGTCTTTAAAGCATCCATTGGTTCTTAGAGGGGTGTGGATAAGTCCAACATCCAGCTAAAAATGTATGTGTATCTAAATTAAGCATGACAGCAGTTCTTGATAAGAAACAAAAAAACAAAGAACATTAGACCAACCCCAGCAGAGAGCATGTCAATCCATGCCATCCTGTAAAAATTTCACACTGCATCTCCAGCACCTTGAGTTCTATTCCCCTCTGGTCTTTGTCCAGACTTAAGGATGGTAAGTTTTCAAATGAAAGGTAAAATTTAGGACTTTCTAGGACTGAGCAAGCATCCATTCCTTTTTCTCACAACCTCAGTTAAGACTCTTTTCGGGTACTACACAAAAATTGGCTTTGTCTCACCAGGCTGTAACAACACTAGTCCTTTTCTATCACACTCTTTTCCTTTCACTAAACTTTCGATCCACATCTCGTTTAACAGTAAAAACCATCATAATTTATAGAAATATACACTTCAATTATAGCATTTGAACCTAGCTTTTAACTAAATACTAAAATAATTAACCATTGATTGTAGCATATCTAATTCAAACTCATTGAAGTTACTTTTTCAGATGTTTCCTCACATTTTTAAAGAATAACAAGATTAAAAATAAATTAAGTTGAATAGCAAAAACAAACTAATTAGTCATTAAAGTTGATTTAAAAATTATCCAAATATATGTTGTAAGTAAATCTCTATTCAGGATGACCTATGAATTCCACCTTTACAAAACAAATAAAGTGTTTTGACATTGATGCAACTTTTCAGGGGGAAGGCTCCCATCTTAAACCCAGTAAACCATTGCAATGTTGTCGGGTCAACAGCCCATATGTACAGTTGATTTCAAGGAGACCAGACAGGACGGGCCAAATGTTGGAGTGACAGCATGCATCCTGTAACACGACACCCAAAAAAACTTGCAGGGGCCGGTGACAAATGCTCATCTTAACAAGCACTGCGACAACGTGATGATGGAGATTTAGGTGTGTGTGTGTGAGAGGCTGGTCATGTTCACAGAGGAGGAACAGGCATACTGTGAGCCTCAACAACTGCAGAGAAAATGCTTTATGCAGGGGTGTGAATGTGACTCAGGAAGCCTTCAGTAGTGGTGTTGGGTTTCTTGGTCTGAACGTCTAAACAGACATAGTGTACCTGAATAGATTTATAATAACCTCTGCAAGAGACACACATAGGCTTTTATCTACTCTTTTTGACACCCCCAGTACTATTCCCCTATCCCTTTAACTTATCATTCTGACTTCTACAGATATTTTTAAGAGCATGCAACAGTTAAGAGAGCAAGACTATATCACCCTGTCTACTTAATCAGGCATGTAAAGATTTGTGGGGTTTTATTCATTCAAGCTATAGCCTTGTAAAGCTATTTTGTCTTATTTTATATGTCTGCCATTACTATAACAATAAATTTGATTTGATGCTTTATCAGTTAATGTCCCATGAACAGGCATTAAATGTAAGAGAGGATTGTCCATAACAGTGTGGGTATGAGAATGTGGCCCACAACCTTTATGACAATGAAGCACATTTAACAGGAAATATGCTGGTTGGAGAATAAAATGTATTATCTTTATTATTCCTGAAGATCCCATTATGAAACTACGGATTTTTAAAGCATTGTGTCTCTGAGTGACGGGTCTGAAATGAAGATGTGAAGAAATGGTTCAGTTCGGTTTTTTTGTATTTATTTTAATCATTGGTTTCTTGTGTCAAATGTTAGACTGCAACAATTCATGTCAGTCCAGGTATTAGCAGGATTTCCAATAAAAGATGCCGTGTTTTTCCCTTGAGGCTAACAATATGACCTTTATAATTACAGACATGATGACAGGACAAACAGCTCCTCATTTGTCATCCTTCCAGTTATTTGAAACAAAGTTAAGTAATTGTTTTCTTGTACATATTTCCTGACTCATAAAGATAAACACATTGGCCTAACTTTAGCACCATATTCTCTTGTCTTTTCCATTTTGAAGGGCAGCAAAGGGAGAGGTCTTATGTCAAAGGAAAAGTCCGGTCAGCAAGGAATAATCAATGGATCATTATTTATACCTAAAACTAATACGTTTGTGTGATTTAATGAATTTAGCATTAATCAGTAAAAAAATAAAAACTATTTTTGTCGCGATCACTGAGTCCAAGACCGGCCATTTTTACCTAAATATGGTAACACCTCACTTCTGACATCTTCCGGCAGTGATGTCACTGTGCGGTAAGCCTATCGCCATTCTCCCCGCTTTAGAAGCAAAATCAATGGGAACTACTAGACACCCCAGCAATCAACAACAATTATTTAAGATTTTGAGAGGAATTCACTATTTAAATTCACAAGAGCTATAGTTAAACTGGCAATCCCCACGTGCATGGCAGTTGGATGTTGTGATACATTGGGTAAAGGTGAAAAAAAGTGAGTTATTTCATCTTTCCAATTCATGATCCACCATGGGTTCATCGTTAGATTGCCAAATTGAAAAGGGATGATTTGCCAGAGAAAGAACATGTACTGTAATATGTATCCAACATTTCGAAGAAGAATGTTTTCAAGATGACTTGGATAATAGCGCATTGTGACAAACACCAGATGCAGCACTGGGACTTGATCAACAGCCGATACCGCACCGTGACGTCACTAACCGGTAGGTTGCAGTAGTGTTCTTTGAGAAACATGGATGTTTCCAGTAAAGCACATTTAAATGAAAATTATCTTAATTAAAAACATTTATTGAACAGTATGTAATAATTTCATACTTAAGGTACTTTCAAAAATTCTGAATATGACCGGACTTTTCCTTTAAGACAAAATAGGAAGTCAGTGATGGATACAAATTATATACTAATCAACTTAAAATATATAACAAAGCTTTTATAAGTCCCTCCTTGCAGCTATAAATGATATGTAACTAAATAAAATTATTTGTTGGTCTAACTGGTTTTGTGATTATTTATCTCCAGCGATACCACACTACCAGAGATGGCAAAAGTACTCACTTTCCGTACTTGAGTAAAAGTACAGATACTTGTGTTAAAAAATACTCTGGTAAAAGTGGAAGTACTGATTAAACTTCTTTACTCAAGTAAAAGTAACAAAGTACAGGCTTGTAAATTTACTTAAAGTATAAAAGTAAAAGTAGAAACCACTTTTTTCATGCCGTTGCCTACATTTTAAATGGATGTCTGCCAATAGGACTAGATCTCCGTTGTGTTCATTTTCAATCATCTCGTCGTCCATGCTACTATGCTAACGCCACCGCCACCAAGCTGCAATGATTTGCCGCCAATGAATACCGCCGAATCTGTCGATTCATCTTGTAGTGGTGCGTGAAATGCAACGTAGATTCCCATCCAATTAGATTGAATTTGGTATTGATGACATGAAAAATAATAACGGTAACTCCATTGAAATGATTCAAAACTAAAGTAACAAGCCAATTATTTAAAATGTAAGGAGTAGAAAGTACAGATATTTGTGTAAAAATGTAAGGAGTAGAAGTAAAAAGTCGCCATAAAAATAAGTAGTAAAGTAAAGTAAAAATATCAGAAAAATCTACTTGAGTACAGTAACGAAGTATTTGTACTTCGTTACTTCCCATCTCTGCACACTACCAAGAGAAATAAACTGGTATGCAGAGCTTTGGTGCATAAAAGTTTATTTACAGGTATGAAAGAAGCCAGGCTGTGGAGAAATGGCATGTAGGTGCAAAATAAGACAACCAATTGGCAAAGAGATAAATTAAATGGAAACCAGTGAAAAAAATGACCTCTAATCACTAATCAAGAAAAACAAGTAGTAAAAAGAGATATAAGCTAGCTGCAAGTCAACTGTGCAAAGAAAGACATGAGAATAAAAAGGGTTTAAGGTCTTTGAAATTTATAGGAGGAGGTTAAGACTTTTACATGGAAACAGTTGCTTGATTTAAGCTTTTTCCCAAATAGATTGATCCCACAGAAGCTGAATAAACCTGCTAGATTGAAATTAAGGGAACACTGGAATTTTTAATCTAATCATTCTAAACTTATTTTTGTTAAATTTAAATTCTAAAGCATTTAATATGTGGAGGATTGCTGTTCAAATAATGCATTTTGGTAGAAATTATTCAAGAGGAAATAGTATTTCAATTTAGCTGGGGTTTTTTTTTGTTGGTTATGTCCGTAAGCAGTCAAACCATAGAAAGTAGCCATGGTTACTGTAGTCATATAATTGGAACCCAGTAATACAGAAACAAATACCTGACACAGAAGTGATTGATATAAGTTCTGCAAATTAAAACTTGAATAAGATGCAATACCATTTCTCCCATAGCAACCATGCACAGGATCTAAGAAGGGGCTTTAAGCTTTTTTTTTGCTTTTTGTATATTTGTTGGCTGTGGTCGATATTCTTTCTGAGAGAGATTTGAAAAAAAAAAAAAGTATATGGAGGAAAATGTATGTGATTGCAGGCTGCCACTTCCTTTCTAGTAATCCCTTATGGTTTTTATTACAATAAATCCCTTCCTATCAATAACCTAACCAGCTGGAATCTATCTGGTGTCTATTATTCTTCTTACTTGCTGTACAAATTCAGTTTATTTACATAGTGCCAATTCACAACTTTTCTCTACATTTTCCTCATTTTCTGATGGTTCCTTCCCCTTTCTATCCATTTGATTTACCGTACCTTTTTAGACAATGATGTTATTTCCCTTTAGAGGCCTGACGACAGCACTGATTGGTGGAGAGCAGTTTGTTCAGCTTGTTAAGGTAAAACAGAGTAGCAGACAATGACCCAGATGAAAACCAAGCTGGTTGCATTGTATTGGTCAAAATTGGCATACATTTATTAGCATGTAAAATAAAGGAATTAAAACTCTACATGGAAACTGTTTTTTTTTTTTTTTGTAGATTTTGTTTCACTTCATAATGTGCCTTTAAGCATTATAGGGTCAATTTCTTTTCTCCTTTTTTCTTTAATTCTGACATTTTTATTTAAAACAGGAAGTCAGTTTCCCCAGGGCACCAGAGAAGCCCCTCTATAAGGATATAACAAAGGACCTAGCAGTGCATTCAGTTCCCTCATCTTCCCTAGAAAGTTTTTTTGTTTAAGCTGTTTGCAAAAGGTTGGAGGGAATTTGTAATACAAAACTTATAGCTGTTCCTCTGCCTTTAAAGCGCTGAAGACTAACATGCTACAGCAACAGGACAAATGTTAGCTCTTTAATGTAAAATAATTAGTCTAATTTTGGATATAGAAAGGGGATATAAAATATCAAAAGCTTAAAATGGATTAGCTTTGCTAGAAACTTGACTTACAGGCAAACTAAGTTTTGATCAAGTGTATTTGTTTGTGTTCAGCTTTGGAGAAAAGATAATGTCAAAACTAAGTATAATGTTTCATATTGGAATGTGCTGACAACTAAAAGGCCAAGAATAGCTTTGGTGGATAACAAGAGGGAGAGACAAACACACACACTACCTCTCTGTTCTTCTGGGCTGGCCATCAGCGTTCGATAAAGACAGCCTCGTTTATCACACAGCTACGTCTTTACAGCATTTCCACATGGAAAGCTTTACAGGTCCAGAAAAAGGCCCCACAGCATCAACTCATCTAGTTTAGCCGGTTTTTCTCACCTCCATCACTACGGCCTCCATGTCCTCACCACAAACAATCCCACGCATCTCAGATATAGTGACACATCTATCAATGATGCCAAGGTATCGTACAATATCGCACATATATCCAACCTTTTTCGCTATTTTTCACAATGTTATTACTAATTTGTGTGGATTTTGTTGGAATTTTATGTGGCAGAGCAACATAAAGTAAGGCAAAGTGGTGAAGAGAAAATAAAATTACTTTCCACTTTTGTGACTGCCCTTCAAATCTCATCTAATTATTTAAAAGTTTACCTCTGTGTCTGACTTCAGTGTAAACTCAGAGGTTTACTTTATCTCAGAGGTATGGATCTGAGATAAAGTTGTGAAGAATTTGGTTATAAAACAATCTCCCACTTAAGGCATATTTCAGGACGTTGTTCAAACAATCATCCAAAAATAGAGAAGTATGGAAGGACTGTAAACCCACGAAGATATGGACATCCTTCGAAACTGACAGGCCACAGCTCTGGTAGGGTACATAGCAAACATGTGGAAGGAGGTGACTAAAACTGAAATGTCCCGGCTATATACAAAATGCTACATGTGGAAGAAAACCAACAATGTTTGCCTTCGTCAACATACAGCAGTAAGTGAAAAACATGGTGGTAGCGTCATAATATGGGAACACAGGGGGAGCAGAGGCTCCTCTTCCAGAATGAAAACAACCTTAAACATCCAGCAAACGCTGGAATAGAATAGCTTTAATCGAAGCATACTGATTGTTGAAATAAACTAGTCACAATCCAGATGTGATTCCCAAGAGAGAAAGACTTGAAAATGACTGTTTGCAGAAGATCTGCATCAAGTTTCAATGAGTCTGAGCTATTCTACAAAGAGAAATGATCGGAAATGACATGTCCTGATTTCAAAAGTACTGACTCAGACAGGCTGGATGCAAATGATGTCAAACCTTAAGATCTTTATATGTAAAACTATGTATCTGTTTTTTTTTTTCCCTTTACAGTTATGGACTTCTTTGTGACATCTTACTATGTATAATTAAAAAGAAAAAGACATTGAAGTTAGTTGCTTTATTCTGGCAGCCCCACAAACACCAAATCCCCTCAGTGGCATCTGTTATAGAGCAGATAGCTTCTTTTTTAAATGAGCAAAAAGGAAAACAATCAGCAAGGTCTGAACCATTTATGTCTAGTTGTGCAACTTTCATGCAACTACAAATGGAGGAAGCTTAGAGACAGTATTGTTCCCCAACTCACTTATTTCTTTAATTTTATAATTCTATCTTAAGCTATAAAGAATATAAAGAATAAGGATTTCATTTTTGTATTAAAACCTCCACCTTTTTTACATTGTTTTTATTAGAATAACATACAGGGTTTTAGTGTCCTAAGGAAGTGGAAGCCTTTGTGGAAACGGCTACCTAGACGGGGCTCAATCAAATTCTGGCTGGGGTCTATATGTCTTTAAGCTGCTCATTTAATATGGCTCTGACTCTCCTCATTAAACCTCACTGCTCCCTCTGTCTCAGTTTACTGCGGCCTCTCCAGGGGGAAGAGGAGCATTACGAGATACGATGAAGCGCGTTACGAGGGTGCTTACGACAGAAGTTACGAGGGCCAGTTCGCGTTTCACGGAGGTCCAGGAATCCCACAAGGCATCTGGAGGAATTTATGAGGCAGGAGGGGAAAGCAAAGGGCCGAAAGAGGAGGGATGCTGTTGATGCCTCTACCCTATTAAAAGCCGCTAATATAGAAAAAAATGGCACTGAGAAAAACACACCACCTTAGATATAAGTGAGGTGATTAAAGATAAACAAAAGAATGCAGCTGCAGCTTGAAAATGCTGCTGCATATTACAGTCCATACAGGAGATCATAAATCCCTTCTTATATCCAAAACATCTGGGGCTTGCCAATCAATTCCTTTCATTTCTGTTCACCTTCAAAATGAATTAGCGAACATTTCCTTTGGAGATAAATCTAAAGCTGCTTCACAATGAATAGCAGAACCGGAAAGTTACAGAACAAACTGAGCTGTAACTTTCTCCATATAAAAGGTTTATAACCTCTAGTTTGAGTCATAACTTTTGGTGGGTTAGTTGCACCTTTTCAAAGGAAGCCAATTCATGTCAGACTTTAGAAGTGAAATAATTTGTTATAAAATTCCTTTACAAAGTCCATTCCAAGTCTTCAAAGATGGATGATATGGCAGTATTTGTCACGGTTATTTGCAAATTATTTAAGCATTTAGCAAATAAATATAACTTTAGTATTAAAAACTGAACTAAAAAAGGATTGGTTTATTTTGATTTAAGTCACTAATAAAAAAAAAGGTTGATTCTAAATAAAGTTGACAGCAGCAGATACGTTTTTTAACAATCATCCTGGTCTATTATGTCCTCTGTGTTCAAAAATGTAGACGAGGATCAAGATACTTCATAATCTACAAATTACAGGAATTTGTTTATCATAAAGTCACATCAGAATAAACCGACAGCCTTTTATTTCACCTAAGAAGTCACTGATTTGTCCTGAGATCAAACGGCTCAACATTAACGCTCCGTATTCTACTCTCAGGTGTTTTATCTCCTCCCTCCTCTTTGCTAACTCTACAAAGCTGCACACAGCAGGAGACAAGTGGCCGGTACAGTAGGAGGCTGCTAATGTTTTCCTCTCTGAGTCACTTCTAAATCTGGACAACAATATGTCACCAGGCAGCAGGCGCACAGGGAGACTAAAGGAGACTATCTGCGGCATGTGCACAGACCCATTTCAAATATTTAGCTCGACGTGACAGAGCTTTATAGTAGAAAGCAGGTCATAAAAAAGCCATCAAAAAAAGCTTTTGGGATAAATCTGGATTTTAAATTGGGTTCAGATTCAGGATTATTTTTCAATCTTTATTTGTCCAAAATGATATTTCCCGTTGCAACACCAATATGTATTGAAGTTTTAACAAATTATTTGATGTTTTGAGATAAAGTTCAACAATTTTTTTTAAAATTCTTATCCACATTATGCACCAGATCCAATGGGAGCTAAATTGTCCAATCATGCAAGACAGCTAATAATCTTAGCATAAGGTCCGGCTCCTTAAGCCATAAATCTATTAAAGTTCCTCATCAAATAATTTGCTTCACTTAGTACCACTTTTCACACGCATAGTCATCCCAGAGCAGTGACTGGGGTTGTGAAGGCACTACGATAGAGAAAATTTCTCAGCTTCCTTCCAAATATCTCTCTAGGTGCTGGAGTGTTGCTAACAGTCCTTCACAAACTGGCTAAAGTCCAGAAGCTATTTTGGAGGCTCCACTCAACAAAGAGCGGCACGACTGAACAGTCAACAGGCCTGTTACTTATTGTTTAATCCTGGAATTATTCCACATACAAGAGAATCTACACACCCACCTTATAATATATTATCTTGGAAGATAAGACAACTATAATTTAGATCTTTACAGGTTTAACAGATTAGGCTGTAGGAAAATAACTAGTAATCATAAAGTGCAGTTGGAGCAGTGCTAGTATTCTCTGTCAGAAAATAAAAGAATAGGACTAAAACTTTTTTTTCCACTTTTCCACAAGATCTATTACAGCCAAGTTAGGAGTAAATCATTTTTGATGTACAGCTGACCTTCTCTCAACATGCCCACTGCCAGACACTTCAAAAATCGACAGGCTTGGCAGGATTTTCTCCTTCTCTTGGTGATTTCACATTCGTTTGATGCCGGGCAGCTGTACTCGATGTTACCTGGAAGGGGACAAAGAGCATTTAAGGATATGAGATGAAGGTCTACAAGCTTTTTGTCCTACTATAAGAACTTTCTAGAAAAATCACTTTTTTCTTTTTAATTGAATTCTACCAATCCACTTTTTAAGGGAATGTATTCATGCATCTAAAAACTATTTCAGCATTTTTTTCACACATATATATATATATATATATATATATATATATATATATATAGAGAGAGAGAGAGAGAGAGAGAGAGAGAGAGGATGGAACTGGTTTTCTAGGCATTATTACACAAAATTGTGTGTATTCTCAAAAGAAGTTTATAAGGGGAAAAAATGGATTAAAGTGACTGAATGCTACTTAAATGCTAAGCCTGGTGGCATTTAGCCAGCATAGGCCATCTCAGCTGCCAGCCTCCATCAGAAACAGGAAGTTTCTGATGAGCCAAACATCAGATCTCTCTGTCCGATTTGAAAGCCGCTCAAGTCTACCCTTTGAACTCCTCTGCGGCAGCCAACTTCCAGAGCTCTTAACGAGACACAGCACACCAGGTCCTCGACCTGGGCCCAGAGCCGATACAGAGCAGTACAATCCCTTTAAAACACCCACACTGTAGGCTTTTGACTTTTAGCTCCAAGGAGAAGAAGTCAAAGCCAATACATTTAGCACTTAGCAGCTCAGCTACCTGCTGCTTCACAACCCCCAGCATGTTGACTGTACACACAATGTCCTGCAAGTTTAACCATGCATCAGCTGTTTGCAAACAGATCTTTATTTAAAGCTTTTCTGCAGTTTGCAAAGCAAGAGGCGGAAGCTATGAATGAACCGATCGGGGCTTGTTTACACCATAACAAGAGCTTGGGGTATAACTCCATCTGTGCCATGCTGCTCATAAAACAGGTTTATATGATGCAAGAAAGCATTAGCAGTCATGCACAATAACACTGAGCATCTTTCTCTATGAATATGAAGGAGTTTTGGGGGGTTGGTTTTTTTGTTACTTACCCTGGATGGTCCTTTTGAAAAAGGCCTTGCAAGCCTCACAGGAAGCCACACCATAGTGATAGCCAGAGGCCACGTCACCACACACCAGACACACCCGCTTTGCTACAGTGCCCAGCATGAACTCACACTTCACTGGACCTTCTTCCTCCCCAAACCTCCTGGACCAAAGTAGACGAGTGAAGAAAAAAATTATTCTGGTGGTTTGAGTAGTGTTAGGCATGTGAGATAAGTTGAAACTGATTTAAATACCAACCTGTTTGTTCCGCCATTATTGGCCAAGCCTGTTGTGTGACCACAGAGGCTTGGAGAGTCAAGCCCATTGTTGTGATTGAGGCCTTTGTTAAGGGGACCGTAGCTGGAGTTTGTGTCTGATGAGGAGCTAGCTGGACTTGGATGAGGTGGGCTAACATCGCCCTGCGAGCTGGGGCTGGGGCTAGAGGGCTCACGCTTTATTGAAGTAGGACAGGCGGGGTCCAAGCCCCTCACTGACATTCTGCCTGGATGCCTACAGACAATAAAACACAACCAAAAATATATTTGGTACAAAGTCCAAAACATACCTTCACTCATCAATAGCATGAATGTTAAATTACTTTTGGATTTCAAATATACATTTGAAGCTTCCTGTTTCTAGGCTGCAATGAAAAGACAACTGAAAACCTCAAAATCATTTAAAGACGCATTGAAAAGGTGATTTACTGTGGATTTGTCAATCCACAAAGGGTGAAATATAATTCACAAAATGTAAGTACAACTTTACACCTTGTTCAAAAAATAAGACAGAAGAGTTTTTTTTTATATCAGTAACTCAAAGCGCTGACACAATCACTTTTTGTAGATTAATTACAGACAGACAGAAAGACAGAAAGACAGACAGACAGACAGACAAACAGACAGACAGACAGACAGACAGACAGACAGACAGACAGACAGACAGACAGATAGATAGATAGATAGATAGATAGATAGATAGATAGATAGATAGATTCCCACATTCCACTCTATGTTTGCACATCTTTTCATTGATTCATCAAACCACCCCTCTTCATGTTGCCTGAACCAGCCGTTTGGGATCTACCACATATGCAAAGCCGCTGTGTATTACACTACTTTGTTTTTTAAGGAGGTGATTGCGTAAGCAAACTTAGGGAAATTGACAAACCAGACATTATCTACACTGGTTCCTGTCAGTTTTTGTTGTTTTTAAAATGAATCTAAGGAAGTTAAGATGTGTCATCCTTAAGTTAAAGATTTTTGAAGTTGCTATTTTCACCCATTCAAACAATTATACTGACTATCGTTAGAACGGAAATGTCCACAGATCCGGCATTTCAGGAGGGAATCTCTACAAGGAATGAACCAATACTCAAAAATGTACATAATAAATGTGATTACAGTTCAAAGTACACCCAGAGAAAGCAATCTTTACTTTTAAAGCTATGGTTTGTGTTCTGATAATACTTTAAACAAGACTAAACAAGAGTTTGCCCACAAAGTTAAATGGGGGAAGCTTTAAGCCTGAGGAAACCCACTTTGAGCAATGGGACAGGCAGCTTCATGATGTAGAGATGTTTGGCAACTGGAGGAACTGCTGCACTTTACAAAATAAACCTAAGGATAATTGGGTTTTTTACTGGAAAGTGAATGAAGTCTCCAGATTAGATGCAGATTAGTTACTTAAAAACAACAGAGACACCATTATTAACACCTAAGTTCATTCCTAGAAAGGTTTGTGGCCAAAGTTAAAAGCATGCATGAAGAAAGCAGACTAGAAACCCGGCAAAGTTAAACCAATTCTTTCAAAACAAATGGTCTCAAATTCACGCAAACCGTGGGGAGAAACTCGTGGAAGCAGATCTAAACGTTTGACCTAACGGATAATGACAAAAAGCAATTCTACAAAAAAGAAGGAAATTCTACTTAAAGGAATAGTACACCCAAAACATGATTAGCCTTCATTTTCTACTCACCCCCATGCTGAACAAAACTCTGGAGTACTTTTTTGATATCTCAAATGCATCTGGAGATCTAGGAGGCTTCTTGCTGTCTGCTGACATTCAAATAATGGAGGTCTATGGCGCCCGAGACAGAAAGGTCCACAAAAGTCCACAAAAACGTGTCAATATTCCTCCATACTGCTCGTCCAATGTAATCCAAGTGTCCTGAGTGGGTAGCATCCAGAATTTACTCGAAACAAAGTCATTTAGAACGTTTTAGAGCCTAAACAGTAGTGTATAGGATTTCCTAATAGCGCCCCCATGCGCGCTCACGATTCTACGGAAGCCGGCAGACCAAACCGGAAGAAAGTGCGCATTCAGCGTCTGCTCTGCCGATAATGCAAGCGTAGAAGAAGAAATGTGCTGTTTACCTGTGCAAAGAAAGAAACAACGAAAGAAAAATGTCTGAGGACTTCAGTGTTGAGGAAGAGCAGGAGTTCTTTGCCGAGCTGAATGCGCTGGTTTGGTCTGCCGGCTTCTGTAGAATCGTGAGCGCGCATGGGGGCGCTATTAGGAAATCCTATACACTACTGTTTAGGCTCTAAAACGTTCTAAATGACTTCGTTTCAAGTAAATTCTGGATGCTACCCACTCAGGACACTTGGATTACATTGGACGAGCAGTATGGAGGAATATTGACACGTTTTTGTGGACTTTTGTGGACCTTTCTGTCTCGGGCACCATAGACCTCCATTATTTGAATGTCAGCAGACAGCAAGAAGTCTCCCAGATCTCCAGATGCATTTGAGATATCAAAAAAGTACTCCAGAGTGTTGTTCAGCATGGGAGTGAGTAGAAAATGAAGGCTAATCATGTTTTGGGTGTACTATTCCTTTAAATTCAGAAAATGAGCAGGGAATGTTTATATGATTAAATGCCAGTCACAATAAAATAATAAAGTATTTTTACATATTATTATATTTAAAATCTTCCCTGCATTTAATCTTACATGTGCTTGTATATAATCTAGTTGCCCTGTTATTCAAGCACTTTACATCTGTTTAGTCTCATTGATGACACGCACAATCTTAGAACAATATTTTATTACATTATAAGCTGTATTTTTCCACTTCCTGAGAATACCGTTTTCCCATCAGTGTGACCTGCACTTCACCTAAGCTAACGTTACTGCACTGTTTTAGATTGACATACTCCTTACAGACCAATTTGTTTATTTTATCCTGTTTTGGACAAATGCTTACTGCTGTATTCATTTAACACAATTCTTTTTCAAATTATTATTGCTAAAATAAAATGAAAAAAAAAACTGCTAAAAAATTAATCAATAAGAGTTCAGTCTTCGATCTGTTAAACTATATTAAGTGAAGTGCAGGAATTATATTTATACATGTTAATATTCCAATATCCTTTAAAAAATGTATTAGTTTTAGAAGTACTGCAAAAATAACAGTTTAAATGAAAAGCCCCGAGGGCTGCATGAATCATCAGAATTTGCTCTTTAAATTTCCACATAAAAAAAAAACATACTTCATTGGAAAATATGCAATAACCCCTAATAATAAAGGGTGACCGGCAGGCTTGCATTTTAAGTCATGTTGTCCTGAACCTATTAATAAGTAAGGAATTGACCACAGCAGACTCTCTGTCACCAAGCTGAGGAGGAAACCAGCTAAAGTGTGCAGCAGGCATGCTCCCTGTTCTCACACATCCTAAAAACATACACATACTCTAATGGTGGCATCACACTTTTGTGCCTGGCTGTAAAAATAAGGATCCCTCTCCCCTCTTCTCCTCAGATGCAGATTCCTGCAATCGCTTCACACATTGCAGCGCCATGCACACACATGTCTTCATAAACGCCCTAACACATACTTGCTTGCAACTGTTTGTCCCCGGGGCCAACTTTAAAAAGAGACTGCAGGTTCCCTTTTGTCTTACAAAACTCAAACAATATTCACACAGCTGTACATTTCTCTGTGTTCATCCTCGGCCTGGCGGGGCGGATTGCCCAAGTCCATCCTTTTCCTGCCATGTAAATGAGTTGGCCCATTGTAAGCTATTTGATAGGCAAAAACTGTGGCTGCTTTTAACCACTGAGTGAACACACTATGGCCACGCGCTACTGCCCCCTCTATCGAAGGACAAAAATAGATGCATGATGATAAGACCCCGACTTTAGGCGACACAGTGAAAGAGAGAGTATTTACAGAAAAACAGAACAGCCGCAAAGAAATCCCTGCAGCCACTGAACAAAAAAACACAAAATCTCCAAGAGAGCCAGAAGCCAGGAAGATGACTTTTTCTGAATTTGTCAGACAGGTTTGTGTACAAATATATCCTCACAATATGATAACACTGGGTAACAAAACATGCTTCATAGCATGTGCAAAAAGAATTCCAAAACTAAATAAAATAACATGATCTTTTCCTAATTCCTTATTATTCATTCAGTGTTATTTTTATTTACACAGACCAAAAGATTAAAAAAAAGATCTGATGTATTAATACTTTTTGTTTATAATCAGTATGAGAAGCCCTAATCTTAATAATCTTAAACCCTTTTTTTCCCCCTTAATTTTTAACCCTGTGTGTGTAGCAAGTTATTTAATTAGTGAAACTATCTGCCCAAGCAGCTGCTGCCAATAACAGTGAAATATGCCTACTTTAAAAAATGGATGGATGACTCCATAAGAAATCAGACCAATTATAATATTTACACTAGGGCTGAAACAATTAATTGGATGAATTTTAATCAATTATTAAAATAATTGTCATCTGATTTAGTAGTTGATTAATTGTTAACTAGAGTGTAGAGACTCTAAAACATGTTTTAGCTGATAAAGCAACTCACTTAGAGGAGTAACTATAACACATTTATAAAAAAATAGATATGAATATTTTGCATTTAAGATAAAAAAAAAAATTCATCTGTTAATGTGCTCTATCCAGTGGAAAAGTTTTAGTTTCACCTGGTTTAATTTAATAAAAGTGCTCTTTAAGGAGCCTTTGGCTATCTGATTATATCTGATTGATAATCAATTAATCATAAAAATAATCGACAGATTAATCACTTTGCAAAATAATCGTTAGTTACAGCTCTAATTTACACTAAACTTGTGACCAGAATCGACTGATTTCTTTTATCTGTCAGCTCTAGCCAAAGCACAGCCAGTTCAAAATTGAGAATACCTTTTTTTCTGTTAAACAGTGAACACACCATATCCATTTTCTACCACATTAAACTAAGAACAAAACTTTTTGATGCGGAAAGCGTAACCAAGATTCAGAATCAAACTAGCAGATAGAAGGGCAGCTAAACTGATGACAGAGTATTTGCAGTTTGAATAATTGGGGCGCCATTGTCAGGTAAAATGAAAATGCTGTCAGCTTTTTTTAAAAACCTGGAGTTAAGAGGGTTTAGATTCAATATAGATAAAAGAATTTCCTGCAAAGGATTATTAATTCTGATTCTTAAATGAAGTGGCAGTGATATCGCCATTAACTAATACGTCCATTATATCACCGTCTTTAAAATATGAGTAAAACTGTTTTACAGCAACTGCCCTCTCAGACAGGGTTTTTTTTTTTTTGCTCTCGATTTAAGTCATCACAGACCTCTCATTTAAAAAAATGGAAAAGCACATTTTGGGTACAGTGGATTGATTATGTTCTTAAAGGGAAATAGGAACCAGACTAAATTCTGTGTCCATACCTGCAAGATTTAACCAAAAAAACCTGAGTGTATTTCCAATGTTGTCCCTATAATCCATATCCCAGTAGAATGTTCAAAACACGCAGAGATAGTTTATGTTATGTGTGCAAACATAAAAATGATCTGCTTTACACTCAACATAATTTTTCCCCAACAAATAGCAACAGAACGCAAAAGTTTCGTCTTCTTTTCATCCTCTTTCACTTCTTAGAGGTAAGGTGGATGGATTTTATGAGGGTGACTGACGGGTAAGAAAAACATCTTATTGGAAGGGTTTGCTCATCCATTCTTTGAATTCTGCCTGGTTGGCCTGTTTCCAGGCTTCCAGTTACAACACTCTGGCCCCATTTGCTCCATCAATCCCTCCTTGGAATTTCCAATCCACTTTGAAGATCATAAAACAGCCCAGAAAAAAGGAATCTGTTGTCGGCTGTCCATCGCAGGTGTCCCTGCTTTATGAAGTCTGCATACCTTGAGCTTGCCTATTGGAATGGATGGCAGGGGCTTTGTGTTAATGCTTTGCTCTCATAATGAAACGGTCGATCACTTTGGCAGATGACTAATTTACAACACCGCATAACCCATCAACGTTGCAGCACAAAGCGAATAAATCAGAGTGCGTCTCAGTGGATATTCCGAGTTATCATCCCTTTTGCGATCCAGTATCTGCAACAACACCTACATGAAGCTTAGTAACAAAGGATAAAATGCAGCATGAAATGAAAGGAGATGCAGGCAGGAAGAGGGAGTGTGAAAAAGCTGGACAGAAAAGGGGGAGGCAGTCCTGTGGCTCATTAACCTGGGAGGGAAAGGGGAGTTAGGAAGAAAGAGAGGGCAACACTTTCTGTCTAAGGAGCAGTCATTACACACACTATGGCCCACTGGAGGAAAACAAGAAAATATATAAACAAAACAAAGGGTAAGTTAGCAAGATAAATAAAGTGAAAAGCAAAACAAAGGCTAAATATCAGAAATCCAGCTCAGTCTCTAAATCCATTGAGGTGATTTAGGTATCTGGGTTTTTTCGGTTTTATTTGGGTTTATTCTTTGTCCCTACTAATGATCCAGAGATGAGTGGGGATCAGTGACACCCTCAGTCAATGGTAAAAGCCTAACACCGACTTTGGATGGATCCACAAGATGAGGCACTTCAGCGTGGATCCTCCGACCCGCGGGATCTGGAGAGAGATAGGCGAATCTGCAGCTGTCATCACTCTCCTTCCGGTTTCCTTATCTGATTGCTTGTGTCACATGCAATCAGCCAACCCGTGCGTCCACATGTCTTCCCGTGTCTCTCTGTCTTTCCCCTAATTGTCTTGTCTTCTGTGCTTCTGGCAGAAGGTTAATTTAAATCGGAAACACTTGCTGGTGAAATCTGCTGAGTGATTATGCCACAGCTGATAAAAGCTGAACAGTGATGATAATAGATGTGGATTTTTTCCCCCTTTCTTTTTGAATGATTACAGAAAATATGGACAATCAAGCAGCAAGTCTGGCTAATTTAACAGCTGCTGTGAAAGGATTTTTTTTTTCAAAACAGTTTTTTTCTATTCTGTGTTAAAATCATCTGCTAGAAAATAAGTTTTCTTTCCAGAAAGGGAAAGGCGATCCAGCTTTGTCTCTAAAATAATATTTGTTAAAACAAAAATAAATAAACTGCAGTTGCATAATAGAGAAAATCTCATATACAACGTCCAAGTTTGCAACACAAAAGCTTTAATATTCAGTAAGTACTATGCATTCACACCCTGGTTGTCAGTATAAAATATACTGTTTATATGATATATTTTTCCAGATTATAAGACTTTTCCATTTGTTATGAGTTGATACAGATTTTAATAAATAAAATGTTAATTATAAAGGTCGGGAAATCGTTAAAGATCAGATTTGTGCAGCAAAAAAAAATTAATTGGGAACATTTTTCTCTAAATTAAAGAAAGAATTTTTTTATTTTTTTTTTGTAAATGTGGATGTTTTGCGTTACTCCAACAATAATAAATCTGCATTTAGATTTTATTTTATTGCTCCTGCAGCTTCTCCTGCTGGTGTGGAGGGCCCATTCCTGGTTTGGACGTACCTTGGTCTGACGCTGGTGTCTATTCAATCATCATAATGCATTTAGTGAAGGACATGCAATCTTATCAGATTGTTATTCAACTTGCATTCAGTGAATAAAGGAAAAAGCTGAACCACTCAAGGAAAAAATGACCAACTTTAATCTTAGTCAACTTTAGTTAAGCATCTCACATTTGGTGACTCTGAGCAACTGTTTAGTTTGTTATTCTCTATAGAATAGTGATGATCATGCATATAAATTACAGGCAATGAGATCTGATTCTTAATAAGCTCAAACAGGCATCCAATCTGTCAGATGTGTTTCAACATGCTAGGGATGGCCAGTACCAAAACATGTAGTTTATATATATTTATACAATCAAAGTCGAAAGAAGGAAAATTTGATCTGCTGACTGATAAATTAACTGATCTAATGTTATTAACAAACTAATTCAGTTTATTATTGACACCTGTAAAGCTGACTTTATTACACAGCTCTGGTTCCCCCTAAATGATGTATAAACACTAACAAACAACAAAAGCTCTAACACATATTTGACATCTATCTAAAAGAGGCCTAATTTAAATATTTTTGTTCAGACAGAAAACAAATCTCTATTGCACATTCAGTTAACTACATACCAATATATATATGGAGGACCAACTCTGCCATATCTGAAAATAAATACAGAAATAAAAAAATGCTCAATAAATAAATAAGCATTCAATTAACTGCCCCAAAATACACAATAAATAATAGTTTATTGTATTTTGAGACACCCCCCTCCTCATTTGCATAATGAGGCAGAAATGCATACAGAAATGTAAAAACAAAAGGCAGAAATAAATAAACAGTGTTTAAGAAATAAAGAGGGTAAAAAAATACAAAGGAAGAATAAAACTGACAAAATATTATATCATGCACATAAATAAATACTTAAATAAATAAGTAATAAATAAATAAATTTGAAGATTATAATGGACAATACATAAATAAGGTAATCATTACAAAGACGAAGAAATAAAGAAGCTAATTAAAAGAGATATATACATTTATGTCTCACTGTATAATTTAATTTCTACCTACATTTACTTGTTCATTGTATTTTGGGGGGGCAATTTATGAATGTCAATGTATGATTATTTATTTATTGAGCATTTCTTTATTTCTGTATTTATCTTTAAATATGGCAGAGTTGGTCCTCCATAAATATAACGCAGCACAGGTGATAAACGCAAAGAGGTAAAAAAGCTCAATAAGAGTTTCTGCGGTTGGAACAAGAGAAGCTGAATTAGTGAAGGGAAATAATCCTAATAAATAAACATTAGACATTATAAGCACTGTAAGTAATATCTCACTTATGTAAAAACGTCTGAAACTCGACAAACGGTCGAGTTTAAGTAACTTCAATAAATCTTACAGAAATGTTCACCTTAACTGCTCAGTACTCACCCCCCACTACATATAGGATAAGGTTGTGATAAAAAAGTACTTACTCTGAGTCAGCGTGGTAGCTGAAACACTCAGGAAGGTAAAGGTCGACTAAATCCATGTGCGCTCTCCTACCATAACCCGAATAAACTTATAACTAAAAATGTTCAGTCCTTTTCTTTATCTACCCTTCTACGCTGCACCTGTACTTCAGACGATTGTAATAAACAATTTTACAGTCAGTAAACTTTCTGTCTCCATCTACTGCCCTCTCCTGTGCCTCTCAGCTCCGCTCATTGTGTTCCTGTCACTCTCACTGCTGAGCTGCTCCCTGCTGTCTGCGCTAACTGACGGACTGTTGAGACTGACTGACCGCGGGCTGAGTGTGTCCGAAGCCGCCACTCCATCCGACTGCTGATTGGCTGACATCTAAGCCAATCAGCAGCGACCATAGCCGCTGGGACAAGTGGATGAGACCGAGACAGTGTGTGTGTTTGTTTGTACCTCTCTAGCGCTCAGAGTGAGGACCACTTTTCCAATTTCACCATCAAATTGAGGACCAGTTGCTGCAAAGTGAGGACGTTTTGACGGCCCTCACATGCTATTTTGCTAATGGTTGGGTTTAGGGATAAGGTGTCAATTGGTTAGGGTTAGGGTGGTGTATACATTGGTAATGGTTAGGGTTGGTTTTAAGGTAGAGCAGAGAAAGGGTTGAAAATGACTTAAAATCAATGGGGAGTCAACACATGGTCCTCACTACTATGGCAGAACGAGTATGTCTGTGATTATTTAACAGGTTTAAGCTAATAGCGTGGTAGCGTGGATTACAATTTACTGCAGTATCAGACACAAATCCATTTCTAATTTGTTTTACTTAATTCAATTCAGTTTATTTATATAGGTCCAATTCACAACATGTCATCTCAAGGCACTTTACAGTAACCTGACTCCGCCAGATGGATTTGCTCCGCATATCCATCTGGAAACCTTCCATTGAAGTAATTTTGGGAAGGGGCGAAAATACTGGTTAGCTGATTGGCCTATGTTGGTGATAGACGGGCCAAAAAAACCAATCAGATCAACAAAGCATATGACGTGCTAACAGAGCGACGACGAAAACACAACCACAAGCCAGGCTACTCTGCCGAAACCACTCGGGAGAAGAGCAAAAACATCTTTTCCTCTGAGAAAAGCCTCGAGAGCAGTGTTTTGCTCTTCTTTCAGTGAAGAAATACTCTGTAATTTCGATAAAACTTGCTCGATACCCACGCTAACGCTAGTTCATCGGCTGAAGCCGCCATGTTCTTTAGACTGAACTGTCGCGCTTCTCGTTGCGTCACACCTCAACCCGCCTCAAAGCCAACGCTGATTGGACGTTTGTTTTTGGTGAACAGCTCCAAATTTTCTTTAACGGAAAGTAGCTAGACTGATCTGCGAGTGAAACCTTGAAAGCTTGCGAGATCAGGATGGTCTCACGAGGCTAACTTTACAGTTCATCAGATCATACAGTCACATGGATTAAAAGCTTTCTATTTAAGGAAAACCGGTTGATTGCATCGACTCATTGACTCAGATGCAATCTCTCACGCTAAGCATGCTTGTAGCAACAGTGGAGAGGAAAAACTCCCTTTTAACAGGAAGAAACCTCCAGCAAAACCAGGCTCAGTGTGAGCGGCCATCCGCCGAGGCCGACTGGGGTTCAAGGAGACAGAAGCAGAGATACAACCTTAAAAGTTTTCCCCTCCATTACAAAACAAACATAAATATCATTAATGATTTCAGTGGTTTTTGAAGTAAGTTGGGAAGTGAACTGTGAAAGTCAGTGGTTACAGAGCGGCCAGAGTTTTGATTCCAGTATGTGTACATAGAGAGTAATGAAAGTTACTAGAAAATCCTTAATTACCAATTTTTAGAGGTTGTGTCTCAATTAGCCAATGGCACACTTTAACTTCTATATGTCTAATGGATGTTGAACCTTTTATTTGAAGCACAGAAAAAGATGAAAGAAAGATCGTGCTTTGCATTAAAAGATGGCAAGAGTCAGAAAAGAAAATGGTTGAAGAAGACAAATTTGCCCCGCCACATAAAAAAAGCGCCCCTGTTTGAAACTCTCTTCCAAAGCATAATTAATCGTCTTTGTTTCAATGTGGGGAACAACCTAAGGTGGGACAAGGATACAGCACACGCTCCTAATTCCAGTCTCGAAAAATCCTTTGGATATTTACCTACCGTGAAAATACATTTCTCATTCTCTGACCCAAATGAACACCCACTTAATTTTGTCCTTCAACTACATGTGTAGCATCATCTTTAAGATGCTTATTACTGGATGAGTTACTTGAAATACAGCTGCATTAAACAATTACAATTCCATCATTAAGTGATTATGATCAAACTTTTCACTCCTTCGACTTATAGCTGCTGTGTTTTACAGACCTCACTAATATTAAGAACAGAATTTATACTTTGTAGCTCAACACAGCTAGAATATTTCAATATTAGGTAAAGCAGCAACAGGCAGACTGGATTATCCACAAACACCATTTTCGGAAAGGCCACCACAAATTACTTTTGTTTTCCTAGTTGATTGCGTTTGGTGTATCTGACTTTCTTTTGCTTAAATTATCTTTCATATTTTCATCTTATCATTTTGACTCGACCATCACTTCTTTCCTCTAAAAACTGTATTGATAGGTCATAGATTTTAGTGCTTAGTGTGTAACATCATACCAGTTTTTAAAGTGTTGACTGCATGGTTTGTGCTTAACTTATCTGTTTGGTCTTTTAATGGTTATCCTTTAATTCTGACATAAAAAAATTATACATGTCTTAAGCAACAAGCATGAGCATAACTGAAAAAAGTGTTAAGAATATAACATTCTTAACGCTTAGAGTGTGCTCTAATTTTAGAACGCTCTAAAGGTCTGTGGGGTTTATTCATTGAAACAGATTATCATGCGTTTCAAAGAGAAAAAATATGAAATAGCATAGAATCCATTCCAAATATAACTGCATACTTACAAAACACTGCTAAATAAAAATTATTACACTTCCACCTTTACAAGAAGACCCTTTTCCCCAGTTATAAAGTAGCATAAACCCATTTTTAACAGAGACAACATAGAAACAAACATGGACATCCACATACCAAACCACATTAACTTAAATTCTACTTAAGCCTAACTGTCTTACCTGCTATAGCGCTTTTATCTGAGATAATCAGCTATGGCTCCGTGCCTAACATGATGCCTTTCTCCTGCCACTCACAAAGCACACGTGTAAACTCATTGGTAGGCAGAGTTGGCAGAGTCCAGCAAGCACAAAGGTCAGCAGGTGCAACGCAATGCAACATTTTATAAAACAAGTTGATGCTTACAGTATAAAAGAAATTGTCAGATAAGTTGATCCCTTTTAAAATACAAAGAAGAAATACTTGGAACTAATAATGTGACAACTAATAAAAAAAAACATAACTTTGGAAATAAACCAGCAAAATATTGTGACATTTTGCCAAAAAGTAGGTTCCAGTTAAAACACAAACAGAAATGTATTTACGTGCACAGAGACACATATCTATATAAAAACTTGGACTCCGATGTCAATTTTAACCTGGAGTCCAAATTTGTTCCACTTTCTTGTCATTTAACACTTTAAGCTGTTCATTTTTGTTTTGTTTCATTTTTACATTTACATAAAAACACAAAGTTACAGATTATGATATGATTAAACTTTTGAGTATCAGTTAAAATCAACTTCAAACAACTAAAGGATGAATTTTAGAACAATAAAACCATTATTCCCAATAGAGCAAAACTGCATCTAAATATTATCTTTGAGTATTTCTAAGCCAGAAACTGATACAGCTCTATTGACAGAATTAGAGCTCAGATGACAGGAAAGCTAATAAGAGCTGCTTTCTTTATGTTGCTTTTGGATAAAAGTCAAAGCTTTGAATTTGTCCTTTAAGTAAAAAAGCAAAAAATAAATAAATCTACATCCTCATTCTATTTTCTTAGAAATCACTGAGGTTTCCCATCAATGAATGGCAACATTCCTTGTTAATTTCATGCAAATGCTCAAATGCTATGTCGCTGTGTTGTTATGTACCCAAACAAAAATTATTCAATTAGAGCAGAAACCTGTCTTTTGATTCCACCTGTCAACCATATCGTTTTTCATAGACTTCATGGGGAATTTTTTTTAAATTATTGAATATTAAACTGTTTAAAAAGAAAATGCCTTTATCTCTGTAGAATTTCCTAAAGGTTTTTAGTTTGAGCCAATCTCTGCTCTGATCAACTTGATGCCGTGCTCTAAACTTAATCCAAAGGAATGAAATCACCTGTGCTAATCTGTTCCTGTGATAAAGCCCAGACAGCAGACTGCATGGAGAGGACTTTATCTCATTATGTAGCTAATGAAAAAACTCCTGCCCACCTGAAAAAGTCATGGTAGCTAAATCTACACATGTACTGGGAATCCAATACAAGTCCAGTGCATTATAAAAGTTCTCTCTATTTCTATATTCTGTCATGCTATAATCTCAATATTTGGTGTACCTTGTTAGAATTTGATGTGACAGGCCAACACAAGCAATTCAATTCAGTTTATTTATATGGCGCGTATTCACAACACATGTCATCTCAAGGCACTTTACAGTTCACTAGATCATACAGTCACATGGATTAAAAGTTTTCTATCTAAGGAAAAGTTGATTGCATCGACTCATTGACTCGAAGGCAATCCCTCACACTAAGATTGCTTGTAGAGACAGTGGAAAGGAAAAACTCAGTTTTAACAGGAAGAAACCTCCAGCAGAACCAGACTCTGTGCGAGTGGCCATCTGCCGAGGCCGACTGGGGTTCAAGGAGACAGAAGGAGAGATACAAAAAGCAACAGTGTATAATTGTCCTGCATTTAAAGTTAATTTGTTTGTAATTTCTTAAAAGTGGTAGTTACCATCCTTGAGGATATTGGAGGGAACGGGAACATATTTTTCCTTTGCTTGTTCTATCACATATACGGTAGAGTTTCCAACGTCATCCAAATTCTAACACTGGTCTCACCTGACCATAGCACCGTCTCTCTGTTTGTTTGTTTGTTTGAATTACTTATTTGTATGAGAGTATCAACACATTTTTATAATGAGAGAAAGCAAAGTACTTTTCTTTCACATATTCATTAGGAGGTGGATGAAGTAAAGGCCCATACAAATTATATATATATATATACAATGTATACCCTATTTTGTATATGATAAAAAGATGACGTGTTGTGAATTGGCGCCATATCAATAAACAGAATATACCTATATATATTCTTATTGGTCTGAAAACATTTAAGGCTTTATTTAATACAGAGAATCT